CGATATTACTTTAATTCATAATTAATAAAAAATTCTCCCTCATTGGTGCGTCGTGTTTTTTCCTTTGCCTCTCCCCCCCCCCCCCCCCCCCCTCTCCTACCCCTAATCCATACCCTCGAGACCTAAGTAATAAAGAAGCCTTAAACAAATACATAAACTTATTCCTTTCATATTTACTGCTTTATAAGGCAGGAATATTATCTATAAGGTAGCAAGGCATGTGTCCCAAATAGGAAATTTTTACTCGCATTCAACACAACATCCTAAGGTAAACCTTAGGCATAGTTTAGCAGTAGATGTTTTGAATGGAACCGCGCAAAGTACGTATTTCGATGTTATAAACAGACTTACATTCGATATGTGCTGTTAGTGACTGGACTGAAATGTCAACATAAACAATCCCGAGAGGGGTTGTAGTAGTAAGACAGAAAACTACGAAAAAGCTTCAACATTTTAACGGTGGATAATTCGTCTGTCACCAGGAGACCTACGCCACACGAACACATCCTTACCCGAAGATCTCTCTATGCGGTTGACAATCTGTATAGGTATCTAATATGTCGTCAGCAAAGCCCAAGAATAATGAAAATCGAGTAAGCTTACCACAGGGAGCACACAATATCGCAGCCAGTACGGATATGAAATCAACAAGCTCAATTGATTGCTCACTGCTACATAACAGTCTTCCCAAAACCATTCATCCGTCATCCATTCATTCATTCATCTATCCATCCATCCAACCTCGCAAATACATTTTGCTTTTCCGTCGAGGACAGCACCCCGACCCAGCCGGCGAACACGATTCGCGATGCAAGGTATCCAGTAACGACAATATCGAACGGCCCCCCAACAAATGCAAAGCAGATGATCTCTAGATAGGGTATCAGAGACGACAAGATATGAAACAGAATCAAAGGAAATAAGGAGATAGTATGCCAAAAACCCTCTCCAAGATATTGTCCGTACCCAGGGGATATATATATTGGAGTATCCACGGACCCTGTTAGTCGTCAGATTTCGTGCCTATGGCGTGACCTTGCCTCATCCCTGTCTTTTTTATTCCTACTTCATTCGCAAACCCCGTTCTATCATGACACCTAAAAAGTTAGAAAATAGGAAAAGACGATAAGAAATGCTCGCGTGACTTCCTCAGTCACCCATGCCAGCCAGCCCAGCCATTGGGGCAAACGTATCATAATCCTCATCGCTACTATCGATTTGACTTTCGGGACTCTGGATACTGCTAATGTCGGCGCTGGCCATACTGCTATATTGCTCTCCTAGAGTGATGCCCATACCCATACCCATACCCATAGAGAAAATACTTTGACGCCTGCCGGCTTCGAATTCGATAGCGCTTCCGCTGCGACTCAGTTCCGGTTTCTCGGGAAGTTGTTTCAGCAGTCCGGTCGATATATCAAGCATGCCCATCGCAAATTCGGTAAGACCTTTGGATTCACCGGGCTTACTGCTAACGCTTAACGTCCAGCGATACTCTCCAAGCCTGCGTCGGTACCAGTCCGCCTCTTCGCGACCTGGAGAGGTAGCCCAGAGAAGTGACCCAAAGGTGCCAATTAAGGCAAAATTGGTCTTTGAAGCAAAGTACCAAAATGATCGGAGATGTTGAGGCGTCAGCCGATTAACAAAGTCCATAGCGGATATCAGGCGGGCTTTCGCAGCGCTACGGCAAATGTGCTGGACGTAAGGGTCGACAGCCTGTGAATCTGTCTCTAAAGACCGGATAATCCGGCGATGGAGGGTGATTTCCGTTGCGAAGTAAGCCAAGTGCAGATATCCAATGCTCGATAGCCGTGTGGATGCGACGGCGGGGGCGACGGTACCAGACTGGAAAGAAGAATCCATACGGATCACGCTCGGGAGCGCAGCATACCACTCTTTGAGCTTAAGCTGTATGGGTTTCGCCAGGCCCAGCACAAGGTGAGTGCCTTGCGGTCCGGCATCGGTCACGTTCTGCATAGCCTCGAGCGTGTAGAAAGTCTCGAGGATCTCGGCTAGCACCTGCGTAAGATAGATCATTTGAACAAACAACGTTCGACCTCGCTCTATATCCATCTTTTCCTCTGGATTCTGTTCGTCTAATTCTGCCTCCGAAAAATCACTTGATGCTAGAGGCTGCACAACCCAGTTAGAACTGAAGATATGTGACGGCCGTCCATGAACAAGAGCTCCCCATTTATCTTGCATATACAAAGCCCAAGCAAGTCTTTTCCTAAGACCCTTCTCCCAAGGCGGTATCTTCCAGTGCGTACAATCTAGGTGGAGGCCAAGTTCTTGCGCGATCGCCACGATCTGAGCGGTTGGGGCCCATTGGTCACCCTCGGGTCGTTGCGAAAGTAAAAGTCCGGCTTGCACGGTAGAGAGCTTCGGGCGCCACATAGCATCAGCCAAAGAAGATCGTATTAACCTTTCCAATTCTCGCACGTTTGGTCGCTGGGACTTTGATAGCTCCTCCGAATAGTCCCACCAGTTAATAGCAAGGATGTAAACAGCAGCGAGCAGCGGCGGCGAGAACTCCCGGTAGTTCCGATCGTATTTCTCGTAGAAGACGTTCTTCTGAAGGATGGGAAATGCGGGATGTACAACTTCGAAATAGAGATCAATCAACTTGCGGCCGTAGGGAGTCACAAGTCGCTGGATTTCGTCGACATCGTCGTATTGACGCTCGTGACCAGGGGTCGTACTATCAGGCAACATCAAAAAGGTATCATTGTCGCTAACTTTCCTAAGAGTACCTCGAGCAAGAAGGCTCTCATCTTGAGGGTCGAATGGAGAGAGGTTGATCAAGGACGGCTCAAAGTCAGTGGTCGGACCTATGTACTGGCTGTACCGGTCTTCCTGGAGACCGAGCGTGCGCTTGAGTAAAGTTGGGCCGCCAAAATTAGCCATCTCCTCGATTAAAGAAGTGCTTGCAGTTGTACTTGACAAGCTAGCTTGACGTTGCCGCAGTCTTCTGTTATCAGACCTGCCAGGCGAGCTACATTGGCCAATCGTATGTCAGCGATATTTTTTCTTCTCTTCTTTGCGTCGCTTGACCATGCTGCAAGGTGATAACGTAAGGTTGGGGGTTCAGCGAATGAAAGTATCGGTGAGTACTCACCCTCTCTTCCTGTTACTCTCCTCGGTTGAGTCACGCGCTAGCTTTCTTTTACGAGGCTGAGGGCTCTGATTTAAAGAACATGGGATCCCCCGGACTTGGCAAGATACGCAGCTGTCGTCGTCATCTCCAACAACGCACTTGAATCGCCTTCTTAGACAAGATTCACAAGGCGTTGAGTTTCCACTTACAGCTGAATCCGAATCGGTTGAATCATTACTGTTCATACTATTCAGAGATGCGTCGTTGATATGGTGGCGAATAGAAAAGAGCTGAGAGGGTTTAGGCGCAATGGCAATGGGAGCCGTCCTGGGAACAGTGCCAAGGTTGGACATGACTGAAAATATTAGACGGGTTACACACAACGCCGCTATCTGCTCCTTCGAGGTCGGCTTCGCCGTATCACTATCGGGGTCCGCCTAGATACCCAATGACGGTGAGTAAGAGAGGTAAGAGAGGGGAGGGGATGCTAGGGTAGCCGAGTACCTAGACAATCCGTGGTAAGCTTCTAAAGAGACAGGGTCTGCTGCCACAGTACGACCTCGAATCGTACCAAGTAACGCTGATCTCTGCAGACGGCTCTCCACTGCCTCCGGGAAAGCCTCTTGAGGTATATGTGTGATAAGGGATAAGAGAGGGTTGGGGAGATAAGGCTGTTAGTGACACGGGAGGCGTCGAGGCGACGCAGGTTAAACCCACGCGAGTTCCCGCGTGCTTCAGCAGTCCAGTCCAGTCTGGTGGGATCTGGTTTATCGAAATGAGAGGCCGGGGAAATTAGAGATACCTTAAAGCTGGGACCTATCGGTTTCTAGTAAATAACCGTCAGATACAGGTCGCATGCAGACCCAAATGGCGCATGCAACTCGTGATTTTTCCGGTTAAGGGACGGGGGGCTTAGAATCTGGGACAGCCGCCGTGCGATAGGCTAGATTAATGATATGACGATATAATTGCTCCGGGTACCGACGCTGTGTGATACTAGGTAATGATGGACGCAAGTATCAAATAAGCTTGGCTTACTTTCGTCATTGAAGAGCCCTTTAAGGTGAGCTGATAGGAGGGGGGAAGGTTATCTACAAGAGGTCGTATGAAGTAATAGACAGACAACCATGGACCATGGACCGTGGACCGTGGACCATGTAAATGCCGGCCGGGTAAGATGCAGCGAAGTTCAGACTAGGTAGGTGGACTTGTTGAAGGCGGGTCGGACAACGTTAGTTGAAGAAGATGACCTTGCAAGTTGAAACTAGCCTTGTCATTGGGAATTGGATACTTCTTCAGTCTTGTTCTTTAGTCCTTATTCCGAAGAAGGATGAGAGAAGACCGATCGAAGTCGCGTGCCTTTTTTTGACGTTTATCGCCAAACTTGGTACGCCCAATCGTTTAGAAATAGTACACCCAACACCCAATGGAAGTTGTACAGAATTATCCGTAGTCCGAAAGATGATGTTATTCCATTTAAACTTGTGGGCTTATGGACATATGGTTTGGATTATGGTTCAGGTTCAGGGAAAAGCAAATGACTTGTCATTAAGCTTGGGAACAAAAACAAATGGGCGAATTATAATGGAGTAATTGATAACCCAGAGATAATCTTATCTTTGATCGAATGACAGAAAATAAATGGTAATAACGAGAGTTTTGGGAAACGCTTCCTTGAAGTTAGATCAGAAGCCATGCAGCCTACCCGTGCTAGCTTGTGCAAGGTATACGGTACTTAGATGGCACTTAAATGCAAGAGGGACAGCCTCAACTGAGGCGAGGCGGTGGCTTACCTAGGTGATAGCGCGACTATAGCGACACTAAGCAAGTAAGGAGCTGCGGTATGACAAAGCCCACATGGGACACATGGGGATCGGAGCCCTACGTACCTTCTCTGTACAGGGTACTTATGCACACTGATCTAATCTATGCCTCTAGGTTCAAAAACGAAAAAAAAAAAAAAAGTAAATTAAGGGAATTTCAGGGACTGGCCAAAGCCTGTTTGAGTTCACTACCATTACCAAATAGAAAAGATGTCTTTGGTGGAATATGGGCTAGCTGCCCGAATATATTTAACGTAATCGTTCGACTTATTCCGAGCAATTACAGGGTTCCTTGGGCGAGAGGGACAACAAGACAAGTGGGACAATATGGGAATTTGGGAATTGGCAACTGGCAATGGGTAACTTTTTCTTAAATTTCGGCCATATGGACATAACCAGAGTGCCCGTGTACGCAATGTACGTGCCACAGCTCAAAAACTCCGTCCCGATCGGAGACTGCGTCCGCATAGTGTATTTATCTTTTATTACAAATCATAGTCGCCGGCATTATAGAGTTGTATAAAAAAGTATATCTCTTATCTCTTACACCTTAGGTATATTAAGCGTACCTAGTCGTATAAGAGATCCAATGGCGGGGTAAAAAAAGTCTGTTATCGTTGAGAATTATCATCAAGAAACAAGGAATTAACTTGTTACATTATTTTCTACAAACAAGACAGGCAAATAACTTTGATGTTTCTCTTGACGTTATAGTTTTAGTAAATTATATACCGCAAACATCTGCAGCGGTAAAGCCGTGCCACAGCGTCGAATAATAAGAAAAATTCTTAACGCCTACACGCAGCCAAGACTTACATGCGTATCTTGTCTGTTTTTTCTTTTTCCACTCATCACGAGCTTCTATCGGCTGCAAGTCAGCAAGCAAGCATTTGTTTCCGTAGGATTCGGCTGCATTATCGGAAAGAGCCAATAAACCTAGTGCTAGCGTCCTACAGGCATGAATGAATTATGTCACCGTCTCGGGCCTAATAGGGCATGGCGTTTTCTTGGGACGGACGTCACCGCATGGTCGGTAAAAGACTAAAAAAAAAAGTGAGGGAGAAGAAGTAGAAAAAAAGTAGAATGATTATCCCTAGCGTCCTTAAACAAACTGATCTACCCCTTCATAACCCTGGACTTATCCCCCACGATCCACTATCAACCACCATCTTTATTTATCTTCCGCCTATGATCTTTCTCCCCGCGTGTCAACCTATTGTATGTACATATGTACATAGTTCTAACCCAGTTCCAACCCGGTCTGACCAGCATGCGATCCCGCTGTCTCGTGATGCGCTGTTACTACATATGTACGACGTACGTCGTGGTGAATATGTAAAGAGACTTTATCCTCGACCCATGCCCGCAGAGCCTCTTGGCGCTCAGGTACTGACGCCGGTGGGGAACCGGAAAAGCCTCAAGCTTAATAATTTTGATTTGGTATGCTGGTATGCTGGTATGCTGGTATGATGACATGATGGTACGTCGAATTAAGACGAATTAATACATAAAAGAGGCTCACATGTGCAACAATGCCACCAACTACCACAATTATTACATACAAGTCATGAGCCAATGCCAGTCCAATGCAAGATAAGATAGTTTCCAATGTTTCCAATAACAGCAACCCATGGGAATATCTGCCGGTCCGTCATTTCCGCATTGGCAACGGTGACCTTCTACATCGGTAAAGTCCTTAGAATGACTGATCATCTTATGGTTTAGGTATGTTCGTGGGGTGCATATTAACGTTGGCAACGTTGGTTACCGTCAGCCTATAAGGATCTAATAAGCTCCCCTCTCCAAATCATCAGACGCCATCACTCTACCACTCCAATCTCCTCGACAGCGCGACCGCGCCACCGCTGCCGAAATCTATACGCAGAGACGGCCGGGCCATCTCTTGGGTTTCTTGGCCTCCTCGGCAATCCGATACTGATATGAGATGTGTCGACTTCTAGCCCCATGCACGCTTACGAAAATCAAACGAGAGACGAACCATACGGAACGCTTTCCAGCCAGTTATAGAAGCGAAGAATTTTTAAACGATGAACGAGGGAATGACCTAATGGCATATCTCGATTGTCATCATTGGTTGTAATCTCTACCAGGTTTCGCATCAACTACTCAACAACTATGCGAATAGATGAGTCCTATTGAGATCTAAAGCGTAAAATGAAGAACCTTTGAGCCTGATTGGCTAAAATCGCTTACGTTATTCCTTAGAGATGTTATCTCAAACCGTTGTTGAATCTCAGTTTGCTACAGTAAACCAGAAACTTCACAGCGGCTTTCCTCAACACATAATACCCCCTCAATTAATTTCAAGAATCCGAATTAATATGTATAAACATAGGTCTTTGAGAATATGACATCTTATGATAACTACCATATATATCATAATGATTTCTACCACAAGGATAACTTTCAATAGCCGAGTCAAATTTCACCCGAGGTCATTTCTAAGTTGTGAGTTAATAGTAACATATTGCCTTTATAAACCATATCGTAGAACTACTACAATGATAAAATTTAGCATATTTACAAGCTACAAGACCGTATAGTTCTGCTTAAGAAAATATTTGAAAAATAGCATATTATACTTGCTAGTTAAACCCCCTTTCCCTACAATTGTAGCATTACAATAGTGAACCAAGTTATTCCGAACCCAGCCGCTTAACATGGTTCTGATTTCCCTTTACGTAGAAGCCTTTATAAACGCCCAGTAGGTGATGTCTCAAACAGAAACTTCAACCCCTATTTCTTCATCAAATGATATTGTGAACGAAATTCGATGTACCTACATCTTAAAAGAATTAGCTATTATAAAAAGCTTTCCATTTTTTCATAAAAGGATCACCTAGCTACACTGAGTATTACCTACAGCATATTGTTGATGCTAGTATAGTGGTATGATGCCAGGTCTTTAGGAAATCCCGTAGGACAAAGTACACCTAACTATAATAGTAGTCCAGTCATATTTAGGTTCATAATTCCTCGTATTTGCCTAAGGTTTACCTTAGGATGTTTATTGTATTGAATGCGAGTAAAATTTCCTATTTGGGATATATGCCTTGCTACCTTACAGATAATTTTCTTGCCTTATAAAGTAGTAAGTATGAAAAGAATAAGTTTATGCATTTGTTTAAGGCTTCTTTATTACTTAGGTCTCGAGGCTATTTAAAGTATTGTCCAGCTATATAATAGCAGTTGTCGGTAGACAATGTTTAGTCTATATTATACGTACGTATGGTTTAGGGAGGGCAAGGAAATAAGACACGACGCAGTAATGAGGGTAAACTCCTATATTAATGATGCATAATCGCAAGATCGAGATAGATGCGGCTTAACGGGAGAGACGTATCTATATACTCGTGCAGGATAGATTATTATCCCAACAAAGAGTGCCATCCAGTTTAATAGGGGGTAGGTTGCTAATATAATAATAATAATTCTAAAAATAATAAAAATAGCATAGAAACATGGTGCAGTGTAAACCTTAGGCTTTTGTGTTACCCTCCGGGTAACCTCTAGTTAACATAGGTAGTGATAGGTATTCTCACTTTTTGCTCGAATACTCACATCGAGCACGGAATTCAGCTATCAACTCCTCTTATTGCCAATATTACTACTATCCTATAGTCTTTGAGAGGCATCCCAATTTCCTAGCAGTCTAACAAGCAACAATACCTACCTAGCCTTGTGGTTTTGCGTAATCTAGACTACTTCAAGCTCTGGAATTCTGGATTTATAGCCTCTTACTTAGGTAATGAACAAGGAAGCCTGAGGGTACTCAATGTAGCAAGAAACTTTACCTAGCCAGGTACAGTACAACAGCAAATACACATATCCAGCATTGGAGTTTCCTCCCATAGACATGATACCAATAGTTAGTCGAAACTTTACAAGGGAACGCCTCCTATATCCGAGAGTAAGCCATTATTCTCGAAACTCGCACTTGCCCAAATACCTACCTAACTACTTCAGTAAGCATACAAATCCCATCACCAATCCCTACTAACCTATCGACCAAAGTCCTTCCTAATATCCAACAGTAGACGCTATCAAAACAACTCTTACACCCATTCGATCAACATGTATCTCAAATACAGACATCAATAACAAAACAATCACATATATCCGGTATTATCCCACCAAATCTTCCACGAAGAACTTACCAAAAAAACAAAAAATAAAACCATAGTCCTCCCGGTACCAACCCGCCCACTCACGCCCGCGTCTCCAACATACAAAATACCAAAATGGGAGACTGCTACCCCATATCCAGCGAAGACATTGTATCAATCTTCCGAATATTTTGCCGTACCATCATATTTATATTCCTAATTATCATTATATTTCGTCCCCGCCGCGGCAGACCACACTTTGAACATGGATATCAGTAAAGTCGTCGCGTTATTGTCGTACCTATTTCTACTACCTATCATAGGGACCCGCGGCTACACGCTACGTTTCGCTGACAACGACGATGTTGAAGAAACAGTGCAGCGACTGACGTGGGCGGGCTTCCTGGTAGTGACCTCGTTATGGATATACTTGCTTGCAACCGCCTACTGGTTCGGTGCTGATCCGGGTTTGAGTGCGAGAAAATTCGTGAGGACACTTGCATGGGCGTTTGTGTGGTATTGGGTTGGTTATGTGTTTGAGCGCGGGTTTGCCTACGGTTATCATTTCGCTGGATTTGCAGCCCCTTATCTCGGTATATGAAGTGCCGGGTATAGACAGACGACTGAGATACTACTGAGGTTATTCTGTGTATGGTTGATATTGAATAGCGGATATCTGATGAAAGAGCTATGTCCCAAGATGTGGCTAGTCTCTTAAGAGCGATCAGTAGAAATAGCCCCTAGCTAGTTAGACCGCACTGCTATTTAGTATCTTTACTATAACCGGACTTGGAATAATTCACGAATAAGTCGCAATGTGTAATTTCCATATTCAATGATATACGGGTAAACCAAATAGTAAACCTTGAGCCGAACCCGTTTTGAACTATGCCACGGATGTAGACGCCCGCACGCCTTGTACATGACGTGAAAAGTGAGCGACTCAAAATGGTCAATGAAGAACATAATGAATGACCCATCCCATCTAATGCGGGCAACAGACGCCGGGAAAAATAACATTACCAATTATAATCCACTTTTGATGAATCGTCTCGTAATTTAAGGTAGATAGTCTCATCGCGTTTCCAGCCGGCTCGAGGTTATACCCGAAATCAAACGCCTCCCTAATAGAACCAAATCAGTCCTGGCTCGCGCTGAGATCCATGCTCTTGTCCCAAAGATTCCGCAAGATGCCTGCGATGCCATCGTCTTCCCCGTCCGCGTAACTAGACCCACTTAATCGCTCGTGGAGTCTTTCCTCATCGCCATCAAAACCAGAACTTGACCCGTTCAGTCGTATCGATGTTCCTTGTGACGGTGTCGCAGGTCTTGATTTAGCCCGATCCGTAAGGCTCTGGCTTAAGCCAAGGCGGCTTGCACCGCCCAGGCCTGATGTTCTTTTCCCGTTTGCTGTTCCGTTGCTTCCGTTCTGATCAGGTATATGTTGATTCTTTCTTGCACTAGGTAGATGCGATAACCTCTCTATTGAACGCGCGATCGGGTTCTGATACCGCCTAACCACGAGGTACTCCATACCTGTACGCTCAAGTAGCTTGCCCATGCGCGGATCCCGGTTATCGTAGCTATATCCGCTAGCTAAGGGGCCTACACCCACGCCCCCAACCCCAACACCGCCAACTGGTTGCGGTGGTTCGATAGATGAGCTCGCTCGTTGGAGGTTCAGTTTTTGCTGCGTCCGCGACTTTTCCGCTGGCGCGGGTTTATACGCCGTCTTTTTTGTCCGAGGAGCTAAAGCACTATCGGTCTCATCGTCACTTATCGAGATTCGATAATTTTGGTTCAGGTTACCGAGCGACTGAGGCCGCCGTACGCCCTCAGGACGGTGGCTCGGGTTTCGTGTTGGCGGATAGAAACCCCCATTCTCGACATTTGGACCAGAACCGGGACCAGAGCCGGGACCGGAACCGTTAACAAAGCGAGAAATCAGCTCTTCCTGTCCACTGCCTACCACAGCAGTATTCTTGGGCGTCCCGTACAGACTCGTTTGGCCGCGACTGAGTTGGGACTCGGGCGAGCCCGATTGATGGCGCACGGATACGGTCTCGGTGGACATCTGGGGCGGAGCACCAGAAGAGGGTGTACGTTGTAATAGTCGCGAAGTCAAATATTGGTTGTGCTGGGCCGTTTCGCGACGTGGCGAGGACTCCTTCTTGGGAATTGATATATCTTCGTGGGGAGTTTGAGGTGGTGAATTATCGCGGCTGTGCGGCGCTTTTCCTTCGGTACTAACAGCCGAGCCGCGTCTTGACAAATATGGTGATGCGGATGCGCTTGCATCAACCCACTCGTCTTCTTGTTCGCTACCGAGATCGAAATGGACCTGGTTTTTTGCGCCTTTTAGCTTATTAACGTCTTTGTGGGACGAAGATCGCTTAATGCTTGTTGTGGATTTGGGTCGCTTTCCTATTTCGACGTGCGAACGGTTGCGCTTCAAACTCGACTGCGAGGGATTCTTGTTGTTCAGATTGGAGGATGACGGGTCGTGCTGCAGTTTAACATCTGAATTGGAGTTACGGTGTGATTGGGCGGCTACAGGCGCGCGCTCAGGAGAGGGAGAAGGGGGCCGTCGTGTCAGTTTAGTAGTGGATTTATGTAAGGTTTTAGACGATGGTACGCGAGGGTGAAAGCGTCCAGTGGCTCCTACAACGTGTTTTTGGGGTTTGGATCGGTGATGTTGTTGGTGGGATGCGTGGTCGCTGACTTGAGAATCGCTGTCATGGCGGTTGACGGGCGGTCTTTTTGATTGGGGGGGATTTGCGGCGGAATTGTCATTATCCTTAGCCATAGTACATGCAATTTGGTAATTCGCGCCTATGACAAGATTCCGTCTGTCAGCCAGAACTATTCAGCTGCCCAAGTGGGCGTGGGTGTGTCCGTCGGTGTACAGCCAGACGGCCGGGGGAGGGGTGTCCGGGGATAAAGTCTTGGAGGTCTGAATTTTTGGAGAAAAGATGGGTAAGAGTAGTAGAAGGACTGGATATTAGTTAGGTATGGCTTGGGGGGGTATTGTCGTACACAGGTAGAATACAACGCAAGACGCGCAGGTTGTATAGTTGTATAATGTACTAAAGTACACTGTCGTTTGGTACCGTCCTTACGTCGTTATATCGTTTATGTATGGTCGTACTGATTGTACCATAAACCTGGTTTGACCAGAGATGTGTCGGCGGGGGAATGGACGATGTGGCTTAAACAGACAAGTCTTAGATATTCTTTTTGACTGGTGACTAGGCTGTTCGATAATCCCAACTCGGCTGGATGACTGGATGAGGATAGGTAGCTATTACGAAATGGTAGTATTAATATGTGGGATGGAAGATCAAGTAACGTGCAGCGTATGCAATGCAAGCTCTATTAAGATGGCAAGCTATGACCGCTACCACAATAGCTGCCAAATAATTACTGCGTATGTAGAAAGGGAGAGATGAAGACGAGTATTAAGAAGGTATGAATTGATGATCGGGAAAAAGAAAAATGAATTATCTAAGATTGATGTCTACCGGAAATAATTACGACGCACTGTTCACATCAATGAGTTTAAGTTAGATTAGAACTTAGACCCAGTTAAGGTTCGAGCGGTTCCTAAACTAGAAGATATCCACTTACAATAGAATTCGCTTTGAGTCTAGGTAGGTCCATACCTATCCGGACCGATCATCGGATCCGGAATTGGCGTTGAGCCAAGGTATGGATGTATGTATGTATCTCACAATATCCAATTGTATCCCGCAACTCTACTTACATCATGCAGGTTACCTCATGTATATGTAAGTAATTCCACTACGCCTCGTACGTCAGTAGTACAGGGCGTTAAACTTATGCAGTATCGTCTCGAAAAGCAAACGAACATCGGTATCTCAACTCATTTAGCTAAAATGGGCGCAATCAAATGTATCACCAGGAACATCGCTATTTTCGACGAGTGGCGGCGAATCCCCTTTCCTCGGTAGACGGAGATAAATTACCACGTGTAGTAAGTGGGAGACCGGCTCGCTCCGAGTAGGTACCTATGTACATGCTAACAACGCGATGCGGGGTTTTCTTTCGGTTTATGAAGAGGTACAAACATGAGGACGGGACGTTGCGCACATTTTGTAAATGTTGGGGACCTTAGGTACATATGTACTTTAGATACTAAGGTACATACAGGGGTACATACATAAGCTAGTGTACACTAAATGTTGTACCACATGTACTAACACCCGTGGGGTTCGCCCCGAGAGCTTCCCCGTATTTCCTCTTTCGGCTTTCCAGAAATCGATTTCGTGTTTCCTCGTCAATGTTTCCTTTCCTCTAACAATTCACAATTCACTACAAACTAGCTACACACACATAACCGGCTGAATAGAGCCTCATTTCCTATGCGATCTACATCTTATCTTTCCCTAGATGTTTCATTTAATAAGATCACGGGTATACTAGCCAGCATGTCCGTCAATATATGGAACAGATTTTCAAGTTTCTCGAACGTGTCTCGTCGCAGCACCGTCACGCTCGACCCTCACCTCCGGGTAATTTCAAATGACAAGTGTCAATTTCGTAGCTGTTTATCTGTGCCATATCTCGAAATAAAAGAGTGACCATGGTGTCATTTTTCGACATTGTATCTCACATCTTAATATGTTAAATTAGCGTCAAGTTACGATCAATCTACTGACGGAATCTTGGCAAATTGTATATTGTATATCTAAACATAATACCGTCAACATGGGCTATTACGAGACCAGCTTCTACGGGTTGCTTTCCCTATGTGCAGGTCTGCTTGCTTCTCAACCCACCCGGCGGAATGAGTTGAAGAAGCGTCCCGAATTACGAAAGCAGGTATCGCGATATGATGTGCATCCCGAAACAAACTGGTACAAGGCCTACGCTCTCGTTATGGGCGCCGACTGGCTTCAAGTATGTTTTAAAGGAATAAGATGCTCGTAATGCTACTCCGCATTAGCTAATTTGGTACCTTCATAGGGACCGTACCTGTATTCCCTGTACCGCGATGAGCATGGCGTGTCTGAACGATTAGTATCTACTCTCTTCGCCACAGGTTTCTTATCCAGCGCCATCAGTGCATGCTTCATCGGGGCCTTAGCAGACAGACATGGCCGTAAGGCAACCTGTATGATATTTTGCCTCCTTTACGCCATGTCGTGCTTTTTCACCGTCATTCCATCCATAGGATTCCTTTTTCTAGGACGTATCCTCGGTGGCATCAGCACAAGCATCCTCTTTAGTGTCTTCGATAGCTGGATGGTAACCAACTTCCGGGAACGTAAACTGGTCGAACATGGATGCGACCTGTCTAGGACTTACGCTACCACCAGTATCGTTAACAGCCTTTCGGCAATTGTGAGCGGAGTTGTCAGTGAATGGCTTGTGAGGGTGACTGGTACCAAAAAGGCACCATTTCTACTCAGTTCTGTTTTACTTTGGATGGCCCTCCAGCACATCTGGGGCCATTGGGTACGTAATATGTCTCTCTATTAACTTGAGCCTCAAGACTAATATGCAAGCAGGTCGAAAATTTTGGTTCAAAAGCTTCAGAATCTTCAGACAAGCCTAAGACGTCCAAGCTCTGGTCTACATTGAAACAACCATCAATCTTAGCTCTCGGCTTTGCTTCGACCATGTTCGAGGGATCCATGTATCTCTTCGTATTCTTCTGGACGCCTACCATCAAGTCCGTACAGAAATCTACAGGACAGCTTCCTTACGGCTACATCTTCTCCAGCTTCATGGCGTCATCAATGGCAGCAGCATTAATATTCAACATTGTCATGCAGAAACGGCCTTTTAAGTATTCCCGCCTTCTTATCGGAATCCTCCTAGCGGCCAATTTCTGTTTTGTTAAATTAGCTGGCCCCAAAACCGAGGATGCTACTTTCTGGCTCTTGTGCCTTTTTGAAGCTTGCGTTGGTATGTACTGGCCCTGTACCGGCTACTTGAAAGGACGTCTAGTAGACGACGATGTTCGTGCCAAGGTTTACAGTATCCTACGAATCCCCTTGAATATATTCGTCGTCGTGGCACTGTCCATTGCTGGTGACAGCCAGCATTTCGGTAAAGTGTTTTCAACATGCTCGATGTTGCTAACGGCATCTTTTGGTGCAATCTGGGCAGCAAGTCTAAAAGAGGACATGCCTTAAGACAGGGTGTGGTGGAAAGCGTTTCAAGACGTTCGATTTCGGAGGTTGGTTCAAGTCAGTTTGACTTCAGCGGTCAAGTTTTCTAGAGCCTGTATATATGCGCGCCTTAGACCTAAAAGTTATTGCTTAATTATATGAAATCCATTAACATTGACCTATAACTACAATACTTATCTACCTAAAGAGCCATTGAAGGCGGGTTTACCAAGTTAGGTAGATATGACTTAACATAAAGACAGGGTAGCTTCACAAAACTTAAGGCCATGTCTACTTTCTGGCGAGATGTGATTCACGTCTATTCATCTAACGTTTTACTCATCAGTACCTCAGGAGCCACTCAGTAGTAACTTCTTAAATACAACAGGTACCAAAGGATTCCAGGACGCGATTGCTTGAGCTACAATTTTATCAATCGGGAGAACGTGATTAATAATCAGGGGTAAACCTAAGCAAAGAACAACTGTGAAAATAAAACAGGGGGATAGTTCATATCCGTAAAATTCATCTCGTCATGTATACTAGCTTGTCCTAATCGTAAGCTCTTCATAGATGAGATACGTCTTTACTTTAATAATCGCTTACGTACACCAATCTAGAGTTATAGAAGTTCCGTGGATTTTCTAGACTCGAGCATATACGTCGAGCAAGGAGGCCAGAAGGCAATATAAACTAGGAAGCTAAGCCAAAGAAAGTATACACCTAAAGTATCAATCGAACCTCTCCTAGAACATCTCCAGGGGGTGTATTAGAATATATTTCTAGCACTCAGCAACCGACCCCTTTTTTGGGTGGATCAGCCGAAATATTAGAGGACTCACTCGTAGTTAAGTTAATGTAAAAAACGCTTCGCGTTCTTTGATGGTTAGATGCACCTCTAAGCAGTGTGTGGGATGTCATATCATCTTCTATTCGACACATCTCATCTCATCTTAGACAGAGAAAATATATCATTGGATCTTAATACTCGATACCAACCTTCTTCCTCTTGGTTAGCACATATCTAACCCTTTGGTATCACTTCTTCAACGAGAAGCGTGCTTACGTTAGAATGAGACATGCACTTCTTTATCTAGCGGCTCTACTTTAACAGGGAAGAACAAGGAGGAATCACAAGAGCTCATCATTAGGGCTGTAGACTTGAATATGTACGGTTTCAACATGACATAGTATAGGTTCAAATCATCCCTTCGCTAGAACTAATATATTTTCTATATATATATCTTAGTGACCAACCTTCCACACCGCCCCCAAAAGTCCCAATCCCAAGTAGTTAAACGACCCGAGAACGTAATACCGCTTACCTCTCCACCAATCCCTTCCAACTCATTCCACTCGTACTAGCCTACCGAACATCGTATTCCAAGCGAATGCAAGAACTTGGCGGAACCAAGTAAACCCGAATAAAATATCTAGACCGTACCCGTTTGCCTTAAGTATCTATTCGTATTATTATAATCCACCTAACTATTAGCCAAGGATCGTCGTCGCCCTAGATCAATTACATGCCCAGGCACCTAAAGTAGTCGAGTCATAGCGAGGCGATTCTCGCGCCGAGACGCCGGAGCTAACTAACCTCGGGTAACCAAGCAGGCAGGTAATGAGCTTGATGAAGTCCAAGCGCAGACGTACTTGGTTGAGCTAGCTGAGGAAGGATTCACTAATATCCTAGCCTAGCCAAGATATTATTAAGTCTGAATTTCCAATACGGCCGTAAATCAAAGTTCAGAAAAGTCCATCCCGTGACAAATTCAACGTTGAAATTCAAATTGTAACTTATCTAACGACTAATGGAATCAAGTTTAAATGACTTCACAAATACCGAGAAAAAACGATGGCTGCAAAATGAACATTTATATTTTCTGTACGTCTTGGTATCATGTGTTGGATGGCAGCACAGCCATCAAGCTTGCAAGATTCCGCCCAATCCTATATATATAACTCGTCCCCAAATAACCTCGGCTTAGGTATCGTCTCTTCAACTCCATATACATGCAATTAATCGTTCCGATGACTGACCCATCCCGTTCGCCGGAGCACCACAGCGGCCGGTAGTCTGCTGGACGTCAAGCCCAGGCAATCCACGTGAACCGTAATTATAAGCAATAAATTGGATGTAAAGAGGCGGATCGTCTTTCCCGCGGCCTTCTACAAGGCGTTCAGGAGGACAATCGAGCTCTAGCTATGTGCAAAAGGATCGTTCAGAAGAAGTAAAGACGGCCGGTTCGTAGCAGTGGAAACCACAGATCACCAATTCACAAATGCCTAAAAAATAGCGCTATTCGCAAAATTCGACATGAGATGCATTTACAACATGAAAGCGGCCATGAGGCAGGCACCGATAGCAGCGGTGCTGAAACCAGCCTTCATAGCACCGCCGGTAGTGGGTATACTGGCGGGAGGAGCAGTGGCAGAGGCGCTGCTGCTGCTATCAGCAACAGCCGAGGTCTCGCTACCACTGGAAGACGCGGACTCAGAGGCAGAGGCAGAGGCAGAGGCAGAAGCGGAGGCGGTAGCAGAGGCGCTGGCGCTGGCGCTGGCGGTGACGGTGGTTAGGGTGTTCTTAGCAGAAGTCTTGATGGAAGTGATCTCAGAAGAAGTCTTAGTAGACTTGGCAGTGCTAGAAGCAGAGCTGCTAGAGCTAGTCTCATCATCGCTGCTAGCGTCACCAGTGATGACGTTGATGCTCTGGTAAGAACCGTCGGAGCCGTTAGCCCAAGAGTACTTCACAGCGTTCGCAACACCGTTGCTGTAGTCCTGGATAGTGAGGGACTTGTAGTAAGCAATGAAGGGCGCCTGGCTGAAGTCGGTCTTGCCACCAGCCCACTGGACGGTACCCTCAGGAGCATCGGAACGACCAGCAACCCAGGTACCAAGCTTGATCTGCATAGGAGTCTGGGGGAATCGGGTGCCGCTCTGAGCATCGGCATACTTCAACTCGCGAACCTGGGCGTCGTTGATATACCAGCGGACGTAATCCTTAGTCCAGTCGATAGAGTACTTGTAGGTGTTCTCCTGGGGGTTGGCAACATCGTGGTAGGCACCACGGTCGTAGGTGGTAGTATCACCCTTACCGAAGTAGTTGGTCTGGACCTGAGTCGTGTCACCACCAAGCCACTCCCAGTCGATCTCGTCAAGGTCGTCGGACTGTAGCACGAAGCTAGTAACTACACCGGTGCCGGGGGCAGCCTGGACCTCAACATCGATCTTGCCGAAGAAGATGTACTTGTTGCTGGTGATGGTGGGGGCCTCAGTCTCCTTGTTGATGGTGAAGACAGCACCTTTACTGCCGTAGGTGAGCGTAGTACCATCGGCAACCTTGAACAGGCTGTTCGCTCCCTTGGTGAAGTCAACGGTGACAGTAGTACCTAGAGCAGGGTCATCGGGGCACGCTGATATTGGGTGTTAGCAATCAAAAATACTCCCAGGCATGATTTTGAAGCTGAACTCACTCTTCTTGGTGGGATCGCAGTCAGTATAGGTCTGAGCTGAAACGAGCTGGGTGGCTGCCAGGACCACCGCAGCGGTAGACAAAAGCTTGGAGAACATTTTGGCCGGTGCTGAAACGAGTGGGTAACTACGATTGCTCCAGCCTATGTGATCGTGAAAAGATGAGCAGAAGGGCACAGGGTTCGGGGAGACAGGAGTAGATTTATTAAGAGGTTGTGTATTAGCTGGAGGGGTCTGTTTTAACGAGAGACAGAAATTGGTTTTTAATAAAACGGAGCGGACGGGCCACGCTGCACAGTAAGACAGACAGCTTTAGTGAGGAATGTGTTGTATGGTAAACGAAGGTGTGGGAATAATTACCTAGAAGAAAAGGGGACGATTTGCAGGGAAGTGGGAACGGCTATGATTTTATTTACGAGCCAACGACCGAGTAACCAGCTCTTTCCATTGAATATCCTTTCTCGTTCTTACTCTGTACCCGAGTTACTGCCTGTCCTGGACCATTCTAGGACGCCGAGCCTGCTTGTTTGGGTAGGTAAGGCCTCTTCTGTCCCCTGTCTGAGATGGGTCTAGGAAGTCCAGACTCGGCAAGTCTACTAGTCCACAGGGAGTTAGAACCGAGACTGCTCAGCAGGGAGCGCACCAGATTTGTGGCTCTGCTGAACCATTATAACCAATCAACTTTGTAAAATATTGATGGTCCTAGAAAATGACAAGGGACCCCTGGCTGCGCCCCATCATCTCGCATCGTAATAACCCCCTGTTCGTATCCTAGGGGTTATCATGGGTCACAGTACATAGAAAAAAATAATAATAATAATAATGATAAACGGGCAGATCGTATCACCCCAGTGTATCCTCGCCATCCTAAGAAAGTGACGTTGCAGCTTCTATAGCATCGCGGTTAAACAATGATCGTGACCTTTGTGCGCACATTGCTCAGATGACTAAATAAGCATAAGTGGATTTTATTTTAGATAGTGATAGATGTGATAAAGATGAGCAAGGAAAAACACGTCAAAGAGTAATACGATAGATGACATATCTCGCCATCTCGTTAAATCATCATTGCGTGTCGCGCATGTTAGTGTGTCCGTTGAACCGTTGAACCGGAGATGAAGTGGTTATACATACCTAGATCGGATGTTGTTGTCGCTTCGGCGAAGCCCAGTGCTGACTTGACACTGGACAAGCCTTGACATTCGGCTTTTAACAAAAATCCGCTGGGAAAATTGCATTTACATAGGAAGTACACTACATAGACTTATTAGCCTATTAACACTTACACGCAGTATTAAGTCAAAAGGCTATGAAACGCCAGCACTATATACGGAACAGGCAATAGACTATGCCGCAAGTTCTGGGGTTTCGCGAGTTTCTTGGGTAAGTTAGAATCTATTGAATTCTCGTCAGGAGTTGAATGGAAGGTTTCTATGAAAAGAGCCATCATCATCTTGGATTAATTGATCCAGACCCAAAAAAGCAGTTGCCAGCAACGCCCGAATCCATCTTCCTAAATTCCCAAATTCCTAAACCCGAGGTAACAATCGCTAATGTATGTACGGATTACCTCCCAGGATACAGGGTACTAAACCCCATACACTACATCCATGTAGTACGTATTCCCCATATTCAGCCTTCTTGTTCAATAAGTCACAATACATCCTTCTTCCTAAAATCGACTTCAACGGCCGTCTTCATCTCATCTTGGGTATGTTTACGGTTCTTGGCGGCGGCGCGGCGCTTTCTGGAACCAACCGTTTTGCGGTTATACGGCAGCTAGTGATGTATTGGGACGAGCCTAGGTTCAGCTGCAGCTTCTAATTCACGCTAAAGCTCAGCCTGCATAAGGGGTCCCCCTTCTAGCGACCATGCACTAAAATGGTGTAGTTTATGTCAGGTACAAATGAAATGCGCTCAATGCAGGGATGATAAAGGAATAGCCTATCGCATAATTAGCTAGCAGCAGACGGTTTAGCTTAATAGCTTTGCAGTTTTGACGGGACGAATTGTGAGGTAATTGTAACTACTACTTATACACTAAGGAATGCCACATCTATCACGACTCATCAAGTCACTGGTTTCGTGGTGTAGTTGGTTATCACGTCAGTCTAACACACTGAAGGTCTCCAGTTCGAGCCTGGACGAAATCAACCATTTCTTTTTGCGTAGATCTTGACTCGGACTATCTTTTTTGCAATTTTGACATGTTTGTTTCGCATTCGCATTTAAAAACCCGAATATCAATAAGTAATACAACTTCAGTTTGGGTTCGTTGGATTTTGGAAATATCCAGATACATGTACTTCGTACATATTTTTGTATGTAATTCGCAATTCCCACGTGAAATTGTTAGGTAGTATGTGTGATACCCCGAAATAATATCGACCAATTGTTGTTTTTGGCATCTTGGCATCTTTTTAACGAGAACCCCTCTGCCCCTCCAGACCGCCAAGCAAAACCACAAACAAACCGAGAACCGATCGGTCGTGCGTTAAAGATGGCACATGCAGCCCTGCGACCTGTGCGACTTATGCTAATGCGCCGTGCTACCTATGATATCGATCCGACACTATGGTTGAAACAGCCCCGATTGTGTCAATCAATCCACCGATTCCCTCTCCGTACTTCCGTCAGGACCGCGCGACAATTCCGAAACCTGACCTGGAGTCGGTAGCGCACAGCCCCTTATTATTCACTATTATACACTACACAACGCAGTTCCCATCTTCAGATTTTCGATTTGTTACAAAAATAAACACTTTTCGCACTTGTCAAGTAGCCTATTACTAACGTGCATAGATGCGCTGACTCGCATAGGCGGTCGCCGAATAACGAACAGCCAAGAAGCCGCCCACGTCGCAAGATGGTAAGCAACTATTTGATGCCGCCGGGGCAAGCTTCGTATTCCGTGTTCATATGACCGAATCTGGCTGAACACGGTCTCGGGGGTTCCGCGGGTCCCGCGATCACGAGGGGCTTAGACGGAGGGGGGAAGAAGCTAAGCGGAGAAGAAGAAAAAAAGGAAAAAAAAAAATGCTTGGTTCATTAGTCATTTGCATACTACTAGCGTAGCAGCAAGCGTACCTACCTAAGGTCAATATGTAGGTAGACCGTAACTTCAAAATATAACCACTCTAAGCAGTCGGGACGGGAAAGCGGGTAGAGCCATGTATCAACTCTAAATTTAACTTTCTCGTCATCCTTCTTTCCTACCAGCCTCCACCCTTCTTTACGCTTACACACATTCGTTCCTTCACGGCCACGCAACTTCCGCGGACTCTCCGCCGAACAACAAAGACATTAGAATTCCAACCTTCGTAATAAGTCCATTAACACGTCATACCAGATACTCTGTCTTATAGAATGCTAGTCGTTGCGTAACTAGACTTATCTCTAGTTGCAACTAGTGTATAGGTAGTTTTTACGCAACTTCGTTGTTGAAGCCCAAATACACTATGCAACTCCGCCTCGATTACGGATCTCTTTAGTTTGATTTCCTCACGAAATACTGCGGTCGATGCTACGTCGATGCGTTATACGGTATCCTCAAATCCTTCTCGAATATTCTTAGGATACTCTCTTCGATAGTGTAAGTTAGATAGCTTTTCAGTTATGACCGCCTTTACACGTGGCGCCACTCGTATCGTTGGTAGTAATGGCTCATGAGGCTCTAACCAGCCCGTATTTTACTTCTAGTGTAAACGAGATATAATTAGTCTCCGATAAGTATCGAGAGTCTGCCCCATTCAACAGTCGGCTGTCTGGAATCACGAATAAAGCATTACCTAAGATATATACGAGGAAGCTTTGGTGACTAACAAAAAGGATAAAGGGGTGATAAATGTTGATAGCATAAAACTCAGTCAGACGTTGTACGAGTACCTACGCTCCTTCGCCCTAACTAATGATATAATGAAAAACTAGCAATGGCCAAGAGTATAAACTCGTGTTACCCGAGTCATGAACATACCTAGCTCGGGCTTGGTGGTTTCATGCATAAATCCCCATCTTAACAATTACATTCAATGGTCTCTCGTGTTGCGCAAAGCCCCTCCCAAATTAGTGTATGTCTCAATCTAGGTGGCATGTCTGTCAGCTGTGCAGATCAGTGTAACTACCTCTCTGATAAGAAGTAGGTATATTGTAGAGGGGCCATCCGAAGAGGTCGACGCCATGCGTCAATCATAAACTACTAGGTTAACCCCTTTCCAACTCATTCACTCACTTCAAGTCCCATGACAGCAACCATCTGCCATGAGAGCGGATTATAAGACTCCTTTGATGAGGGTGTCCAGCTCCGGCGCCCGTCATCTCAGCCATTGTTTCGGATGACACATGATGGTGACTGCCAATTCGACATGCTTGATTTCAATTCAATGACAACTTGAATCAGTGTTAAACTTGCAATTTTGAAAATACACATAGAAGATAAGCTAATTCTCGCCGTTTTTACCTAACTACTCGGATCGCACTGTTTCAGAATAGTTCATAAGTATATTGACGCCCGTATAATTATAAGACGACGTGGTAATAAACACTGGAAGCGGGATACGTGTAAATGATGCTACTGTAAGAATCGTATCTCTTCCTTCTAGTTTAGCTCTCGTAGGTTCGTCTTTTATACTTAGTATTACTATTTGTAGTCCACGATCAACCCCCTTTAAGGCAGACCACGCTTGAATAAACTCCAGCATGTTACTCTTCGGACTCTCGTTATTAAATTCCCAGAAGCCTACGCTTTAGAAAGTAATGCGTATATTTCTATTGATCATACCTAACTTCGAGGCAATATGAAGTTGATAGCAACTCTCGGGTTATTCGGTGCGGCGATGTTAGTTGTGGAAGCGAGGTCTGTCCGTCTGCCAATAGGTGAACCGCCTAGGATATAACCTAATGTCGACGATGCCGACGTAGATATAACCGTTCCTTACCTTCCTAAGATGGATAGAAAGTTGACATACCTTACACTAGATGGAGATTATTACGACGGCGTTAATCCTCCGGAAGGCTTTGAAGTGCTCGGGAACTACTCGCGTTAGCTGGTTAGGGGTCTATACTCAACATCTAGCTCTTATGCCTCTTGCGCCGGCGATAAACGACTGTGAATATATCAAGAACTTAACCGGTAATCAGAATCGGGGCGCGGAGAATACAGGATATTGTTTTAGGAAGCTAGAAAAGAACCAATACCTGTCTCCTAGCAGTGATACGACCAAGGCCCTTGTATTTGACGGTTAGTTCCCGATAATCATCGGACCTTTAGCCCTATACACTTGCAATTTGAATTTCGTCTCCATTCTCCTCTCGGCCGCCTCCGCTATAGGCATTCGGACAGATAGTACCCTTAGCTGCATTCGAAACTCCATCAGGGAGCAATGGCGTCGCTGGGAAGGTGAGTACATGACATGCGCAAGAGGGTTTAGCAAACTAACATCCTCAATGCAGGTATTTCTATCGAGGATCGTGCAGAAAATCGCAGATCGTCTTGATAAGGTGGGTGGGTGTCTCTTATTTACCTGCACCCCCAACTCACCCCCTCAATCCACACTCTCACAGCGTACGCGTACACATACCCACACGCACACGCACTACATCCGTCTTACGCAAGCTCCAGTATTGACAGGTAGATGATAGCTCCTGGAGTACAACACCAACAATACATGTAATTCTCCAGACCGCGATAACACCTCGGTGCTTAGCCGCGTCTCTTTATCTATTAGTTACCCTGAGTGGAAGCGTTCGACGCCACGAGATTGGATTTATGACATAGCCACAGCTAGGAACGCTGATGGTTCGAAGAAATATTCTCTAGAAATTGCGCTGCATACCCTCGTGACGAAGGCGAACTTCGATACTATATAGTATAGGTGACAAACCCAAGGCTATCGGCATCGACTACCTACCTATATGGCGAGGGTCTGTACCGGACCGATCCCCGATCTGGCCCCACTGAAAAATCCGGTACCCCCGGATCCGTCTCGGCGACTCGTGGGGTTATCGTCCAGGGGGAGCGTTGAACACGCCACAGGCCTTGAAACTCTCTGGCATTGACCCCGCCGCGGAGCTGGAAAGATTCGGTATTCCGGTTATCAAGGACCTTCCCGGAGTTGCCGGTAACCTACAGGACCGATATGAAACCAATCTAACAGTCTCATCGTCGAGTAACCCCACGCTCTTTAGGAACTACACGTTCATCACAACAGACGACGACCTATGCTACGGAACATGGCTGGTACTCGAAGCGCACTCGCGCAACACCACCGGCACCGTAAAACTACCTAACCTAAACTAGTGCCGACCCCCGCGACACGCCGCGTATCACGTTCCGCAGCTTCGGCGAGGGTGACCCCCTCTCGCGCGGCGGACGCAGATAAGGACTTGCAGGCTGTGGTGGTATGTAACACTGCGTTTTCTCTTCCCCTTCCCTTTCCCTTGTCACATCATTCAGCCTGTCTCGGTAACTAGTGCTTCGGTCAATCAGTTAGTCAATATAACTGAGGAGCTGCTACCGAGACATGCATGCATATCCAACCTCCTAGGCTAGTATCTTACCTACCTACCTGCCGAAAGAAGCAACTGCTAACTTCTGTTGTTGTAGGACGGCATGCGTCCAGCCATCCAAGTTTTCGACATCCTGGAGTCGCTTGGGGTTGGCGAGCCATTTGAGCGCAGGTGGCCGCCTGTAAAGATACGGTCGGATGATGACCCCTTGGCTGCTTTGGATGGTTAATTTTGTGTTTGTAGGGTGGATGGGTTGAGAGTCGTTGTTGCGTCGGTGTACCCCAAGATCCCGTAAGTGTTTAGACTACAGTCCTTTCCGTATATGTGTGCACGGTGCTGACTTTGGATGATATAGGGGGCTGTATCCCGTAATAGGGGTTTATATGTTGGCTGAGAAAGCGGCCGATGACATCCTCGGGGATGCATGATAATAAAATACGCAGTTACGTATACTTATAGGGTTAGATGTAGGCATAATGGGTAGACTGCCTCCCTAGGTGAGTAGGTAAAGGCCTCACGATGGATAGGCAGTTTATTGTTGTCTCTATCTTTAAGTTCGTATACGTAAGGTGCCTACCTAGGTAGATACATGATATCCTGACTTACTAAGAATATAATCCACCCAAGACAATAACAGTTACTCTGCTGTATTGGATTCATCTTTATACAATTCCACAATCCTCCTGCCAACCGATTCCCCGGAGAGATACGCGCCAGCAACAGTACCAGATTCCTCGAACGGGGCTGCGTGTTCGCCGCAAAACCACAGTCCGCGGTCAACGCATCCTTGTCGGATCGTAAGGATATCCTGATCCGCCTCCTCGACGCCGACCTGAAAATTGCAGTAGCTCGCGTTGCCACACAGGTCGTCCTTGAGCCACTCCGTAGCTAGGATCGCTTTTGGAATACAAGCTTCGCTGGCGACGTCGTAACCTGGTAGCCGTGAATAGTAGGGCTGGAAGAAGTCTCGTAGGAAGGTAAAGTTCTCGGCTTTTGGCCGGCCGTGTATCGCGTTGACAATGTGGCGCGAGCAGTCACCGTATAGGTAGAAGAGGATAGTAGGGTGTTTGTTGGGTGCGGCGAGAGCGGCAAGGTTCCAGATCTCCTGGGGCCAGCCGTGTGGGTTGGTATCGTGGGCATACGATGGTGTAAGCCAGTTTGTGTAGGCAGGGAATGAGTCGGCCGTTGTATCCGAGATCCAAAACGCGGAAGGAAACGTAATGAATACTTTCTCGAGTTGCGAAAGCTTCAGATTGTGGAAGGCAGAACTCAACCTCGACGGCAAAGCGGGTTCGAAGCTATCCATATTCTTTTGGAGCCATCCTAGAGGTGTCGCCATCACAACTTGGTCGAACTTGTACTCATTCCCGTTCTCTATTCTCAGAATAGCCTTCTTCTGAGACTTATCGTGATGCGCAGTGTTAATTGATGTGACTTTAGCATTGAGTATGACCTCGGCTTGTTCGGTTGCCGCCTTTGCGATCCTATCTAGGATCGCAGAATAGCTTGACTCGACGAAGACTTCTTCTATTATCTTGTTAGATTTGGGGGATATGTGTGCCTTTCACGCAACCTTACCGCCGCCACAGCATTCCTCCATCCAAGCGAATCTCAGACTCTGTTTCCAGACAGGCTCGCCGACGTAAGCACCCCACATCTCACTCATTTGGATGAGGACTTGTCGGTCTTCCTCATCTTCCAGCTCCTCTGTTGCTCTCTTGCTGATGAAATCGTATAAAGACTCTTCTCGTGGGATGCTCTTCCCCTTATCCTTCTCCCGGGCAGCCTCGCTAGTCTTGAAAGCCTTTTCGATTATCTCCCATAAGAGAGTTGAGAGCCTCTCAGACTTTTCCTCTGGCACTTTATTGCCCGACGAGTTATAGATGAGTTGCTTCCCGTTCCAATGATGAAGAGGCGTTTGAGTCTCGACTGCAAGTTTTAGGATCGGATGCACGTCGCCGCTGTCCCAAGTGTGAATCCAATTTGGGCCGCTATACTTGAAAATCATTTCAGTAAATATCTTTTTTAAGGACACCGGGATGCGTAATTTAATCACATGTCAACGGTGTAGCCCAACTCATCTGATTGGCATATCTAAATAGATTCGTTTAGCTTTTACTCCAGTGGCTGTAAGGGATTCACTCACTCTTCCACCGATCCTATTCCTGGCCTCGAGAATCGTTACCTTGAAGCCGTGAGATAAGAGGATATCCGCGCATCGAAGTCCGGATACACCCGCACCCACGATACCTATATGCGGGTTGTCGCCGTTTCGGCTTCCCATGGCTGGGCGCGATTTGCTAACCTACCTACTACCTGTCGACCTGAACTGAACAATAAACTTTGAGGGTTACTATTCTCTACCTATGTACGGTATTCTCAATCATGGATAGAAAGGAGGAGTATTCGATGAACAAATTCATGACGAAAGTAATTATCCCGCAATAGTCCTAGACGAACCCATTATCGATGAAAGGTACCTGTTTGCAAGGCAGATTATGCCGAGTCTACGCGTGAATCGGCCTACAGGACTAAGACGCTGGCGCTTATTTGAACTCTGCGGTAGGTCGTGAACGCCACCAATCCTCGGCTAGAATTCAGCTACCGCATTCTAGACCAGACGCTACAACCCACTCGACCACTGCAATAACGGAGAGATGCGTAGGTAGATATAAACGATGAAACGCTTTTTATTAAACGCTGAACTACGGTATGCTAAGTATCATGCAAGATAACCCATGAACTAGGGAGGCGTACATAATATATATATAATTATCACAAGCTTGTGACCTTTCCCAGTAACATGCTCCCTTTGATACCACGTGCTGTCTATATATAAATACCCAATATATAGGTAGGTAATTAACTCATCCCTTTCCACCTTTCTATACGCGCAACCGGCTTCCCACAAGCAAGCCAAGATACGCAAGAACGCGGTATATAGAGCCGATAGCAAGTAAATATCCCATATTACGCCAATGCCAGTCCAGATGGAAGCCCACCTGCTGCGCAGCCAACTCCACATTGTAGAGATACCGGAACGGGCTGACGAGCTGTCCGAAATACAGCTCGGCAAGCCACGTACCCGGCGACGCTCGCCATAACCACTCCACGTGCCAATCCTTGACGCTGGACAAAGGCGGCGCAGCGCCCGATAATATGCCGACGATCAGGCTGATCATGGTCGCTATCAGAGGCGCGTCTTCTCGTCGGACTACCATGCTGATGCAGCTAGCGAGGCCGTAGATGCAGTAGAAGTACACGAGGTTCGCGAGGAAGGCCGTGGCCCACGGGATAATAGATACGGAGAGCAGAAGGATTACCGTCGAGAAGTGCATGCAGGCGAACACCATGCGAGGTATGACGGAGATGTTCTTCGCGAGGTAATATGCGATGCGCGAGTGGCCTGCTTCGGATTCTCGGCGGTATAGCAGCATCTCTTCGGAAAAGACCTTGACGCCGGGTGCAGAGGCCACGAGACCAATGGCGATGGCCATTAGAAGCGCCAGTTCGGGAACAGACTTGATATCCGTTGCTAGAGATAGGACATCATACGGCGCATTGTAGATTCCGGTGAATAGTACGCCCTTTTTCGAGTTCTCGGCCAATCCAAGGAGTAGCCCTGCCACCGTAGCCAGGCCCATCTCGAAGCAGAATGCCGACTTTGTCCGCCATTGCTGGAGCATGGCGCGCGATAGACATAACCAAAGCTGTTTCCAACGCGGCGCACCTCGCTTCCTTAGTAGTTCTCTGCCCTTTGAATTATTTTCCGCGATAGATGTCCTTGAATACCTGACCGAAGCATGCTTTTCCTTAATCGACGCGTTTCTACTCGACTGTGCCCAATTTGCAATCAGCGCCTCCTTCGAAATGTCTCCGGTCCGCTTATATATCCTGCCATTTCCAGTAATAATATCCGTAACAACGTCGCCAAAATTGCTGTGCGGGGGGAAGCTGAATCCGACGGTTTCGAAGAACTCCTGCACGCCAGCCTCCGGTCCCTCGTAGATGATCTGTCCGTTTGCTAGTAAGATGAGGTCGTCGAGCATTTCGAAAATCTCCATACGCGGTTGGTGGATGATGACAATAACGGAGATGCCTAGTCGTGCGATCGCTTTAAGTGTTCGCATGATAGAGGACGCAGCCGTGGCGTCGAGACCGCTGGTAGGCTCGTCGAGGAAGATGGCCATAGGAGCTGCGGCGAGTTCCATTCCGATACTAACTCGTTTCCTTTGACCACCGCTAATAACGGGCTTTCCAACGCTGCCGACTAACGAGTCGCGAACATGAGACAGTTCCAAACAGTCGATAACCGAGTTGACGTGAGCTCTTATGTCAATATCCTTCCAGGTTTGAGGTAAACGTATCCTCGCCGAGTGGAGGATATTTTCGTAGACGGTTAGTTCAGGTAATACGATATCGTCTTGCGGCACATAACCAATAAGCTTCTTATATCTCTTGATCTTCCCAGGCACGTTGTTAATCATGACCGAACCGCCCGTGTTAGTGGTTTTCCCCATAAGAACGTTTACGAATGTACTCTTTCCGGCACCAGAACCACCCATGACCGCCGTTAGAGAGCCACGCTCGATAGACCCCGTAACGTTTTGCAGGATCGGCTTCGGATTGCCTTTGGGATGGAAGCTGAGGTCGGAATACGCGAACGATAGACCGAAGCGAGCGCCGTCGGTTGCTCTCCGCATAGACTCGACAAACGCTCGGAGCTGCGGCGAGAATCCGCTTTCGGTAATGTTTAATGTAGAACTTCGCGGCGTTGGGAATTCCAGCGCAGCTTCGAAACCGGTCCACGCATCCTGACCTGGCATGTATGTCGCCTGCATCGGCATCATCTCATGGTCGTTATCTGCCTCGCCGGAGATCTCCTTGTAGCCCGTGACATTTCCCACGAAGGTAGTCCTCCTTTTCAGCTTGTTGCCGATGGACTGCTCGCGGGCCCTCCAGAAGCGCTTGCGAACGTAATATGAAACGAGCAGTATAGCTATGATGATGTCGACGAGGACTAAGACGAGGATCGGGATTAAGAATGTTTCGTACGACGACCCTTCGGGGCATCTACTTCCAACGCTACACGGTGTAGGCGAGGGGGCACCGGGTTGACAATACGAGCCGGCCGGACAGGTAATCATTTCGTTGCGTCCGGGCGGACAGTAATACCCCTGTTGGCAGACAACGGGCTCGAAAGGACCCATTCCGAAGTTTTTACCGTTGTAAGTGCAAGTGTAGCCCGCCAGTCTCGCTATCTGACACTCTGTTATAGGAGCGCAGAATTGTGGTAGCGAGTTTACGGTGTTATTAGTACCTAGTTCAATCATCAGCACGCCTTCTATCTCCATCTGTCTCAACCCTATTTGGAGATCCAACTTACATAGAAAACCCTCATTACACCCGTTCGTCTCCCAGCTCGACGCATTCTGAATCGTAATCGGAAGGGCTCCGGGTCGCCAACAAGGGGCGGCATCGACAGGCGTGTCATTTCTTTGGAGTTCTGCCGCAGCCCTATAGTAAGAAGTAGAGAAAGATGTGCGGTTCTCGCCCGTGCATGCTCGATCCCAGACGCTAAGTTTGCTAGGATTGAGATCGATTAAGGCATGAGTAGAGTTATCTACCATGAAAGCCTTGCTAGTGTCGGGATGATTCGTTGCGTCCGATATGAGGAGCTCCTCGGGTATCTTAGAAGGCCCTATACTATTAAACCACTTCCCAGTCGTCACATTATAGACACCCTGCGTCTGGTTTCCTATACACTGCCATGCTATATTGCTGTCTGAATTCGTCGTCTCCCGTAGAGCGCAGAGACACGCTTGCGTATCGAGGAAAAGCGGTCCTCTGGCTGCTTCTCGAGGTAAGAAGGGGTCTTGCGGGATGGCGAGAATCGACATTGTGACAATTTGGCGTTGCGTCCACCTTAGCGGGATCCGCCTCTAAGAAATAGTCGGTGTAATATCTATATCGAATCAACTTTATGTGATACACCTATTCATCGCCAGTCGGTAGTACACGACGGGTTGAACACCGTTTAGTCTAAGTCGGGTATAACAAATGGTATACTTGAGTAACAGTGCTTGAGTAACAGTATAGAAACAAAAACTTGGACAATGTTACTCGACGAGCGCGGTTTGCCCAAGACAACTCCTTGGCAGACAATCTGACATTTTGGCAACGAATCCTAAAGGCCGTAGGAGGTGGAATAGGTGGCCACGACATTCTACATAAGGGGCCGGTATGCTGATCCCGTATAGGATACGGGTGATACGGGTCCTTTGATTGACCCGCGGAAAGTCATCCTGATCGGGAAATGACCTATGGTGGCTGCGCATGGCGATGAAGTTGAGAGGATCGACAGCGAAGGACTCTTTTCCAACGCCCAAGACCCTTACAACAGTGTAAAATTACAAGCCTATAACTGTCAGCCTTACCGACTCCCTGCTTCTTTGCTTCTCCCTAACATCTCTAGCGGCTCTTGTGCGGCGATGCAACTCTACAATACGGTAGCTTGGCGGTGCTGAGCTCATGGGTCCTATTAATGGAACTTCCATTATGGAAGTGCTACGTCAGGCTTAGCATATCAGACAGTGTGCGTACTAGACTTCGGCTATTTTTCTCGAAGAATAAGACCTAATGGAGTGATCGAGACAATACGGTAGTTCCATAAATAACACAATGCCAGTTCTCGGACTCTTGACAAATCATACCGCCCTGGTAGCCCCCCATCCAGACTGAAAAGTCGCAATCGAAGGAAGAATGTAAGAAAGACAAAAGAATGCATAAATAAAGCAATAATAATACAGAGAATTGTTCTTCGAGCAAACAAGCTCAAGTCATAACGTCTCAGGTATGTTCTGGTTTGGGCGGGTATGCGAATCATCCGAGTTACATCACGAATGAATTCTTCACCGCGCTATTGAGGCGTAGCTGGCGCGGGTAGAAAGACTGCGGGTTCGCAAAGCCTACCAAACCCCTGTTAGTTTGGTTCATTTTGCTGTTGGCTCAGCATCTAGTTCCCGCGCCAGGCGATCTCTCTCGGCCTGTGCTTCGTCGAACAAAATAACTACTTCCGAGTGACCGCGGGTTGTAGCTATCTGCATCGGTGTGTCACCGTCGACATCGATGTTGTACAGGTCAGCTCCGTGCTCAAGGAGGAGTCGGGCTATGGCGAGATGTCCCCCATATGCACACATACTGAGTGCCGACCAACTACACAATACGCGTCAGTGTGTCTCAAAACAGCACCTTCGGGGTTCACTAACCCCCATCGATCTTTTGCATTTACGTTGCACCCGATGCTGAGCAACTTGGCAACTTTGTCAATGTCCCCATCACTAGCTGCTTGTACAAGTGCATCATCCTTTACAAAGAGCTTTCGAATAAGTCTAGTAGGGTCTGTGATTGACTTCTTCCTGACCGACGGAGCGGTGGCTTCGACGGTAAGTGGTTTGAAAACCTCATCTAGAGGTCTTTCGGCCTGTTTCTTTCGCATCTCTAACTCGAACTGTTCGTTCGCTATATTCATATCAGCAGACGAAGAGACGATACTACCGCCATAGCCAGAATCGGGAGAGACTGTCTTGTTTAGTTCTTCGGCGGGATCCTCATTAATGAGCCCCCGTGCTAGAACTGACTTCATCCAGTTTGATATATATTCGTGATGTTCTTCCATGATGGCCGGCGAGATGCCAATGTCCTCGAGTTCACGCCGCAGTTGGGCCCACACATCGGGAGATTCGATCGTCTCGACGACGTCCGGGGTAGTAACAACGGATCCTTCCCGATATCCGGCACGTACTTCGCAGATGAATTTATTTAGCTTCTTTTCGATCCTCGTCGTCGATGAGCTTTTGACTGATGTCAGTGCTATATAAACGTGCGCAATTTGGCATTACGGACTTGACTAGAGTGCTGTTGAAGGCTGTCAAGAGTGTTGCATTGCTCACCAAGCGAGATCTGATATCAGCAAGGTCTTCCAGTCCGAAGCGCATCCGGTCCCAAGTCCTTTGGGATTGCGTTCCGAGTCGCTCATATGACTTAAGCAGCTTCTGCAGATCCTCCAGCGTCGCGTTGCAACCGTCGGTTAGAATATTCAAACGATTCTTCCGAGAAGTGTCCAGCTCTGGGAACTCGTCGATGTAGTCCTCGGTCTCTTTGAGTACGACGTGTAGGGAGGCCACTTCGCTTGACAAGCGCTTGAAATTCTCGCCCGAATCTTTACATGCTTTGTATACATTCCAGGCTAGTTTGGAAGCGAGCACCAAATCACCGAAGCCTACGCCAAAACTCATATTGGGTCTGACAGCCTAAAAGCTGTCTAATGTTAAGACTGGTCTGAGAAGTAAGTGATATGATAATACGCATTTTACGCAAATTTCTCAAAACATAGGTTATGCACATCCGTCAATATTTATCACACTGGCCGGTACGCGATAATACCTTAGATCATTCAAAGTTATCAGCTTCTCTCGCTTCGCGAGTAAAGCTAGCCTCAACTCGGAACTACTTGGCAATCCATGAGGGCAGAACAGGGCAGGAATAGACAACACCAGACACACACAAAGCTATCACACCTGAAGCTCTTGCATTTGGTGGTGGCTAGCTTACCGCTGTGGCGCTCGACTTCAAGGAATATACATATTCCTACAGAAAACGCCAACACCTGTCGACCAATCAGCCAGTCTAGGCTGACCAATAAATGATAGGGCATTCTCATCTAGCATCGGCCACGAAGATGAGGATAAGGTATGAGTAGGTAGCTATCTTACTGACAGATATAGAGTACATCTTGAGATTGGTATGTAAACTCGATGCACTAGAGTTGCTATTAGTTACGAAAATTTTAATGATGTTAAACTCGTAACGCAGAAAAATAAAGATGATTCAACCAAACCACTAATAAATTCCTAGCCATGGCCGGATAATGCAGCTGCGAATATCGCGCGAATATTGCACTGTGCTCCATTGGTGACGACGATAAGCCTTGCACCGGAACCAAACGCTTGGGTCTTGGCAGCTTGAGTTTATCAAATTCCCGCTCGTCTAGTCCCGAATATCCTATTACCCCAAGCTATTTTCCTAGCCGTTGACTGGCTGCTAGGATATTCAGCTGGGTGGGACCGTACAAGGTAATGATGAAGCCTGGAAGCCTGGGGGGGCTGAAGGATTACACCCTGGGCGCAGCACGCCAAAGAGAGATTACAGTGGGGTGAAAAAAAAAACGTCCAATTGCCATTTTTATACCAAAACTCACCAACTTTAAATAGCTATAACTTAATATAATTATATATAATTAAGGCTTTAAATTTTATAAGTTATTAAATTATTATAAAATGAATAATTGTACCGATTTAAATCTTTTTTAAAATTTTTATACGTGTAAAAAACTGGTGTAAAAGTTGTAATAATACAAGGATTCTCACTTTTATATAAAAAAACGTAATGTTTTCGACTTTTAAAAGGTTTACTTTTACAAATATATTTATAACTTACCCGATTTAATTTCTATAATTATAAAACTTATATATTTATAATTTTTATGCAATTTTTTATATAAAGACGATTTTTAATAATTTAATTACATATAAATCCGTTGAGAAAAAAAGTATAAAACATAAAAGGGTAATTTTAAACCTTTTTATTATATTATTAAATATTAACCTTATTTCAACAGTTAAAAATCTGGAAAAATGGTTGAGTTATTTAAAAATGAATAAAATAAATTTTAAAATTTTTACTTTATTTTTAAACGTTAATTTAACTGAGTTATGGTATATTAAAGTTAATATAATAAAATGTTAAAACTATCTTTAACGTTTTTAAATTCTCCCCACTGTAAGTAGGTTGGATTGGTAGGACTTTTTGTTAAGAATCAGTAACCAGTTCGGACTAGGTAAGTTCCATTCAGACGTATTCAATACGGACGCTAGTTTCTGACCGCAGCTTGCAGTTTAGAATTGCACCCTTGTTAGTAGTGTATACGATCTTGTAGGTGGATTTGGGAGAAGATGGGGCAGGGTTAGGTTAAGACGGGTTAGGGTTAAAATAAATGATCATCCGTTTAAGGGTTAACAGGGATAAGATTATATCCTAGCGAAAGGTTAAAATAGATATCACATGACTAGCACGTGATGATAAAAAAAAAAGATGCCCCGCGTTTAGACGCGAATATGCAATTGGCGAAATCGGTGCGGTGACTCAATTTCAATTCGCAAAAAATTACCCCGCGATCAACTCACAAAAAATCTACGTGGGGCCCGGCCGACTTACAATAAATAATTCTACCAACTTTAGTTTAGACTTTAGGTACACAATATCGCAACCACATTCAGTCACCATGGCAGACCAAGCACCTACCGCAGAGGTTGCTAACCTGCATCTGGATGAAGTAACCGGAGAGAAGGTGTCTAAGTCAGAGTTGAAGAAGAGACAAAAGCAACGGGAGCGAGACGCCAAGAAGCAAGAGAAGGCCGCTGCAGCCCCTCCTAAGCCTGCCTCTGCGAAGAAGACGAATGCTGAAGCTGATGAGAAGGAATTAACTCCTAACGTTAGTCATTGACATTGACACCACCGTCATAATATTGGTACCAACTAATTGGAATTAGCAATACTTCGAGATTCGATCCCGCGCCATCTCCAAGCTCATCGAATCCAAGGAACCCTACCCCTACCCTCACAAGTTCCATCGCGACTATGACCTAAACGATTTAGTCAAGGAGTACGGACACCTCAAGTCTGGAGAGCATGACAAGTCTAAGACCCTGCGCGTCGCTGGAAGAATATACAACAAGCGCGCTTCCGGTAGCAAGCTGCTCTTCTACGATATCCGCGGCAACAATGGCGTCAAGGTGCAGATCATGTGCCAGGCTCAAGAAATCCGCGAAGGAGCGCCTGCCTTTGAGAAGCAGCACGACCACATACGACGTGGTGATATCATTGGTGTCGTTGGTTACCCTGGTAGAACTGCTCCTAAGACCAAGCTCGAGAAGGGCGAAGAGGGCGAGCTCTCCGTCTTTGCTACCGAGGTGATACTTTTATCCCCTTGTCTGCACCAGCTGCCCGACGAGTACTACGGCTTCAAGGACCAAGAGCAGCGTTACCGCAAGCGTTACCTCGATCTCATCATGAACCCCAAGACCGCCCAAACCTACCGCACTCGTACCAAGATTATCAAGTACATCCGGAATTATCTCGACAATGCCGGCTTCGAAGAGGTAGAAACCCCCATCCTAAACCAGATCGCCGGTGGTGCCACAGCCAAGCCCTTCCAGTCTCACCTTAACGACTACAACATGGATATCTTCCTAAGAATAGCGCCCGAGCTTCCCCTCAAGATGTTGATCGTTGGAGAGTACGACAAGGTTTACGAGATTGGCCGTTTATTCAGAAATGAGGGTGCCGATTTGACTCACAACCCGGAGTTTACGACTTGCGAGTTTTACGAAGCTTATGCTGACTTCAACGATCTCATGCATAGAACTGAAGAGCTTGTCTCTGGTATGGTGAAGCATCTTACCGGAAGCTACATAACCTCATTTACCACACAACATGGCGAGACGTACACAGTTAACTGGGAGGCCCCGTGGCGAAGAGTGGAGATGATCCCCGCCCTCGAGGAAGCAACCGGAGAGAAGTTCCCTCCCGGTGATCAATTGCACACAGACGAGACAAGAGAGTGGCTCAAGGGAGTTTTGAAGAAGGTTAATGTCGTTTGCCCCGAACCCCAGACAACCGCTAGGATGCTTGATAGATTGACTGGCGAGTTCATCGAGGAGACCGCAGTCAACCCGACCTTCATCACAGAGCACCCCAAGATCATGTCGCCATTAGCTAAGGACCACCGCACCAAGCCTGGTCTAACAGAGCGATTCGAGGCCTTCGTCTGCAAGAAGGAAATCGCCAATGCCTACACCGAGTTAAACCAGCCGTTCGAGCAGAGACTGCGCTTTGAAGAACAGGCCAACCAGAAGGCCCAAGGAGACGACGAGGCCCAAATGATCGACGAGACCTTCCTGAACGCTCTTGAATACGGTCTACCTCCGACCGCCGGCTGGGGTATGGGTATTGACCGACTTACCATGTTCCTCACCAACAACTACACTATCAAGGAGGTGTTGCTGTTCCCCTTCATGAACCCCGAACAAAAGAGGGAGAAGCTCCCTGCCGATGTCGAAGAGGCAGGCGCAGAGGAGCCCCATGTTAAGGTCGAAGGAATTCGTAAGTGTTGCCCGTCCTAGTTCTCTTATTTGTGTATCGTATTAACCACAACCTCCAGCCCACAAATAAAAAGAGACCTTCGATATCGTTGAAGGAAAAATCCCGTTTATACGGGTGTTGATTTGGAAAGTACTGTCTACGGTGTTTGTACAGTACTTAGCTAGATATTTCAGGCAACGTCGATGCTATGATCGGCACACCATAGAGTGGAAATGAATTAGAAGAAAAAAAAGCTGAGACTCTACGTATAATACATGGTATCTCTCTAGTGAACAAACGGTGTCTTAAGCATCATACATTCGTTAGCCTAACACGGAAGATGGCTGGATTACCGCGGCTGGGATACCGACGCCAGCCTCTTCTGAACCTGCGCGATCGTCGCTTTTGGTACCCGTAGGCGATGGCCAAGGACGAGGACTCCGGTTAATAACGCTAGACTTCCCGCTTGATGCGCGGCGGCAAGCGAAATAGGAACCATGTAGATAAGCGTGCTGATACCGAGAGCGACCTGTAGACATACGAGATGCACGATACCCGTCGTGCCCTTCTTCACATTCTTAGGTAGTACGGTGGCAAGTCGGCCAGACCGCGAGTACGCAAATAGTGCGAGAACGGCGCAGAAGGTAGTCGTCGCGAGGATCCGGTGATCTAGCTGTACCAAACTCGGGTTCTCTAACATATTGCGCCACCATAAATCGGAGTTATCCTCTTTTCGCGAGTAGAACTTGTCCCAAAGCTCAGACTTTGGCGGGGTTAGGCCCAGGCCCATCATGGGGAACTCGTTGTAGATAAGTCCAGCGTCGAGGCCAGCAACCAGGGCACCAGAAAGCACGGTCGTGAAGACTAGTACGGTGAGAGCTGATACGTAGCGTCGGAAGGGGGCGATGGCGGGGTTCTTCAGGGCGGAGATGACTTTGCTGGCGGAGGCGGGGTCGGCAAGGAGACGGCGGGTACGTAGGATGCTTAAGCCTGTGAGTAACATCCAAGAGTAGCAGACGAAAGCCGTAGCTAAATGTGTAGCAAGACGGTATTGCGATACGCGAGGATGCGATCCCGGCGCAAATAAATCGTCTTTAAGACCAGACTTCACCATCCACCACCCAATAAACCCCTGGAAACCGATAAGCGCAGAGATACCAACGAGGTGTGCGGCGACGCGGGCAGATACACGACGGCGGGCAATCAGGTACACGGTAGGCACTGCGAAGGTCAACCCTATAACACGCCCCCATAGCCGGTGCGTCCACTCCATGAAGTAGATCTTCTTGAACTCGTCGAGGTCCATTTGCGAGTTCAGCATGCGGAACTCGGGCGACGCCCGATACTTCTCGAACTCGGCCTCCCAGTCGGCCTGGGTGAGAGGCGGCCGGGATCCAGTTACGGGCTTCCATTCCGTTATGCTAAGCCTATTTTCGTTTTTGCGCAATTAGAACTTTTTAGTCCTAGTACGAAGAGAAGAGGGACAGGCTAATATATTACCCAGACTCAGTTAACCGTGTAAGTCCGCCAAAAACCACGATACCAAAGACACTCGCAGCACTCCCAATCAGCCAATACGCCACACCCTTGGAACTCGTCTCGGGAAACACCCCCTTCGCTACCTGCGGCGCATCGGTCGAGACAGCCGCCGACGTGAAATATCGAGCAAACCGAGCTTTCGACTCGCTGCCAGCACCGGCACTACTAGCCTGTCGCATCTGCAGGGCCCGGAAGATCCGCGACGAAGCAGCAGCAGCTGCGCGAGGCTGCTGGCGGAGGCATTGGCGGCAGACGAACTGACTAGGCGTCAGCTTGGCCGTCGCCCTGCGTATCCCCGGGAGAAGAAGCGACATTTTGGGGGGTGTTGTGAGGATTGTTCCCCTTGGAGAGAGCAATGTTGAGGACGCAAATGGGAAGGTTTTCGTTTCTAATCATACGATAAGATACATACCTTAGGTATGTACTGAGATACAAAGGTGCTGTGTTATGTAATCAGAGGGTTAGCTTCCCGCTAAGAGATGGCGAGTATTCCGTACATATCAACTAAACTTTAGGTTAGTTAACTAGGTGATTTCTACATCTCAGCTTTTTCAATCCCTTTTTTTTTTTCATTTTGAGTGCATGGTCGACATCTTGCGCAATTCGAATGCTTTATTATTTTATGGTGTATATGTGTATATGAATCGCTCGTCGCTCGTCGCTCTATTAAAAAAGAAACTAAAATCATCGCACTTATTATAATCGTGTACTGGTGTTCGCACTGTTTGAATAGCCTCACCACGCCTTTGCTTAGTGGTGTAAACCGCGGCTCTCTTCTATATTCTTGTTCGTCTCTCATACCCCCTCGGTTACCCCTTTCCCGAGATTCAAAGTGTTAAAGGTTGGCAGGGGTCCTTTATCCCGATACCTCCTGTCTTCTAAGTTCCTCTTCACCTTCTTTCTTTCGGAAGAGCAGTATATCTTTCAAGGTTCGACCCTGCTTCTTCTCTTCATAAAGGGGTTTGTGCTCTTCGTGGATGTCGTGGTCGTCGTTGTAGTCAACATGGACAAATGCCCGTTCGACATCACCTAAGCCTAGGAAACTCTTAGTATACTGCATATATTTGCCCGGCTCCGAATACATACCTTCAAGCTTCCTCTGCAAAGATTGGCTCACATCGTGTGAGATCTTCAGCGGGATATCCTGATCCATAACAATATCAACTTCGACATAATATTTTTGTCCAGCATGGTATGCCCGGCACTAAAACTCTTATTAGTATTATCCCCACTGGGTTCAGGCTGGCATTGCCTTACCGTGTCCACCTTCTGAACCAGGGGATCGTGGGTCATGCTTATGTAGATGAGCTTAGAAACAAACTCCTTTGGAGCCGACTTGCCCACGAGTAGCCATACTTGCTCGAAGGCATTGGAAATCCAGGAGAAAAGGATTAGGAGTGCGATGCATATAGCACCAATAGGATCTAGATACCAGATAAACCGGTCTCCGACTATTGACATGACCAGACCGAATATGTTGACAACGATATCGTTGCGATGATCGATCTACACCTAATCAGTAACATGGCCTTAATAATCATTAAGGGGCTACATACGAAGAAGACATGTACTGATGGATATCTGCGGTACGCGAGGCAGTAAAGCATCAGACTGCCCTTTGCAAAGACTAAATCCTCGTTAACCACAAGATACAAGCATCGGGATGGATTCCCTTACTGGCAATACCCACGAATACGATGGGGATGATTTGGAGGTCATTAGATTCGGATGGCCCTCCGCCGAGGGTACGTGCCGACTCGACCTATAGGCCAAGAATTAGAAGCACTGATCCCGGGCCGACGGGCTGAAACGCCATGGGGTAGCAAACTCACGAGCAGTTGGATCGCAACGGTAGTCATTAGGGCACAAAAGAGGATAATTCCAATGGTCTCAATCCTTGTGCGGCCCTACGTGGCTATGAGCTTAGAACCTTGATGGGCCATGCTGTCGATGGGTACTCACTACTGGATATTTATATATGCTAGCTCTAGCGGCCATACGGGAAGTTATCAGCATTACAAAAGACGAGACGAGGTCCATCTATCTCTATGGTCAACTGGCAGCACTTCATCAGCAATTTAAGAGGATTACGAACAAAAGCATCAGCAGCAGTGGCGAAGAGCTATTCAGATTGTCAACCAAGTTCACACGAAAGGACAATTCGCACCCAGGGTCATTTACCGATAGCGACCCAGTCGAGACGGCAGCGTATAGCTGAATTACGAAAAGGCAAAAGTTCACCGTAAAGGAGGCATTGACGGCGAACTTGATCTTTGGAGCCACCCGGGCATCCTCCTCCACTTGCAACCGTTCCTCATCGTCGGCACCCAAGAATTGATCAATAAGCTCATTCTGTCGGGTGTAGAACTTCTTGAGCTCTTTCTTGTTCCCATTAGGATGGTCGATTTTCATCTGGCGCTTGCTGACATTTTCACGTCGATGGCGACCAAAATTCAAGGGATCCGTTGGGTTGGCTTCGGCTGCGGAAGACGTTGCCGCCCCGCCCGCCTGCGTGGCTGACGACCCCTCGACTGATGTTAAAGGCAAGCCGTCGTCCTTCTTGGATTCACTTGCCTCCTTGGGCGCAGCAGCTGCAGGCGTAAAAACAACGGGACCGGCGCTTGCTGGAGCAGTGTTGTCTTGACCTCGAAGTCAGTTGGTGTGCTTGTCTCAAGTGTTTACACCGCATTCCTGATTGGGGATAAAAGGATTCAAAACGCTTGCGCGTTCGGATGTGGAATGTTCCATGGAGCCTCATAACAAAAATCAGACGAGAATAGCAGTAGGAAACGACTGACCTGATGGCTGAGCGGTGTTTCCTGGTTCCTGATTCGCCATCTTGAGATTCGTGCTCTGAAAAGGCTTCGGGTTACAATACAGGAGATGTTTCCGAATGATAGTGGGAGTGGGCGATCGCTGCAAGACGGCTCATAATTATATCCAACCTGGCTCGCATGCAAATGTGAGGGAGCCGGCCGTCGTCATAGGTTGCATTGCACTCCACCGACACCTTGACGGAATACAACGCATCACAACGCACTCCCCGGTCAATGCGTCCGCCAAGAAAGCTTTGCTGGTCTCTCCTCAGAAATCCCCCACGCAGAAAGCGAAAGAAAAAGGCTAAACAGGGATTCGATATGCCGGCTCCGGGTTGTCAACCGCTCCGCTTAGACCGCAATTTGTCTCCGTCTCAAACAACAACGCTCTTGGCAAGGGTTTGCTCGCATCGGTAGAGAGCCGATCCCTATCAAATGCGGAATGCCCCATTGGCCCAATTTTGTTTCGATTCAGGCGGACTTAATCATTGCCGTGACTATCACGTCCTATCTGTCACAGCTTAGATGGCAAAAGCTCCTCGTCCACCAAACAACATAGCCGGGAGATCAGCCATCTTACCCCGGACTCTCGTCTGCCAAGCCGCATACAATACTGTTTTAGGCAGCATTCAACCTTCCAGCTTAACATGATAACACGATAACTACGCAGGCCGCATTAAAGTAAACCCACAATTATTGATACTGCCAAGAGCCTTAATTGTTTCCCCCATACATCTACGACTCCAAGAGCCTTATGTATTCCTAACATGGTAACGTCGACTATCAAACAAAACCCCCCGACTCGTCGAAGTCATAACAGCCGCGCCTCTTCCGCATACTGTGGAGTTGATCGGGAAGGCTGGCTCTCGTATGTATGTATGTATGTGGCCAGGAAGCTTACTATGAACGTAACCTACTGATATATCAAAGTAAATCTCCTAGGGTAAGTAGTGGGCCTCGTTTCAATCCCACAACCTCCATTGTTCACATTATTTTCGGCGTCATCTTGGCCTTAATCGTAAAGCTTGATTGTTTTTTTTTTTTTTGTGTATCCAGATGAGGCTAACAGTAATAGAGCGACGTATATAGTCGCCATAAGAGCGTAGCAGTATGTAATTTATCAAGTAATGAGATGGAACTTCACTGAAGTTATAGGTGGAGCTCCGGGGTGAGGCTCATGCCAAGCTCTCACGAGCACAGGCATGATCTTCAACGTCTAGATACCCGCTACGGTAAAGATTGCACTATTATGGGGGCTTCTGCACGATGCAAAAAACTGCTGTGAAACAGCCCTGGCAGCATTGACCAAGCCGATCTCTTATCCGATGCAGATAATGAACTGGACTAAGACAAGGTTTGCTGCTCTCGAGGAAGGGATTCAAGGAGTTGACTGTTGTCGTACTATGTACGTGTGTACGAGCGGGAAGACAAACGACAAGAATAGTCGAGAGTTTCTATCCTGAATCCATGACTGTGCAGATACATGCAATTTCAGCATCGAGGACCATGGATCTTCGTCTCGCCCTTAGCCGAGATCGCCAGGCGAAGTCTTGTCATAGTAATGCATATTAAAGGAAAAGGCCCCAGCCGGATCTTCCAAGACTTTTAGTCCATATTCATATTCATATTCTTCTGTGTCTGTGTCCTGGTCGAGTGTTAGGGGTCTTCGTTCTCTTTCACATTCTCTTTTTTTCTTCTATTTACATTCTCTTCTCTTGGCGTGAGGATTGAAGCCTCTCGTCTGTTGTTTCTATTCTACAACCCAGGAGTCGCCGGACGGCTTCATATCATCCTTTTTTTGTACTTTCTCTTGAACGGGGGTTTCCAGTCGCCGGATTTTCGACTTCAGCCTTTCGCTTTTTGTGTACTCTTTTTGGTTAAGTAGGTAATTTGGGTATTTGAACATCATGTCGCAAGATATGGGAAACGCAAAGCCCGCTTGTGGCGGTGGTAAGGAGTCCGGAGAGTACGATCTTGCTCTACACACGGTTGGACTCTGTAAGTGCTGAAACCGAAGTAATCCAAATCATAATCAAGCTAACAGTTTCTTAGTTCTTGTCCTGGCTGCATCAGTCTTCGGTATGCAATACTTCAAATGTTCATAACCCATGGCGCAATATTGACGAGTAATTTTTAGGGGCTGGCTTTCCCGTAGCCGCGAAGAAGATCAGCTGGTTGAAGGTACCGGAAAAGGTGTTCTTCGCCTGCAAACATTTCGGAACGGGTGTCCTAATAGCAACTGCTTTTGTCCATGTATGTCGTGCCCGGGGGGATATCTCCTTTGTATTTCCATCTAACCTGTATCTCAGCTTCTCCCTACAGCCTGGTTCAGTCTTTCAGACCCATGCCTTCCGGATCTCTTTACCGATCAGTACCCCCCGCTTCCTGGTGTTATCATGATGGCTTCTCTCTTTATTCTGTTTGTTATTGAGATGTGGATGAACAACAAGATGGGCGGACATTCCCACGGCGGCGCCGCGGGCTTCGAGCACCACGCACCCGCCCCAGTTGTTGTTCCTCAGCCTCAACACCGTGCGCAGCCATCGGATGCGACTATGGTGGGCTTTGAGTCCGAAGACATGGAATACGAGAAGAGGATGGCCAAGGAGATGTACGACCAAAACCAATACTCATACCCTGAGAACGACCTGGACCTTCCCCGATCCGAGATGCCTCCGTGGTTCGTCGTTTTCTACGAGCAATATGTCCGCCAGCGTCTCGAGCTCGTCAACATGATCAAGGCATCTGGTGGAAACATGCCTGTACAGTCGGAGCCCAAGCAGGAAGTAGTAGTCAGCGAGAAGAGCATGTTTGACGAGGAGGGCCAGCCGATTGATCCCATGGTCTACAAGAGGATGTCCATGAACATTACACTACTCGAGGGCGGTATCCTTTTCCACTCCGTCTTCGTCGGAATGACTGTTTCTATCACCATCGAGGGCTTCGTCGTTCTCCTGATTGCTATCCTTTTCCACCAAATGTTCGAAGGTCTTGGTCTCGGTTCGCGTATCGCCGCCGTTCCGTACCCAAAGGGTAGTATCCGACCCTGGCTATTAGTGTTCGCTTTCGGAACGACCGCCCCCATCGGACAGGCCATAGGTTTGGCCGCGCGTAACACCTACGACCCTAACAGCGCCTTCGGCTTAATTATCGTCGGTGTCTTCAACTCTATGTACGTATCTAGCCTTTTATTCCAGTCTACCAAGATTTTAACGCTAACATACTGCAGCTCTTCTGGTCTTTTGATCTACGCTGCTCTGGTTGACCTGCTCGCTGAAGACTTCCTCTCCGAGGAATCCAGCAAGGTGTTGACGATGAAGGACAAGAAGATTGCTTTCATGTTCGTCATCTTAGGAGGTAAGTTGTCATACAGCCCGCTCCGGTTATTCTTAGCTAACTTGAAATAGCTATCGGCATGTCTATTGTCGGTGCCTTCGCTTAGAGAGCAACCACGAGGGCCGCGAGAAGACCCGGGGAAACGAAAACATGAAGCCACGATACCATGGTAGTAATAGTAGTATTATTATACTACTTAAGCTGCGCTACTTGAACGGAATGGCATAAAGTGAGTCATCGAGAGGGTAGGAAATAATAATAGGGTGATGGGGTACGGCAGGAAACTAGGACGTCGGAAGTTGTTGTATGAAGGGCCTCTCCCTTGTCAAATTCTCACGAGGTGTTTCCGTACATGGAGAGTAATTTTACAACGCAGTCCTTAAACACAGTCCTTACCGCATGCACCAGTATTAGCATCATCTACATACGCAGCGTTTTGGTTGGACTGAGCATAGGAGAGCGAAATAAAGCGCGGTAAGAAGGCTGTTTTCAAATTTACCTAGGCAGAACGACCCGTCGTCCACGGGACATGGAACCGAGGAGACGGGAAAATGCTGCCAAAAAGAAATCCAGAGACGACGGCGAAGACGAGACCGAGTCGGAGGATTAATTATCAAGTTATGAGGAGCGCGCGGGACAGGTTAACGATTCTCATTGGAGCGAAAAATGTATTACTAGAGCGAATATGGAGGCTACTCTGTAATTATAGTGCGCCATCTACATAGCTACGATACCATAGCATACGAAGAATACCAAAAACAAGTCAAACCCAACCTCTATTTTCTCTTCTCTCTTCTCTCTTCCTCCAATTCTTCCCAATATTATTCTCTAAAGGCCAAAAGAAATCAACCACCAACCTAACTTACCTACCTGGTAAAGAGTCATATCTCCGAAATCTAGCATTACTACCTAACGTAATGGAGTACGGCAGCACGCACGTAGTCCAGCCCGGAAGCGGATCCGGATCTGCTGTTGGCTCTGCAGTGAAGTGAACCCCGGACTTTTCTGAAACGAGAGGTTCGTGGAGCCGCGTATCGTGATACAATGCCCAGAGCCTTACGGCGACTATGTATGTACCAACGCATGGTGGTATTGGGGATGTGAGCATGTGCCGCATTGCCTAAAATGGGCTATTACTTTATATATACTACGCTCGTCTGTATGTATGTATGTATGGCTGTGGGATGGGTTTCATGGTTCCGGTGGTAGACATCGTACGGGTGGAAACGGGTTCTGAAGTACATACCGCGATGCTGCCAAGGACGATGTGAGGAAGGTTTTGTCGTGGGGAGGGGCTTTGATGTAGATTGATAAGTATACAGCATGATCTTTCGATGCCTAATGAGGGACAGTTTCACTGGCTCCCTTATATCCTCTTTATTAAGACCATCATCGTGTACCTAACAAGCAGTTTCCTGTACAATATAACAAAGTAGTAACTTGCCAACTGCTAAAGCGAATAACTTTGGTGGGTAGTTCCAACATCTCAATAGACAATCTGTACCGCTTAGTTCCTCATAAGAGAAACCCACACGATCCTTGGAAGTAAAAGCCTTCGATAGACATATTCAACACCACTCCTTCATCCGTCCATTCCCTCTAAGCTCAGCTTTTCTTTGAACTCCATCTCTCGCCTCATCAGAGAACTGTTAAACTATATTCAGCCTTGCTAGCTCGACTATAAGTTTCTCATCGTCAATTACGACGAGTTCCCCCTCCTCAGTCTGATGATCTTCATAGAAATCACATTTCCCATATCTGCAGCGGTAGAATACCTGCCCAACCCGTGAATATTTAGAATGTTTATTCCCATGTCCTACTAATAACCGCTTGCTCGGAGTTCCACAATCGCAGCTTCGGTTTGTAGGGTCATTTCCACGAGCATCAGCGAATACGAAGTACTCGCTCCAATTTCGACATTTGTAGTATGGGCGTCCAGCATTTCCATTACGATTGTCGATTTTGGTAACCCCCCGAGTAGTTAGCTCGTCACAGTGAGGGCATAGCGGCGCAGATACCGGGAAATCCGTGGTTCCCTGTATATACCTGATTAGGGCAGAGTAGGCCAGGCCGTTATCCCATACTCACTCACCTGTCTATCTATACCCGGAAATAATTCACGAGCTTGATCCACAGTAGTTACACGTATATACTTGGTGTCCATACTGGATGACGTTCTCGATATGGGGTTATCGGCGTATGGCAAGAACGAGACAAGACTCTCATGAGGTAGAGCAAGGAGCATGAAACCAGCTTCGTTATCCCGGGGACTCTGTAATTTACGATGGAAGTCACGAAAATTCTTTTGGTCAGGTGGGTGTCACACGACGCCGTTATGGCGTATTTGAATATCGAGAGTCTTACAACAGTATTGATAAACTAATCCCGTTGGTTAGCCATCTACAGCTAATATAGCCACCCGACCAGTCAGTTATCTCCTCACACCCCCTTTTTCTTCCTGTTATTCAATCACCCGTTTACATCTCGTAAATCAAGAACTACTCTATGATAAAGGTCAACTCTGAGGAGAACCATGCCTTCCAATTCCACTATACTATCTTTCTTTGTCTCCCTAAAAATAGCAAAGAGCTGAAAGGGGTAGCCACTAAAGCTTGTCGGCGAGTCAAATATACGATAAAGCTGAATTAATTAGGTAGGTAGTTATCAGTAATAATATAGTTGAATGATCGATATGGGATTCTCATATCAAGGGTTAACCTCCAATAGGATAATAGTCTATGAACATCAATAACCAAAAGAAAAGGATATCAATGCAAAATTCCTGCTTCATGATAAACAGTCTACGCCATTTCGTAATTCGTTACTCGTGAGAGAAATACCAATCTACCCCTGAAAGCAAGAACCTTTTTGCTGAACATACCCAACGCCGTCCCTCTATGTGCCTTTCCCTCCGGTTTCAGCTTCTTCTCAAATCCGAACGCCATCATCAGTCCAAAGTAGAGCCATCAGATTATCTCAAGCAATATGAGGTAGTCTACAATCTCCGGGTCGACTACGACCTGTCCTCCTCGTGCATCCCGACATTCCTTATTGAATTCGCACATGCCGATTCTACAGACGTAGAACAGCTTTCCTGGAGTTCTGGCATTATAGAATCCTGACATTGTCCGCTTGCTTGACACTCCGCATCTGCAGAGTGGGTTTGTCGGGTCGTTGCCGCGGGCGTCGGCGAACACTAAGAACTTGCCCATGGTTGGACATTTGAAATACGGGCGTCCTGCGTTGCCGTTTGTATTTGAATACGATGTCGTGGCCGTCGAAGCAGTTACGCCGCAGTGACGACATGGCATTGGCGACTTCGGGTAGGAAGCCGAAGGTCTGCAGTTTTGTTGGACCCATTGCAGGTCAGACCAGTCTATCGACTCGTCCTTACAGGCGTCTAAGATGATGCCCTAGATGGGACAACACCCGATTAGAACATGAAGTGGGCAAACCGGGGCCATCATAAGCTATTATATGGTTAAGATATACACTCACATATGGATCTTCTTTACAAAGGAATCTCATAACGTCTTCCGGCGTCTTTAAACGCATATTTGCCGATATGTCTGAACGATACTACGTGAATTTGGTAATATTGGGATAGATTTATCTTGATCAAGCAGTTACAAACTAAGGCCATAGCATAGATTAATATAATAAATTAATTGGTTACCCCCAGGTGGCTGTCCGCGGCTAACAAAGCAATCTGATTGGCCTGCCATCCGTATCCCTTGGGTACTTCGAAGCCCCTTTACACTTTACGGCAATGTCCTAGAATTCGATTTGGTTCTAGGAAAAAAAGGTCCTGAGATAAAACGTGGCAAGGTTAGAAACAAAGGCTACTGTCAGGGTGTGGTGGGTCAGGGTGGCTACAGGGGTCTGTCTACGACTAGAAAAGTCTATAAGAGGCGCGAAGCGCCCTCGTTAGAGATACGAATTTAGCGAGTAAGGTTTAGGGCGAGGCAGGCCCGTACGAGTAAGGTAGCGGCTGTAACGACGAGGCTTTAGGGCCTTATTAGTCGTTTTAGTTACGTTCTAGGACCTTATTAGTTATCTCGATTACGACTCACGAGGCCTTATAAGACCTCATTAGTTATCTTGATTACGTACGTTTAGGAAGTCGCAGGACTTCCCCAGTCGTTCCAGAGAGCTGTGTGGTTGCCGTAGGGAAGATCAAGGCCGCAATACGACAAGATAGCTGTAAACGTACCTTATTATTATTAACGCTATAAAATGGGATAAGAGGCTACGACGAGGTAGCAGTAGCAACGACAGCAGCGAGGTTGGCGATGAGGCTATAAGGAAGTATACTTTATTATGCCTAAGGTTTACCTTAGGATGTTGTGTTGAATGCGAGTAAAGATTTCCTATTTGGGATACATGCCTTGCTACCTTACAGATAATTTTCCTGCCTCATAGAAAGCAATAAAAGATAAAAGGAGTAGGTTTGCATATGCATATATGTAAAGCTTCTATATTACTCAGGTCTCGAGGGTATCTATTGAGAGTATTGTCCAGCCGTATAAAAGCAATAAATTCGGGTTATTGTAGGGGTGCCCTCCAGTTTAATAGGGGGTAGGTCGCTAATATAAAATGAAAATATGCAATAAAAATAGTATAGAAACACGGTGCGGTGTAAACCTTAGGCTTTTGTGTTGCCCGGGGGGTAACCTCTAGTTATTATTAGTATAAAATGAGGTTATGACGAGAGAGGTAACGACGAGATATGATTAACCTCAACGGGCGTTAATCCTGACAGCTACTTATAATAAAGACTTCGAGAAGAAAGCTCAAGTTCGCTAAGAGACTTTTAATACAATCATAAGCCAGTAATAACCTAGGTACTTAGTAAAGTAATATATGTTAAATTTCCAGCAGTTAGTTATTTCCAAGTTCGTACGTATTATACTTCATTTTTTTCGTCCCCTCCCCTTTAGAAGACGGCAAGGGGCAAAAAAGGGGGCAGTTTATTTACACAACTGCTTAAAATTTAAGACGTATCTCTTATTCTGTTAGAATTTCTATTAGACACCTAACTTTACGTTTTACTTAAGTCGTATATTAAAATGTTCTCTTTTTAATAGTATGACCTTTGTTGACTTGGTATAAGAAAGGTAATAAATAGTACAACATGGTAAGAATATAACTCAGTAAGACATACTATTCCAATGACAATATTCGATTTTCAAGCTACCTTAGGTAGGTAGTCTGGGACAATTTAGCCCTCTTCCTTGCTCTCCCTTTACCCACCGACAATATCGATATATCTCTAATGAGCGTTTCTATAACCAAGATAACAAGCTGGCGCCTCGGTACCTGCTGAGGGAGGTGTTGCTAGCGTGTGAAGTTCCCATAACTAAAAACAATCCGTGCCAGTTCTTCCTTCATATAAGAGAAGAATTTGCTGAACATATCAAGCACCATCCCTCTACCCATCTCATCTGAGCGTCCCCTTGAATCCGAAGCCAATCGTAAGCTCGCCAGGCAATCGTCAGATTATGGCCAAGTCTCTCAGCACGCTTTTAAGACTCTTGTCGATTACAACGTATCTGCCTGTCTCATCCATACACCATTTGAAATAATCACACGTACCGTATCTACACCTGTAGAATACCCTGCCAGGAATTCTCGAGTCAACCCCTGCTGCCGTCTGCTTGGTAGTCCACCCGCAACCGCAGATCAGGTTCGTAGGGGAGTTGCCGTAGATATCAGCAAAGACGAGGAACTTTTTACAACCCAGACATTCGAAGTATGGACGGCCAGCATTTCCATTCCTATGCCAGCGCGTAATAGACCTAGTAGCCAGTTTGCCGCACTTATAACATGGCGGTGGGGATGTCGGGAAAGAAGTTAGATAATGATCTCGTAGAAATACTTCTAGATCGGTCGGGTGTAGGCTGTCTCGGCTAGCTTGCTATATATCCGATTAGGATAGAAGGTAGGTAAGCTTAAGCGGTCGTGATATACTTACACCTGTGTCTAATCCCAAAAGATATCGAAAAGCTTCTGGTAGGTCCGTCAAAATTATCCTAGTAGGTGTTTCGAACATCGTACTGCTGATACTGACGACGACGACAACAACGACGATGATGATGATGATGATGGAGAATTCTACGTATATGGTGACGATGGGATGGATTGTTCTTGACAAAAAAAAAAAAAAAGACGCAAACGCCACTACAACATATCAAAGTATTAAAAATCTGGCAGAATGGCATTGATTAGCCATCCGCAACTAGTACAACAACAACATGACGGCCGGCCACCTACATATCCTAGGTACTTTGGGAGGTACATGTTTGAATCACCCCCCTTTTGTAGCACCACTCTATCACAGCACAGAGATATTCTAGAAAGCGGTTAGATCCCAGAGAGGTATCATAGCTTATAATACCAAGATAGCATCAATGCTGGCTTTCGCCTCCTCGCGAGCAGAGGGTGCCGCGCTTTAATTAAGAAATAATCCAAGGTGTTTCCAAGCATGAGGGCTTCTCCCTTATTATTTCTAGATATTTTTGAACTTTTATAACCTTTTATAGGTCTTTAAAATCTGGTACGCTATTCTCAGTTTTACCCGTTTCCTTAATTAAAGCGTAGTAACTTTTAGGTGCGAAAGTCGATAGATACCTAGCATCAATATCTACTAATAAGACAAAGAGATTAAACGATAAGAGGTAGACATATGATTTTTACATTTAGAAATTAACTCTAAGAAGTAAGTTATTCGATCTCCTAGTAGTTATTGTCTAAAATCACTAAGAAGAAAGTACTTAACGCTTATTCTAGACTGTACTTACGGCAAGACTTCTCTTCTTGTGTCACTAGCTAAAACATCATCACTATATACACGTTGTCGATATTTTACCGTTTCAACAGTATGATTCAACAGGAAAATCTAATATATTTCCACCAGGAATATAGTCTTAAACTCCCAACACAAACTTAACTTCATATCACAACGTATGTACAATCCCCTAAGAGACGACGAACTCCTAATTAGACACTAACAATATTCCGATACAAAGATTCAGAAAATGGAAAGATAGCCCAGGAGCTTAAAATTACAAGTGCAAGTACAAAGTACAAGAAGCAATACTTTTTAACAAACTTCATTAGCTACTAAGACGTGAGCTCTACAGAATCTATCAATAAGAAGCCCCCAAGTCCTTTTCATTGCCCTATTCGCCGTATAACACCGCCGCGCCCGCCTTTTTGCAAGTCATACCCGAAAGAAGACTCGTATCGCACTGAACCGAGAGTTGTTTTGCTTGTTCGGTCTTGCGTAAACATATACATAGAAACCGAGTCATCGGTGTGAGTTGTGCTGCTTTCCGGAAAGGGTCCTGACGGGATAGCGTGGATTTCCGTGTTGTGTATACGTAGAACTCTTGCCGAAAGCCGATATGGAACTCTGAATACCCCCTGACCCTTAATGAGTACATTGCCAAAGTAGAAGTAGAAGTGGAAACGATAGCCTTCATTGCGAGAGGATATCTGTTACTAGAAAGAGAATGCCTACCCAGGGATAGTATTGTGGGCTGGGAGGCGCATAATACAATTTTCGGCGGTCTGCGCATGGTTGGCGACAGATTATTAGACATCTGCCGATGAGTAATGAGAATGAAAGGTTCCGAGTCGTGTGCTGAGATAAATCTTTCAAATCAGACTGGACCAGGTTCATGGAAATCAAAATTGTCCCAAAATAACAGCCGGATATATTACTGCTATAGTAGAGTCAGAAAAGGGTTGTAATACCCCCTCGAGACTATGTGGATGGTTTGAGATCGGGATAATATCGTATAGTAGGCTTCCAGAGGATTGATCTGCTATGTGGGACGGCTGACTCCACGCAAACTCCAATGATAGTCCTAAGTCGAGATGCCGATATTGAATAGCAGTGATAAACCCCAACTAGAATTTCGTGATCGTTCTGAAAGATTCCGGACGGGTACCGTGTCGTCAGGAAGAACATAATTCCACGTGATTCTCATACTCTCGTTAATCATGAATAGATAATAGGAGACCCAAGCTTTCAAAGACTTGGAAGTGGCTGTCGCGAGGGGGTATCTGTTAAACAATGCAACTCTGCGGTAAGGCTAAATGCGCTTCATAGCGCATGGCTGCTATTGGTCTCCACGACATTATCGGAGAGGTTAATCAATAGCTGGGCGAGGCAACGTTTGGTCGCCGCATCGTCACGGAGGACTGAGCTGAAGGTGGCATCGCGAAGCGGTTCCGGGAGGCACTGACGGAGAGCCTCGCGAGCGCGGGCGTTGTCGCTCAGGCGGAGGAAGCAGCGCACAACGTGCTTAAGGAGGCGAGCGGTCTGCTGTTCGACGAGCTGAGCAACCATGTTGCTCAACACCGTTCCGACGGCGTAGAAACGCTCATACGTGGCACAGATATAGTTCAGACCATTATCATCTAGTAGGATCTTTTGTACGATGAAAATGGCAACTGTCTTACTAAGTTCAGATCCAGTCTCCATGATTCTAAGGCAAAGAGGGATGATCTCGGTCGTGAGGAGAAAGTTAATCACCTCACTGGAGTCATTCTTAACTAAGGCTCCAATCACACCCAGTGACGTTAGACGGAGATACTCAAAAGGACGGGACTTGGATGTAGTGTTCAGGAAAGGGTATAGGAAAAGAGGGATATGGGCTATATTCCATCTTGTTAGCGTGTTATAATTATCTTGCCTGAAGATCAACGTACCATTCAAGAACAAGGTCCTGGTATCATTATGCGATGCTACACATTGCAGGAGCGCAAGCGCATTACATACCCGGTTGGAAGCAGCAGCGGTCAGTTGCGATGGGTTAAGTAAGTTGTAGACCGAGATAATCTCTTGCATAAGAGAAGTCATGACACCTGTAAATTCGTATTAGAATTAGGTAGCCCTTGAACGGGTTTTAATACAGGGAGCTACGAACCAAACGAATGCCACAATATGAGGGCGAGCTCAGGCACTTGTTCTCGCTTCTTGCTTAGTTCGAGGAGAGCTGCCTCGCGCGTATTTTCGTTAAGCAGGTCGGCGACGAAGTTCAACGTACGGCGATTGTCCTCGGATACGTTTTCTAAGCCGTTATCCTGGACATGACCGCCAACTGATGCGCCGATATTCGTGGACACATTATTATGAGCACCTGCTAATCGATTATAATGCTGCTGCTGAGCTGCGGCGGCGGCGGCTGCAGCCTGTTGGGCCTGGTGCTGGTGGTTCTGCTGTTGGTGCATCCATGACTGGTCGGCGTGTGGGTTGTATTGGTGGTGACTGTAGAGGTTCGGGTTTGGCATCATGATGGCGATTGATGATTGCGATCGCTCGAATTGTTTTGGGTATAGCGTAGCTAATTCTCGAGTATTACTTCCTTGCTTAACTCTTGCTTCGTCAGGCTATCTGCACTCTTGGCCGGATCCAGGGTTGGTATTGGTTGATCGCGCTTGTCCCGTGTTTAAGAGGTAGAGATCCTAGTTCGTCTTAACTGCTGTATACGTAATGAGGTTAACTGATTGGGTTGTTGTTAAGTCAAGTATAGAACTTACATAGATTTAGAATTACAGTTTGCGGAAACCCCGACTTTTAGGTACCTAACGCTTGGGCAAGCGTTGATAGGTAGCCTCTTCTTGGATAAGTAGACCAAGGTTTAGGTACCCGCACGGGAAAAAAAAAAGATCAAGCAGGTTAGTGCCGGACGTGAGGGGGGTGCGTGTGTCGCACTACGAAGAGACGATATGGTGGTATGGTAAGGGAAAAGTGGCAGGTTCAGATCTGGATAACTATCGGATCGATCAAAGTTGAAGAAAGTTGAAGTATGTAGTTGCAGGGCTTCGCTGTTCCCAGCGACGAAGCACCGCGTCTTAATTTGCCGAACGGAATGGGGATCTATAAAGAAGCATTGACCATATACATAGGTACGTACCTTCTCAGCCCTGGCTTCAATGGGTTGCGCCGCAGCGGGGTTTGTACACGGACTGCAGATATTGATGCATTCAATCATATCTATACCTATCTATACCGTATTGATGCATAATATGTGATTCACAAGGATTAATGCACCTGTACGTACTGTGTAGACGTCAAGGTTCCCCCCTATTCCCCTCAAATCATCCCACCTATTAACGTTGTTTTCGGTACTCCCCACCTAAAGATTCTACACTATGTCTACATACCTGGAAGGTATTCAGATGTCAACATGCAAACAACGTCTCCTAACATAGTGTAAACTCAACACAGCTAATTAGATTTAGATAGAGAGTATCTCTTCGCACTTTGAAAGATATGTGTAAGATATCTACCTAATCTAATAGAGAAACAAAAACACCATGGAGTCAGGCTTGCTCAAGTACCTATTAGTATAAGCAAACAATACACAAATTCATTGTACAAGACGAACGGACAAGTTGGAGGGGAAAACAAGATGACTATCCCTGATTTTAATACCATAGAGAATTACTGATTAGGGAAATATTACTACATTACGTCCATCGCGAATAATAATAACGTGATGAAACACCGCACGTCAGCCCAAACGGCTGCCGCTGCTATCCATTTATCTACCCGTCGCCGAAGATGTACTGTCTACATTACTACTTGTATTTGTTATTAGGAAAACATCAATCATCGTGAAGTCCGTTCGCCAAAGCCTGCCAATTCCATCATATCCTTACAACGAGCTCTAGGCAAAGCACATCTTCTCGAAGAACCCCTATCGATAGCAACCCAACCCACTCTTTACGAGGAACGAATCGAGAATCAACATGTATTCCAACACTAATATACGGCCCTTGCTTCACAGGGGACCGACGCGTATAGAAGACACTCGCATTATAATAAGAGGAATTCATGGGATCCGACTCTTTCCGTCACCTTCCACCAGCGGCCACCCCCAGCGAATCCAAAGAATTATCGATTCAGCAAGGTACTTGCGGTACGTCTTCGAATCATAGGCGCAACTCCTTTAGAATATGGTCTGCCATGTTCTTGAACTGCCACGTATTTCCTGCCATGCGCTTGAACTGGATCCCATGCAACGAAAGCAAGGGAACCTTCACAATGAAGATTTCAAATTCTAAAACCATATTTCCACCTAGGTCGCTGTGCACGTGGGTCGTCGTTTCGCCCGGTACTCTCCTTGACGAGGTGGTTGCATCCCGGTTGATACTTTCGGGGTCGGAGAGTTCCGAAGTAGAGTCGCTTCGATCGGCCGGTCCCTTCCCTGGCGTCCGTGGCGTAGGAGGAACACGATCCATTTCTCGGAGCTCATCGCGCTCTTTATCCGTCCTGATACCAAAGCTAAACCTACGGCGGTGATTAGGCGTCGGGGCCGGGCTACCCGGTGCGTCTGATGCCTTCTTGAGATCGATACTAGGTGCGTGGCGACAAGAAAAGCCACCACGAATCTCCGTATAGTCGACTCCAAGTTGTTTTAACACCCTCTTAACGTCTGTACGGATAGCGGGCACTGATTTAGTCGATGTTGTGGAAACGCTGAAGAGACCCTTTAGGAAAACCGGCTTTGCTAGCTCCGAATCGTCCAGACGCTCCGCTGAATTTCCGCTTGCTTCACCAAGCTCCTGGTCCGTCTCTTCGGGCACATCAGCGGCACGAGCACCTTCCCTACGCAATCTCCTCGCTTGTATGCTCTCGCGACGAGCATGGCTTAACGGCTTTGCCCTCATAGATGTAGCTCGGGAGTTCAAGGCACTCTTCGGCTCCGGTGGAACTTTATCGGTAGCTGCCGACTGATCGGACCCGCTAGTTGGTGGCGGCTCTTTATTAATTTTGTTCGCAGATCCGAATGGTCGTCTTCTAAACTCTGCCGAGCTCACGCTCGTCGATCTTCCCAAACCCTTGTTGCTCCCGGACAAGTCAGCGCCAGCAGAAAGAGGCGGGCTGAGCAGATCTCGATGCTGTGGCTGGCTGCTCCCAGACCGTAACCTTGTCGGCTTATTCTCGTCCCGATCGCGTCTGGACCTACGTATGCTAAAACTCTTCCGTGGTGATTCCAGCGCATCGGCTGGCGAATGAACCTGGACCACAGGCGGATGCGAGCGATCTTTATCGAGCCTCTCTGGTTCTTTACGACGCCTAGTGCTGAACCGTCTAAGGATGCCAGCAGCAGTGCTCTCCTTCTTCGGCGGCGGATCTGTGGGAATCTCTGGAGGTGCAAGTGTGCCCTGTGGTGCCTTCTTAAGTTCTTCCGGAGCATCATCTTCTCCGTGAGTTCTGGCACGAGGTCTCGATCTTCCCCCAGTAGTCTTCTCTCCAGCCATTTCATACGTCGCCGTATTTGTGTGAGCCTCAGGAGGTGGGATGATTTCTGGCATTGGCGAGTCTGCCACATTCTTTGGCGCATGAGACTTCGGTACGGCATCTACTTTGTCTCGGTCTTGTTTCTCTTTTACTAGGTAGTATATAGATATTAGAGGGCTGAATGCATTAAGCGGATCGGCGCCGATCTGAAGCGCATCCGAGCTTGGAGTCGTCAAATTGTCGCGGCTGCTCCCGGAGTTGTGTCGCTTGTAGAAGTCGAATCCGAATCCCCGCTTCTTCTCTACGTCCTTGGGCGCAGGTAACACTTCCTTTTCCTTCTGTAGAAGCGTCACGGCACGTTTATAATCTTCGGATTCAATAACTTTAGTGAGCTGAGCTTTAATCAGGTCCGGGGGGCCAAAGTTAAAGCCGGTCATAGCGTTGATGACTTCTGGTTCGAGAGGGAGTGTCAGGGGCTCCCGAGCGGGGAGGTAGTTTTCGGGAGGACCGCCATAACCTTTGATCATCCAAGGATGGTTCATGACTTCGTACATAGTGGCTCGTTGTCTCGGGTCGGTGACAAGCATACGAGAAAGGAGATGCCGGCATTCTGGATCTATGTTAGAAGGTAAGACAAACTAACCGAAATTAAATCACTTGCCATTAGATAGCCAGCTAGGATAATCCACAAGCCCCTTCTTAATCTTCGCGTGGAGAGCTGGCATGCTCTGATCGTCGAAGGGGACTTTACCACACACCAACACGTATAAAACAATACCAAAGCTCCAGACGTCAACCTCGGGTCCAGTGTAAGCCCGTGCCTGAAGGAGTTCGGGAGCGGCGAAGTATAGACTGCCACAGAAGGTTTTAAGGTGACCACGGGGGGCAAAGAGGTTGCTGAGACCAAAGTCAATGATTTTGATGTCGCCAGTCTTACTAATAAGGATATTCTCAATCTTCAAGTCGCGGTGTACTATGCTATTTCGATGGCAGTAGTCGAGCGCACTGGCGATTTGCCTGCTGAACTTCCTTGCTTGCTTCTCCTTTAACTTTCCGTGAGAGATGATATAATCTAGCATCTGTCCGCCATTCACGTATTCGAAGAGCATATACCAATGGTAGTTGGTTCGAACCACATCACGCATACCGCAGATGTGAGGGTGCTGTAGAAGAGTCACAATGGCTGCTTCACGCGCGGTTCGTATTTCTTTCGATTGATCAGCCCTCTCCTTATCAGCTCGACTGTGGTGGTTATCTTCGGTAGAGCCTCGAGGAATAATTTTACAAGCGACCTACGTAATCATAGTTAGATGAATGGATTTGGAAAGCTTAAAAGATTAAAAGAAAAATAGGGATGCCAACCTGTTCTGTCCCATCTTCTTTACGAGCTAGCTTGACCTTACCCATACTACCAGCACCGATGGTCTTGCCTAGAATCCATTTTCCAGACTGGGTAGGGATAGATGTTCTCGAAGTTCTTTGCTTCGTAGCCCGGGCATCTACTGCCGCTTGCATAACGGGCGGGATAGCAGAAGGGCCGGCATTATTTGCGACAGCAGTTGGGCCTGCCATATCGCTCTGAGCGTGGGTTGACCGAGTGCTGCTGCTTCGACGGCGAACTCCTTTAGAATCGTGACCACGCGAGACTAGAGGGGGGCGATCTTTGCTAGAATTTCGTTTTGACTGATGATTATGGGTAGCAGCTACGTCAGAAGTCTCATAGTCTTTCTGCGGTAGGATGTCTTGGAGAGGACGACCGGAAGACGAGGTCTCACGGCTATGATGGCGGTGATGATGGGAGGCCGAGGCAGAACGAGTTAAAGGTTGACCGGAATTGTGCTGGGAGGTCGAAGCAGCAGTAGAGCTTGTCGGGCGTGAACGAACCGAGTGGGCGCGCACAGGTGGCTGTGGCTGGGTCTGGTGTGACCTCGGGGATGATGAGGAGGAGGAGGAATGACGGTGGTGGTGATGACGATGCTGGTGTTGGTATTGGTATTGGTGTTGGTGTTGGTGTTGTTGTTCAGTTGCCGAAGTGGACATCGCTTGGTACTATTATTGCTACGGCTACAACAATATTGTACAGTATAATTGTTGAATAACTAGTACAAGGGGGACCAAGCTGATGTGACAGCGCCTTATTCAAGGGCCGATGCTTCTTCTCCATAAAAAGGTATAACTACCTGGGTAGAATTGGTTCTTTGCTGGGCTATTTCCAGAGATTTGGGCAGCGGACGGCGGACAGTGGACAGTGGGAGGAACCGGGCCTGCAAATGGCCTGCAAAGGGCAAATGGCAAATGGCAAATAAGCCTGGGGCAGGCAAAAGCGGGCGAGAACCCCTAGTTTCCTGGTTTTGGTTTTGGTTTTGGTTCTGGTTCTGGTTCTGGTTCTTGCTTGGGGTACGCCGCAATTATTGCAAGGTTGTTTAGGTAAACTGCTGAACTGCTGAACCGCTGGAGCGACGTGGTACGGTTGACGGTTTGACGGGTGGGAGCCTCGCATCAATTCGTAGTTCCTCTCCTCGATTGCTCTCTTCTTTTTTTCCTACCTTCCCACCTTCCCACCTTCCCTGCTTCTGTAGGTGCTAGGTATCTACCCTACCTTCCTTCCCCCCTTTAACCCTTTAAAGAGTTGCTAATTGGCTACGTGGATGCGTAATGCGTTTAGCGTCTCATACACTAATACACCACCTTACAGGCCTTAGGTCTACCAGCTTACACAGGTATTGACCGAAATTACTTGACACTGTAGGTGTACTACGGTAGATTTAGGTAATCGGTGTCGCATGTATTGTATGTACCTTACAATTACATGTAGCTCCTAAAGCGGGTGGGCTCGCTGGCAGGTTGGCTTGTATCAGGTGTACTTACCCTGCCTACGTGTAGTAATAAGAAACGCCAAATAAGGGACAACCTCCACCGGCGAATTTAGTACCGGCGAATTTAGTACCGGCGACCGTTCAAGAGGTACACTACCTATCAGAAACCAAGTACAAATACGTGTGAGGTATGTAGTACCTGGATTTACGTGCCCTGCATCCAGCACGAGACCAATCAACGTCTGATGATACAGTGGCAAGGAAAGAGAAGATCACAATTGATTCCCACCCCGCAACTGGTACGGAAAGTCCGTAAGGCGAAACTGAGATGTAGGTGATAGTGTGTGTATATTCGAGATACGTCGGTACACTACGTGGGATATTATATAATGGAGAACGAAGAAAAAAAGAAACTAAGAAACACCTTATTAAGATAGGATGAGTGCCACACCCATAAATTTGACCCCGTCGTCTCCGTTAAAATATACAGATAGCTAACTCAATAATTCGTTTGGAAAGACTTGGGTGAACAAAAGCTGGGCTTGACGGTTTGACCGAAGCTTCACTAATGCATTCTTTCCACATAGTGCATCGAGCTTTCCCTAGCCGCATCTCGCTACCACGTACATGTCTTTAGTGCGGACCTTAAGGAGCTTGTTAGTGGATGGTGGATGGTGTGGCTTAGCCTTAAGCAGAATGGAGGTATGACGAAATAAAACTTGACCCCTGGAACTAAAAGATTGACTATGCCGTGTTTTTTTTATATAAACATTCTTATTCGCAAGTTGAACAGTTTCAACAACTTCAAAAACGGCATAATCATTAAGCGACCCCTATCGTTCGGGAACCTCTATCCTAAAACCACTTTTTACCCCTGTTTATCATAGCGAGAGTTGATCGAGTTGATTTGCACATATCAATGTGATGATTGGAGGGTATGACGACAACACCTAAGTGCTTCCGCCCACTGGTCGACAAGGTTGTATTAGAAAACAGATCAGGAAAATAATCTTATCTTCGTTCGGTCGGTCAAGGACGATGATAGGTTAAGTATTAGCGACCATGCTGTTTCTGTTGACTTATTGAATAGCGAGAGCTTGATTGGACAGTGTAGCGAGTTGGATCCGAAGGAAGTAATCGTAAAAAAAGCACCACTCTGTCGAACTGCAACAGGACGTCCTACGTATCATCATTTTCTCGGTAACTGTTCAAAGATATATTTATTAATTAGGTAGTCTTATGATGAACATACCACTATTTCTATATTGTACATACAAGCTTAGGAAGTTATTGCTGAACGTTGTATAAGTGATCACTTCAACTCAATACGTCTCAAACTGTATATCAAGAATAAGACTAAGACCAACAGCCACTTACATGTACTCAATGTGAGCAACTTCGAGTTGCTAATCTACGATACTATTAAGCTGGGCTCAGCCAAATTAGACATAACTCCTTTCTATTTCTTGAACCTCTCCGCCCGAGTTTATATTAGGTACGGGAGTTTCCGGTCATGATAGATAGCTATCATTATACGGATAATGTTTTCATCGACGATTAGCGGTTGGAATACATGATTCTCATCTAAAGTCGGGAGGAAAGGGATAGTGTCTTCTATTAATATATTCTCAGTATGGCTCCTTACATTATCTCCTCATTCGATGATGAGCTAGGAGATGAGCTAGGATAACCTTGGACCTTAGAGCGGTACGCAAGATCGAATATGGAAGCTGACCAGGATAGCTACATACTGCTTTGATCTTGTACTACAGAGTAAGCTGCAGCGGCGCGTACAGGGATGGCCCGATATGAGATCTGACATGCGTTTCTCATCACGTTTGCACGTTTGCATATTCTAGTAGCCGTTTCCTGAGAAATATCTCGTAGGCCTAAGATTATCCTGCACTGTGATTCCAGATCGATACATGTAGTAGAGGTACGAGCTTATTGATAATTTGACATGAGAGATGGCTTTACTTACTATCTGTTGCTATGTGGAGCGGCTACAATCCTCGTTTAAATTACTGCCGAAGCTATCGGTCTTTCGCCCGGTATTGTCTAGATACCCGTTCTTTAGCTTGACTTGCGGGTTAATAGTTTGTTATAATTTAATAACACTTCATAAGAGCATCCACCGAGTTCACCCTTTTAAAGAACCCATAATCCCATTCCCCCTTTTCCAAGTTTATCATATTTAAACTCTTTGAGTAAGTAGGGAGAAGATGGATTCCAATCGACGAGGAACGAGTTATTATATATGGATGAACACTTGAGATTATAGCATTGTGATATTTTAAAGAGGTTAATATGCAAGTTGAAGTTAAATAGTCTGATAACTTAGAATATATCTAGGTTAACTACCTCATAATCTTATCGGCTATCCTTTATCGATAAGAGACATAGATCTACAAACGCGCATGTACTTCAACTAACATGTTCGTGTACGTACCTTGTAGAAATGTACCTCTTCTTACACTTGGACATCGATTTGATAACCTTGTTCCCTACCTTTATACTTCTTGATTGCCCACGTTACTGAATTAGCAACAAGTCCACAAATTGCGCGAATGCATTCTACTCTCCCCTTCAGCTAATTATTAGCCTCATGTCATTCAAGCGATCCCGTGCCACCTTCGAAGCCGACCTCCAAGCTCAGCAATCGCCCTACGTCCTTTTCGGCACCCCCCTGCCACCTCTCGATCCCGAAGTCCGCGACGACGGTTCCTACGTCCCGGTATGGAAGCAGGAAGTGCGGGATGAGCGCGGTCGAAAGCGTCTCCACGGCGCCTTCACAGGCGGCTGGAGCGCTGGGTACTTCAACACCGTTGGGTCAAAGGAAGGATGGACACCCTCGACCTTTGTCTCCTCGCGCACGAATCGCCGCAAGGATGACGCGGCCCCTAAGCAGCAGCGGCCCGAGGACTTCATGGACGAGGAGGATCTAGCTGATGCGGAAGAGGCGCAAAAACTACAGACGGCACAAGGGTTTGCCGGCCTAGGAGCTACGGATGAGGATGGCTTGATGCGACGAGGCGGTGGGCTTGCCGATCTATTCCGAGTTCAAGGGGACACGATGGGCGTCAAGCTTCTACGAAGGATGGGTTGGAAGGACGGCCAAGGAATCGGCCCTAAAGTCCGCCGAAAAGCTCGACTCGACGTTAGCAGCAAAACTGGCAGCTCTACTCAGGAAGGAGGAGAGACGTATCTCTTTGCGCCAGATGATGTGGCTTTGATTTCTTTCACGAGGAAGCTAGACCGCAAAGGATTAGGCTACGAGGGAGAGGCTAGGTTAACACCGATGAAGGCGGACACAAGAATAGAAGCTGGCTCAAGCTCCGACGAAGACTCGCACAACGGACCCTTAATACGTCCGGGCGCGCTTAAGAAAAAGAAACCGAGTAAATTTGGGAAAGGTGGAATCGGTATTGGCGTATTAAACGACACGGGATCCGACGACGAAGATCCATACGAGATCGGACCACGAATATCATATAATAGAGTTATAGGAGGAGACAAAAAGAAGAAGAAAGCAACGAATATAACAACATCAGCCAACCCGGCGTTGCGCTCCGCACCCGTTTTCATATCCCGGAAGAACGCCCTCGCACAAGCAGGCAAGAACCTGCGAAAATGCCACGACGGCCGCTTGCCCCTTGACGGCTTCGTCTTTGGCGTCGAGACGGACGACCTATCATCTACCATCAACACCCAAGTCAACAAGTACCCGCCCCCCGAAATACCACCAGGCTGGAAATCCAGCAAGCAGCGCGAATCCGACACGCCAGCAGCAGGCTACGTATCCGCCGCCGACGCAGCCAAGGCATCCAAACTAGACCCTAGATCCCGCGCCGCCCTCCTAGGCGAGGCCCAACTCCCGGGTAAATCCGTCTTCGACTTCCTATCTTCCTCCGCGCGCGACCGCCTCGCCACCGCAACCGGAAAGACTAATCTTCCTCCCGGCCTGGGCGAGATCCCCGAGGGATACGCTCTAAGCGAGGAAGAAAAGCGGCAGGAGCTCTTGCGCCAGATCCCCGAGCTCGATAAGATGACTGCCGCGGCCGCAATAGCTCGCGGCGCGAGCGGTGGTGCGGCACCGTACGCAGACGACGAGGCGAAGCGCGCGCGGTACAGGGCGTATCTCGAATGGGCCGCAGGGTTTAGCACGAACCCGCCCTCCCGACTCCCCAGCGTCAGCGTGGAAGATTGGCTGCGCGAGCTGCACGAATTCCGCAGCTGCGCGCTGATTTTCAAGCCCATGACAGGCGCCATGGCCTCGCGGTTCACTACTTCTTCTTCTTCTTCGTCTACCTCAAAATCAGCTACCGGCTCCTCCAGCACTGCCCCCTCCTCGGATCGCGATTTATTGTCCGTGCCGCCGCAGAAACCGGTCGACCCCGCGGAGCAAGCTGCACGTCTGGGCATGTACGGCTCTATGACGAGGTCCGTGTGCGACTTCTACCCGACGAGGTTGCTGTGCAAGAGGTTTAATGTGAAGCCCCCTGCGCACGTGCAGCCGGACCAGCAGTCGGAGTCGGATAGGGGAGCAGGAGCAACAGCAGCAGCGTCGAAGAGCTCGTATAGCGCTAGTGCGGGTATTCCTGGGTTTACAACGGGTGCGATGACGTTAGATGAGCTATTGCAGTCGGCGCAGACGCAGGCTAGTAGTAGCAATGCCGAATCACCAGCACCAGCACCAAAAGTAATAGAGCCGCCGCCGCCGCCGCCGAAGATAGAAGAAGCGGTGGTAAACGCCGAAGTTAACGACGCGGTAGAGGGCAAGCGGGCGCAGGACGATGTGCTAAGGGCTATATTTGGGGATAGTAGCGACGAGGAGGATTAGACTAGACTAGACTGCCTGCCTAAAGGACGAATCCTAGGTATGAGAGATATGTATGATGGAAATAGTTGGTACCTAGTTATAAGGTAATTACCTGTTATACCCCGCGGAGAACGATTCTATACGATACGAAGGTGAAGAATATTCACCGCAAAGCTCTAGGAGTGCCCGATAATGTTTATCATATTACAACACTACAATACGTACCTTAAGGGAAGACTATATAGATGATAAAAATGGCTTTCCGAGTTATATTCGCTCGCTTTTCACGCCATCGTTGCGGCTTTAGTTTATGGATTCTATAGTTAGGGCTCTCTCGTTACAGATTTACGAATAAATTGATACTATATTTGCATAGGTAGAGACTAACAAGCTCTACGATTCTATTTTTGAAGCCACCGTCATGATATTCCATTCCTGGCAATTGCCAATGGATATGTATGTATAGACAGACACACAACATCCTAACCCGGGCCGTACAAACGCTACCTAACTTACTTACTACACACCACAACCGTCTTACATACTTAATGCGTAGGCTTCATAATAGGCGCGATAATACCCTGCTTCATCAAAATCCTCGGCTTCGTCGCCTCCTGGAACGTCTCCTTGGTCATCCACTCGGGGCCCACGGGAAGTCTCAGCGCGCGCTCATACTGGAGCCTAGACTCGTACGGATGCGGCAGCTGCGAGGCCATGAACTTGTCGTTCTGTAGTTATCGACGGTTAGCTTTCATTTCGCATAGGATAAGTGATAGATAGATATATCATACCTTCTTGATCCTCTTCTCGTTGACAATAACATTCTGCATCCCTGCATCCTTGCGATCCTTCTTCTTGACGCCCTCCTGCTTGGTTAAGAACCGCCCTTGATGCCGCTTCTTTTCGCGATTGCTAACGCCGTCGCCGACCCAGCTGCCCCAGCCGGGAAGGGTGTTGTCAATAATCTTGTCGTCATCTTCCTCTTCGATTGCTGCTTTTTCTTGCTCGAATTCGGCCACTACGTCTAAGCCGCCGAAGGCTTTCTCGATGAGATCTTGCTCGCGGAATTGGATGGGCAGGTGACTCGTCTCGTCGTCTGAGGAGTCTTCGCCGTTGGCGATCGCTTGTTTCTTGCCTGGCTTGGATTTCTTGGCCGGTGCCGCAGAGGCTGCAACAGCCACCGAGTCGATACCAAGCTCTAGCACTTCTACGCCAGACCCCGTCTTCTTGCCTTTTTGTTTCCTTGCCGGACCAGCTACTGTAGGCTGACTCCAAGCACCCGCTATGGAACTTGGGTTTACATCTTGTGGCACTGGGGCTGAGAGGCCCTTCGACCGACTGGATTTTGTGGTTGCGATGTTGTCCCTGGCTGCTTGAAGGTCTGTAGCCTCCGCCTTGTCCTTCTTGCTAGCTTTAACAAGCTTCTCGCTAGACTTCTCTAACTTGCTTCCCGATGGCTGGCCAAACTTTCGCCGACCGATATCCGCACCTTCGTCGTCCGATTCTGCAGCAGCCTCGTCATCTGAGGCTAGGTCCCGCCGTATTTCGGCTATTAGTTCGTCGTTGGCTTTTCTCTTAGCTGCTTCTGCTTTCTTCATGAATTCCATGTTCATTAGTTTCGACTTTGGCGCATCGTCATCGTCAGAAACGTTGTCAAGCTGCTGGAGTAGTCTCTTGCGCTCATCAACATCGTCCGAACCGCCCGAGTAATCCGAGTCCTCATCCGAGTCGCCGTTTGTCTTTGCTGGTTTCCCCTCGATACGGCGGCGCAACTCCTCGTCTCGCCGGGCCATATCAGCTATACCCACTCGAACATCATCATCCCATGCGGCACGCCTATTCTTGTTGGACGTTTTAGCCCACTTGCTTTCTCGGTGTCGGGCGCCCATCCTCTCCATAGCTCGCTGACGGTCCTGAGTCTCACGGTCATCTTCCGAATCGACCTCCCCGGCGGCAACCATAGCTTCGTGCTCCTTCATTTCGTCTCTCTCCCTTTGTTTTCGGTGCACACGATGGTAGGCCTTACTCTTAATCTTCTTAATACGCTTTGATCTTGCATCCTCTCGGGACTTGAGTTCCCTCTCGCGCCGCTTCTCCTGCCATAGGGCCTTGAGGTTGTTTCCCGACAAGCCTTCGGCGTCTGCGGATTCTAGATCTTCCATATTCTTGGCCTCTTTCTTGGTACTTGGTCCAAGTCCACTCTCTTCCATAATTGCGAGGATAGTCTTTTCTAGCTCTGTTCCCGGCGCTTTACGATTCAGGGGTTGGATTTCGGTGTTATTATGCCTGGCGAGACCGGTCTCCGTTTGGGGGAGCGGAAAGACCAGATGGTCCGCTCTTCTGTTGTGCTTCACGGTTTCGGTCCAGCGGTCCAAAGATTCGTTCGTTTTCTCGTATGCGACGGTGCGATCCAGCTTTGCCTGCTGGCGTCTTGCGAGGGGCACCTCTAATTTTTGAGGCTTGCTCGATTTCTCCTCTTTAGTCATAAGTTTGAGAGACTTCTTTAGCTGGGGATCTTTGATTCCTAATAAACCTAAGTCCTTTAATCCGATCTTAGGTTTCTTAGTTGGTACGACGTCTTGATCGTCTGTATCTTTCACCCCGGAGAACTTGGAAACCCATGCATTGATTCCAGAGTCTGATACGTCATCATTCTCGTCGTCTTCAATGTCGGAAGACTCGTTGCCAGATGCTGCATCGTCTTCATCGGATTCCTCTTCATCAGAACCAGACTCGTCGTCAGCCCCAGGCTCCCCGTCATCCTCCGACATGGACATATCTAGAACTGCAGCAAGATCGATGGCATCGGACCCGAGAGAAGCGCCGTCAGCATCGCCAATGTCCTCGTCGCTGTCGCTGTCGTCGTCGTCCTCATCATCGTCCTACAGGTCGTGTTAGTTCTAACTATCGAGAGACCTAAGCTATTTTTTATTACCTTTTTATTCGGCTTTTTGCTCCCACGGAAAGCGTAGTCATCAAAGCGCTCCTGGTCGCTTTCCCCAAAAGCATCGTCACTTTCTATCTCCGAGTCGTCATCTTCATCGACACCAACTCGCCACTCGTTCCCGCTGCTGTCGCTTCCGTACTCTACATCTTCGTCACGTTCAGCACCACGGCGCATCTTCCTAGGCGGTCCCTCGTCCTCATCTTCATCTTCATCCTCCTCGTCATCGTCGTCTCTGGCATGCTTGCTCCCACTTAACGGTACATCAAGTTCGCGGTTACGGGGCGTGCGCTTTTGGCGATCGGCATATTCCTCGGATGCGATGGCGAAAGCGTTCAGGGCCTTCTTAGTAGCTTTCGACTTTGACCTCTTCTTACTTTTGCCGTTGGTAGTCGCACCGCCGCCGACGGGTCGTCCGTGGGCTTGCCGGCCTGGCATGTTGAAAAGTGCGAATTTGCCTAAGATTTCATAGATTTTAAAGGTGTTTCTAAGTTTTAGTAGATCGCGCGCTATACTAGAATTCCCTCACGAAAATTGAGTGTAAGGTAGGTAGACAAAGCTATGCTCAGTTCCTAGAATACCTGAACTTTCAAGGATATTGGTTCTAATCGATAATGCGAATTCTTACAAAATAAAAGCGGTGTCTAGACTTTTTTCTGCCGCGATGGTGGGGGAGCTCTGACTTGCAGGGTCCAGTTTAAACTGCAACCAACAAACTCAAGTCTAGTAAGTACCTAAGTACCTATGCAACCCACTCATTTCGACGATTTTCAAGATCGCGAACTTCACAAAACGGCTTCCAACCCGTGCGACGCTTATACCCACCCCCACCCCCATCAATTGGGCGCATCGCCACGAATACATATATAAAACTTATCCGGCCCTTATTTCCTCTATATATCCCGTCAAAGAGACCACCAGCCACGATGCAGCCCACCCAAGCGCTCCTAAAGCGCTTCCGCAAGCTCCCTCTAACGACCAAAGATATCAAGAAGGGCTTCTACAAGGGCACGCGAACAGGCAGCATGGGTCAGCACACCAAGTTCGGAGGCTACGTTATCGACTGGAACAAAGTGCGCACGTACGTCGTGCCCACGGGGCTTGAGGCTTTCAAGGTATGCTCATATATATAACCTACCTATCTACCTACCTACCTACCTACCTACATACCTATATATCAGTCGGCAGTGATAACCAGAGAGGATGAACAAAATGGTGGCCAAGGGATACCAGGCTAACGTACTATAACAGTTAACCCCGTTCGTCACGAACAGGATACGCCCGACGAGAGGTCGATACGAAGGCTACAAGATGGGCCCTAAGAGCCCGGAGCTGTATCTGGAGCGGTGGAAGGCGGAGAACGGATTGGACTGAGGGGTCTATCGCTTGAAAGGAACAAAAATCTAAAATAAAATAAAATACAACGGTTACTACTACAGGCTGATTATTAAGGGTCTGGACGGTAGAGACGTGCTTACGACATACGGCTAAGACTGAGCGAACCCCAAATCGCCAATTATGGATATAGATATGGTGGTGGTTGGACAGGTCCTCGTGCTCTTCGACTTATACCGTACAAAAACCGTGATGATATTAGGCCGAAGTTACGTGTAAAATATGTACCATATAAATCGCATACACCTTAGGTACATATCTATAAAACATACATCGCCATTACTTCAAGTTGAAAGTTCAAGGTCAAGTCCAATTTCGAATTCTATTACAAACTATATTACTACTAACGAGGGTATATAAAAATACGAAATGAAATGGCATGATACATTATCCAAGACCGGACGAATGAGATAGTATACCGGGTATATAGTTGTTTTCCTTCTCACCAACACCTCCGTTTAAAAGGGTCATTTCCTGGTAGGTAGATCCTCCTGCGCGGTAACGAATGTCTCCAGTGGTGGCCTTTGTAGCCCTGTACTGACCCCATCCACATTGATCAGCGGCGTTACTGGCGTGCTGATGGTCTCGCTACCTGGCGTAGGGTAAGCAGCCATAGGGGTCCTAGGGCCATCCGCTATGTCGGCGGTGTTAGGGTTGACAATTTCACAAGAACCAGTTCCTTGCTGTTTTAGCAAATTGGGGTCAACTACTTCATCCCTCGCCTTTTCGGTGACGGTAGCGACAACTGCGGCACTGGTCGTCGCCATAGCATCAACCTCTGAACTCAATGGCCTAGGACTCGCAACCCGATCTGGTTGGCCCAAGGCTGAAGTCAAGGTGATCATGCTGGCCGTCTCGGCCTCCTTATTGAGGCTGAAAGGTACAGCGATGCCACCCACAGTAGGTCGCTTGCCCGCGACACCTGTGTCATGCGAAAAGTAATCTGGCGTGAGAATACTGCCTCTAGGAGACGGCAATGACTCGGCTTGTCTCGATTTCTCTTCGCGCTGAGCCATAAGCATATCGATAGACGTATATTCGTTAACTTCGTCGTCGACGGTCTGCTGTTCGTCCCTGACTATCTTCGTCCTTGATCGGCTTCGGTTATGCCCAAGTTCTCGCTTGGCTACTTCCTTCCCTTGCCTTTGAAGATCATCTGGTGAGCGGGCTCCCTCTCCTTCCTCGGTAGTAGCAACTTTGACTTCTGGGGCTCTATCTGCTTCGTCTTCTCTGGTCACCGTAGCTTCGTCGTGTTTAGAGCCCCAGAGCGACCAGAGAGCAAGACCTATACTCTTCGCCTTCTTCTTTTCTGCGACCTCCTCGGCTCCCCTACGCCTGCTAGCAAGAGCAGCTGGAGGCGGTGTCTCTCCGTCAAACCCTACGTAACCTGCGGCCATCTCCTTGACGCGCTTCTTGTGTATCTTTGTACGGATGCTACCATAGCGTTTATTCCACTGAGCTCGCGTTTCAAGCCACCTTCGTACTGGGGTCTCCTTGACAACGCCTATGCTGTTCCGATCCATAGTGCAACCAACCAACTCGGAAGCAGGCTCTAGGTGTCTAACAACTCCATGACGGCTGACACGCTGGCGGATCATATGATTTTTGAATGGTGGCAAGGGGTCGCCAGCCTTCCCTACCTCCTCAACTTTAACTTCACTTTCTGTTTTGCTTTCCTCCTTAGTCACTGTGGCAGTGGCTCCATTATCTGAACTCGAACTGGAGTTCGATATGACAGAGATATCATCATCGTCCAGTATCTCAATTCCTGTCTTCTGGGCTCTCGCCAAAGCCCACGCACCAAACTGGGCTATTGAGCGGTACATAAACTTGGCCGGTCTAGTGAAACTTAAAGTTGGGGCGACATGGCACAGATCATCCCAAACTTGAAGCTGAACATCGGTTGGTTTGAAACGCTTCAGTTGTTCGTATGCTGACTCGTGCATCGCAGACTCTGGAGGTAGGTACTGTGATGGATTGGCACACTTATGTGCTAGATATATCTGTTCATCTCGAAGAATTTCCCCACCACCCGTCATGATAAGTAGAGGTGGTAGCCCACCAAGGGTAGGCTGCATGACAGGACTAACCAAAGGATGCGATAAGAGCTCATTGGTCGTATACAGCTAAGAGAATGTGAGTATATATTTGCTAGTCCTTGCTTTGTATCACATACCTGAAGCTGATCTTTGAGCTTAACTTCTTTACCATCGAGATTAATCGATATATATGAGGTTTCAGCAAGAGTAGCGGCTGGAGAGTCCCTATCTGTTGCCTCTGTCGCATTAAGCTGCGCGAGATCTTGAGGGAGAGGCTTCATTTCCACCGAGGCTGGTTTCAGTTTGCTTTGGCCCGTCTTATTATTCTTATTTACCTGCTCAACCAATTCCTTGTACTCATCTGCATTTAGAGGAGGCCATGCCTTGGATGGTTTATGATGAAAACCACATTGAGGAATATAATCTAGAGGGCAATCCTGAGAAACACTAGGGAAGGAGTGTGTCAAGTCCACCCAAGGACTAATAAGAATAGCACCAGCAGGCAAAGGGATGCCTCTGTCCCTCATAGTAATTAGCATGCTTAAGACCATCCCGCCGCCAGCTGAGTCTCCGGCAAGGATAATTGTAGTTGGGTCCTGAGTCGTAAGCAGGTGTAAATACGCTGCTAGGCAATCCTGTAGGCCACATGGAAAGGGAAACTGGGGAGATAATCGATATTTGGGCGCGAAGACCCTAGCTTTCAGTTTCCGCGCATGTCGCTGCATCTGGTACCGATGCTCGTCAACACTCCCAAAGTAATAAGCACCGCCGTGGACATAGAGCATGACTCTCTTTCCTGGGTCGCCGTTCTTCTTACGCTCATGATAGTCAGCCTTCATCTCGATCCATTCCGCCTTGAGGGGGCTGCCAGGCTTTCGCCATTGCCACCAATTCCGGCCGCCGACCTTCCTAATACCATCCGGTCCTAACTGCTCTTGCAAAGCGCCCGCAGCTTCTACAAGCTTGGCCTCGGGGATGTCTACTTGATCGACTTTAACCCATTGCGGGTGCGGTACCCATTGCGAGGTGAAGGCTTGGATGTCTTCGACAGGATGATGTGACGCGTACGCAAGGAAAGATCGTATAAGGTGTAATCCCTCGTCGTACGAAAGGTGGGCAGTTGGCCGTTCGCGCAACGGTTTGCGATTGAGGTACTACAGCATTATCACCGTCTTAGCACAAACTCTTCCTTCTCATGAGGACAATAGGCAACTCCGAACAGGGGAAAATAGGACAGGAAGGTATTCCATTGGGCACCTACGTGAGACATAAAGGTCGACAGGACCGTTGGCGTAACCGCCATAGATACGGTAGCCGTATTCATGGTCGCGTGTCTACCGAGGGTCCGAGCTTAGCTTGGATTACAGGTGTAGCTTGTAAAGAAGCAAAGAAGCAGAAAAGCAGAAAAGCAGCTTTCTACAAGCTATGATGACTCGTGTGGTTGAAGCAAGGCATTGGACGACTAAAGCAATGGTGAGATTAAGGGTGGGTTATGCGCGGGTAACAAAGAGATTAAGTTCTATTTGTTCATGTATCTCGACCTCTGTTTCCTGTATTCCGTAATTCCTGTATGTAATAAGTGGATAGCTACCACCTCCTGGCTTAACCACACTCGTTTACTTGGCAGTTGCCCGAATACGCATCTTAATTTCACAGGCCGGTCATTTTTTGGTGATGTCATTGTGCTACTTGTTTCAGACGGGATAGTGTACTGCACTATTTGACCTTTCCGTTCCTTAGCAGCTTAGCAAGGTTAGCTGCTTCTCTAAAAGGAGAATCTGCCCTGAAACGGGAACGCACTTGCAGGCTTGATGAAAAAGGTTAGCGTGGATCTGATATCGAATCTCTGCTTTGCGTAACACAAATGCGGGTCAAGCTCGGTTGAACCGATTAAAAAAGAAAAATTGAAGAAAATTGTTATCAACAACGGGGCTAAAGTTGCGAATGCCCCTCCATCGTATGTAAATGCGACGCTCAGGGTTCGGAGAGAACTAATATCATCACAATAAAAGTTCTCATAAGATGGAGTCGACAGAAGCAGGACCGTCGCCTGGTATGTTTTATATTCCCCAATGTGTTTAATTTGTCGCCTTTTCCTTATTATTTTGCTAATTACTAACCGGTCCAAATTTTGTAGAAACCCGACAGCTCCAGTTTGAGCAGGGCGTAGCTATCTCGCTACACCTATGGCTCTCCTTGACAGTCGCGGTGCAAAATGGACTAGGCGGTTCCGACTCCGAGGACAAGCGCGACTGGTTCGCCGGTGCGGTCGTCGAAATGTTCCCTAGCTTCGTCGACCTCGCTAAGCCGCGCAAGCCCAGTCAGAAACCCCCCACCGAACCCGACGCGGAGGATGTTGAAGCCACCCTGCTGCAGGTAATGTGGGACGAGTTTGAAACGAATGTCGACGATGACTCCGAGGTTGAGGTGGCAGAGCGCATCGTCAAGGTCCGCACTCAATGCGCCGCCGGAGATTTCGAATTCATCGAGGAACTAAGGCGCAGATGGCTAGCTACAAAGGGCAAAACAGTTAAGGTTCAGGAGGTGGATGCAGGAGATCAGGAGACCGACTGGGAGAGCGAGGACGACGAGGACGATGAAGATGACGATGTTGAAATGGATGAAGCGCCTGCTCTAGTTGCAGCGCCCAAGGAGAAGCCGCCTCCGGAGGTAGACGAGGACGGGTTTACAAAAGTTACGCGAAAGAAGCGCTGAGCACGATCATACCATATCAAGTTTTGAACTGCAGACTCTAGGGGAGTAGGTTTGCAAGTAATGGCACTGCAAGTTCGAGACGAAGTATGCTTGAAATGATATAAACAGAGCAGGCAAGGCGGACAAATATATCATGCGTTCGGGGCCAATCCAATAAAAAAACCAGCAACGCCTATGAGAGCACCAAATCCGAACAGCCCATACCAAAGGGAGAGCGGCAATATGCCAAGGATTAAGCAGTAGCATTACTCCCATTCATCATCATCGCTGTCGTCGCTATTATCTGCTTTCCGGGCCTCCTTGGGACTGTTCGGGGCCTGGCTCGGATTTCCGGACGCCGCGCCTACAACATCGTAGCTCGTATCGCTGTCAGGTTGAGATTTCTCATCATTAGACTTACGAGGTTCGGACGGCTTCAAACGGTTCTTATCCGAAGTGGTAACCGCCGGCGGATGAATTGTCGTAGAGGACTCGATAGAAGCTGGCCGCGCGGGCTTTGCGGTTGGCTTTTGTGCCGGCTTAGCTGGCGCCGTATCGTCGTCGGACTCTTCCTCAGACTCCTCTTCTTCTGATTCCTCCTCGTCGGATTCCTCACCCCATCCAATCTCTTCTTCGGCGGAGGCGGCTAAATGCCAGTATGTTAGTTAGATCCAAATAAACGTAGATAAAATATGAACCAGGACGAACCCTTTAATAGATCTCGGCGACGTGCTTCGGCTGTCTCGATACTATGTCGGAGGAAACAGTATCGCCTCCAGAAGTCGGCGTAGGGAACCTTGTCGGGAACAAGCTTTTCCATGTTCGCTCGTAGTTCCGGATACTTGGCTAGGGCAGCACTGATAACTTCCGTCTTGCTTTCTACATCGAAGTTCTTGGACCACGCGGCATATTCGGCACCAGTGGGATCTTCTGTAAAACTCTTCTCGGTCGTATGTAGGACATGAAGTTGTGCATCGTATCTCGAAGTGTGAATTACTCGCTTTCCGGACTCATCCTTACTCTCGAACCGGCGGGCAGTTCCCTTGGAGTCGTCTGATTCCGAAGCAGGCTTTACAATGATAGCTTCACGGAAGAAGTCTCGGATGTTTCCGCCAAACTTTAAGAGCGCCTCGTCGGCAGCGTCCTCGGCACGTTGGATATCCTTCAAGCGTTTTGCGGCTTCGGCCTTTAGTCGTGATATGACCGTTTCAGAGTCCTTAGCCGTCTCATCAGAACCAGATGCCTTGTCTGTTGTCGGGGTTCTCTCCGGATCTTTCTCTTTATCACCAGACGGCGGCGCCCTATCTGTAACGGGGGGTGTTGTGGTTAACGAAAGAGCCCTCGCGCGGAGGTTTGCCAAGCTTCGAGTAGCATCTACGCCAAGCGATGTGACCTCTTGTTGTGCCTCTCTGTATACAGACCCGCCCTAGAATAAATAATAGGTTATTTAATAGGTCTTATTAAATCCAACGGCCGACATACCTGTTTGATAACGTTACCGACTGTTCCACCAAGCCATGTGCCCCAAGAGCTGCTAGAGAATGCACGGTACGCTTCCTGAAGGTCTTCATTGAGAGTATGCTCGGGTTTCTGTTGGGAAGACTCCGCAGCCTGGTTGCTAGTGTTGTTATTCTCTTTGCTATCCTTCGGAAGGCCTTCTTCGACTATGTGGTCGTATGCGAAATCCATGGTGGCGTGGTATTAGGGGTATAATATTCTATAAAACCGAATGACTAACGGACAAGTAATCCCGTAAGACCCCTCTTCCACAATAGAGATGGAGGGGTGCTACGTAAATCACAAGGGATGCTGGTTATGGCTGTTATGGCTGAGGAAATGTACTGCCGTTGCTATCGAATGATGAAGGTCGGTATCGGTGTTTCTGGATATTCTAGGATTGGGTGACAAGTGACAAGGCTGACCGTTTCCAATCTGCCGATTGACGATTGACGATTGACGATTGACGTATCGAAAGGCTACGCGGTCTTTCCCCCCTTTGCGAATCATCGTTCTGTACCTGTCCCGCACATTTGGCACACGAGATACTTTCCTACCTTGAGAATGCTTACCCCTTATAGTTTAGCTCGTGTTCGTCGGATTAGGTAGGCATGGTAGCTTTAACAAATGCGGGGAATGGCGGGCATTCTTCACCGCGATTATTCAGAATACCTAACTGAAAACATGTACCTAGGTACTACGCTGCCAATGGATGGCAGGCACATTGCATGCACCTAACGTATGTATGTGTGGATGGTCGTACGGAGAACCTTTAATATCAAGATATTGGAAATCGCTACCGCGCTTGGAGTTTTGTAGTGTACCGTCTCTCCTGCCATCTGGGCAACCTCCTGCCAGTCAGACTACAAATGAAAGGATATCATGTATCACGTGGGCTTAATCCCGAACCGGCCCTTGCCTAGGGTATTATACCTACAGACTATTACTCTGTTCACACTTTAAGTTTATATAGGTACACACCTAACACTGCACAATATGTGTGGATTTAAGTTTAACCTACATCCTTTACATCCGTATTGCTTCGGGGTTTGAACTCTGTCACTACCTAACTAATGTATATCCTACATTAGGTGGTTCTCATTTCTATAAAGCAGCATTTGCTATTTCGTCATTTAGATGCAGTAGCCTCCAGTACTACATAGTATTCCAGCGGTCAGCTCGATATCGGAGTTGTTGCTTCTGTCTATTCATAGTGGACAACTTACATGTCCACCCCCCGAAACCCTTCCAGAACAAACCATTACAAGACCCAATATCGAAATTCATGCATCTCCAAGAACTCCTAAACGCAACTCAGTTTAGGGCTTATGCTTATGCTACGATACAAAATGGCGGTATTCGTTCTAGAATTCTTATTCTTACCCCAACGAAAACTATTTGCAGAGAACTTGCTATACACCAGATCGGCCGGGTTGTTACCAGCTACATACCTATGTATACAATATTATGACAGTACTATGCAGTACTTGCGCGCGTTATGAGGCTGTCAGCTCGGTATTAACGTCCGTTGGCCAGTACTGTATGCATGGCATCCCAGCGCATCCCAGCATTGATCGATATACACTACGATTTATTTTGTTCTAGTGTACATAGACTACGAACTTCTCTATCCAGATCTGCCCACTGCTTTGGGCCTGGGCTGGCCGGTGGTTACATATCACTACATATTGCTACATATCGTGCCTCATCTTAGGAAGGTATTATGCTGATCATCAGGCACCAGGTTGGAAACGAGTCATCATCCAGCCACCAGACACCAAGATCCATTGGATTCCCGAATCCGATGTCCGACGGGTGGGTGTCAGTTACACAGTGAAGAATGGCGAAACTAAATCAACTTGGCCTCTCCACTAAGTACTTTAAAGGCTAAATTCATGCATACCAGGCATATATAGTACCTATTCGCCTACTAGGTACCGTACTGTACGGAATATGCAGAAGTAAAGAAGGCGATTTGGAACGTGCCCGACTCGGTTCCATTAAACAGCCCGTGGCTGCTAAGTTAAGCCGTTTCTGTTCCACAATGGCCCCCATGTCCCCAAACGGTACGACTGTACCATTTTCTCATTGGAGAAATCTCACGCCAAGATGGCCTTACGACTACATCCTAACCTTAGGTAGGTAATGTACGTACATACATTGCATGTACATACAATATACAACTCCCACCTTTCACTCAACCCAACTCGAAAAGCTTGCTTGCCTGCTGTTCTCAACATCCCATATGGCATATCGAAGTATTCTCGAGTATTCTCCACTGGCTTTGACACCAGGCCTACCTTGTTCCTATCGGTAGTATCGTATATACAATGCAAGCTACTGTAGGCTAGCAGGCTAGTTCCTGGGCGAAGGAACGCTTCGAGACTCGAGACGTCCTCAGGTGGAGACAGTGCCAGGGAACAAGGAACAAGGAGAAACTTGTCCGCCTGTCTATGTAAAGAACAGAACAGACGAAGATACCTACACTACGGTGTGGACGTAACATAAAGCGTACGCAAAGGGCGCGATCAGCCACAAGGTAAGCTCCGCTAAAGTCCGAACAAAAAGCGAGGAAATGTTCCCCGCCACGATGACAGTCTTTGACATATTCTTATATGTATTGGACCATACAGCGCTTACAAATCGGAAAATTGCCTGTCTTCTACCCCCCTCTCTCGAATTCCTTCCATCGTGAAAACGTACCAACACTCAATCTACATACGCTCGTCACACGTCCGTTCTTTGCATACACATACCTATTACACGCCTCTCACCTTGACACGCTGTTCCCATCCTGTCTAAGGAGAAGGGGGGTGTGCGTAAGCAAGTGGTGGTCACTACGTCAAGTCTCTCTGAAACAATATACGAAAAAAAAAAAAGACGGCTGTTTTGTTCCTTTCCTATCCTATCCCTCCATCTTCAGCCTCAAGACCCCAGGAGGCGAATATTTGTCCTTTTCTTTCAGGCATCTAACATCACTTACAAACATTGTGTGAGACTGGTCGTGGATACCCGAGACCTTCAGGACTATCAATCTCCTGAAATTTATCTTATCTGATCTTTCGAAGAGTTACGTCAATCATTAAGCGCAGCAATTGCTGCGTTGCGCTTCAAGCCATCCTACGTCCAGCTTCGCTTCCAACCCAGCGTCGTTAGGAGCGTCGACTCGACTCGAGCTAATTAACGTCTTTTTCTCCGTTAAGAAGAGACGTCAACATATTCAATTCATATCTACCTTGTCTCATACCTTGTCGCCGTTCATAATCGTGATCATATTTTATATTTCTCTTAATTTATTCTTATAAATACAAAAGTCCGTCGCAATGGCTTCAGCTCATTCCCAAGCTCTCCAAAACTTCATCCTCACCCCCCAGCAGCAGAACCTACTCTTCCGCGCTCTTACTTCAAATCAGCCAGGAGGTAGCAGCAGCCCAAACAATGCGCTGTCTCTCTCACCCGAGTCTTCAACAAAGTCACCGGTCCAGAATCAGAAAGGTACCCCAAATATCGATGTCCAGAACGGCATCTCCAATGGCATCCAAGAGAGCCCCTACTTGGATTATGACTACGACTTGGGACCCGATACTAGTTTCGACTTCGATTTTACGCACGATGGTCAGGCAAAGATGATTGGAGATCTCCCAGGTACCTCGCCAAAGGAGAATTCCAAAGCCAGCTCTCCTGACAACGATAATCCCGATAAGAGAAGTCATCCGGATGATGACGAGGAAGACGACATGGAAGAGGGAGGTGGCAAGCGAAGAGAGAGCGAAGGAAAAATACCCAAGAAACCCGGCCGCAAGCCACTTACGAACGAGCCCAGCTCGGTAAGTCGCAAGCGTTAACCCGGCAGCCCCAAGGATTGTGCAATGTCTAACGTTTTATATAATAGAAGAGGAAGGCCCAAAACCGCGCTGCCCAGCGCGCGTTCCGGGAGCGCAAGGAGAAGCACCTAAAAGATCTCGAGACGAAGGTGGAGGAACTTGAAAAGGCGGAGGCGGCGACAAACAACGAGAACTCTCAACTGCGTTCCCAGATCGAGAAGTTGACAATGGAGCTTAACGAGTATAAAAAGAAGCTGACGCTATTGACCACTTCTCATCCAGCCTCTAACCCCAAACGAAGCTCAGTATTCGGTCAAGCTGCCATACAAAATCTCAATGATGTCAACTTCCAATTCGAGTTTCCCAAGTTTGGCGTTCTTCCTGGTCCTCAGAACCCCCCAAAGAATGGCCCCAATTCTTTGTATTATTCGTCAGCGCCTAGCAACAGCCCTAATAACCAGGCCAACTCGCCGGACAAGTCCAAGGACCAGGCTACCCCCAACTCCACGAAGAGCCGGGAGAACTCGGACGCTTCATCTAAAGACACATCGTCCAAGTCTTCCGGGTCTCCCTATAATAGCACATTCGGTGCCAGCGCATCGAGAACCAGTCTGGATTCATGCCATTATAGTGTGAATGGGGCTAATACCGGCTCGCCTTGCTCATCAACGGCGAACTCTAATATGGGACCCAGTTCCTCGTGCGGAACCTCTCCTGAGCCGCTGACCCAATCACCGCTAGGATTCAAGCCGGTAGATACTTTGACAACAATCGGCGAGGAGCAACCATCGCTGACAAGTGACTCCATGTCTCGTATGTATTACCAATATATTAGAATGTATACTACCAAGATTTCCAGGGCTTATAAGCTAACCTTAGCAGTAGATTTCAACAACTTGAGCAATATGGATTTCTCAAGCCTAGATTGGCTATCGCAACAGAACGGAGGCCAGTTCGACCCGCAGCTCTTCGGCGACTACCGGGAGCCGCAGGACAATATCTTGGCTAGTGCTACTTTTGACGACAGCTTCTTCAACGATGCCTTCGATGTTGACTTTACTACGCCGTACAACGTACCGTCGGCGTCTAATAACAACAACAATAACGCTCACAAGAAAGACCTGATTGCCGAGATCGATGCCAGGAAGGAGTCGGAGGACACCATCCTATCCAATGGCAAGCTGCTTACATGTAATAACATCTGGTACGTTAGCCCAGTTGTCTCGGCTTTTCATCTCGCCAGATAAATAAATCAATAAAGATATATATATATACTAACATGGCATAATAGGGAGAAATTACAAGCCTGTCCTAGGGTACAATCGGGTGACCTCGACCTCGATGGATTATGCTCTGACCTGCAGAAGAAGGCCAAGTGTGGTGGCTCTGGCGCTGTGGTCGATGAGCATGATTTCAAGGCAGTCATGACCAAATATCTCGGTGCCGACGCCGGGAAGTGTACCGCGTAGTTCCGCGTCCCAGTGCTAGAATTCTCCCGTGTCTACGAACATGGGAGGCTAGGGGGCTCTCATACAAAAACAAACAGATCTCCCTACTCTTGTGCCACCACCATGACCGATCATTGGGTAACGGCGGAAAGGAGTTTTATCATCAGGCGGCGCGACGGGGATTACGGCGAAAGCGGGGCAATGTAAACCAAATACCCCTGGGTTAGGGCAAGAGAAAGACAGAGAAAGAGAGTGCGAAGTCATTCACTACCTCTCGAGATATCTGGACAAACCACATATCTAAATCTCACGCCATGTCATTATACATCGGGAACCGGAGTTTGTTGCATGCATTTGCGACAGAGAAAGGCGGGAAAATCACTGAAATACAGAGTTCTCCTTTCATCCTTTTTTCTTTTTCCTTATTTTCCTATTTCCTTGGACCGTACGTGCCCCTTGTCCGCTGATACGGGAGGATAATACGTGGCGGGGACGACATGACATATTTATGTATGGTAACGAGTATGGCTGCCTATGACTATACCACGGCGGTGGTCAAGGCTAAGTACAAGTACTAGGAATATTACCTAGGTAGCAGATAAGTAAAGGGAATGCAAAAGGTATTCTCACGAGAAAAGGAGGGAATGACGATGACGATATCGATGACTTTGACGCTTCGGGGATGATGTGTATTGTGTATGCCGTGCCTGCTTACTTGTTTTTCTCGTCCATGTCAATACCACTTACGTCGATTTAAGAGTGGTCTAAGTAGATCTTCCTAGTGTAGAGACAAGAGACCCGACGTGAACATATTTTCAGATGGAGATAATGTCTACTTGTCTGTCTTTATATATAGAACACTAGCAGTACATAAAATAGAGAGCCGCGAATTATAATAATTACTAAGCTACCTAGTTGCTTTTCGGTGATAGCCAAGGTAAATAGTGGCCTCGGCGGCGAGATTGGTAAGGAGTATTATTAATTATTTACTCCACGGCAGAGCTATAAGTCGTCCGCGGAGTATATATCCTACCAACATATCCGTACCCTTGCCTTGCTTAAACCGTATGTCGACTAGCTTTAGTCCGTCTTTTCCTATGAGATGCCTAGTCTACGATGGCGGACTTGGCTTGTTCTCGAAGTCGATACTTTATGCGATAGCTCTATAAAGCCGTAGCATCCGAAACCATAGACTAACTACTAAGTTGAGTAGAACACCTTTTGAAAACATCCAGCCAGGAGACATTGACTAATACCGGACCATACCGGACCATGCCTTGTCTAACTTACATCTAACTTACATTGGGTATACAACACCGCCACCAAAGACAGCGTCAAACAAGCGTAATAGTCTCAACAGGAACCCCACGTTCCCTAAACGCTTCCGGAAAGAGTCTCGGGTCCGAGTTAATCACCTCGCCCGTCTCCTTATTGTAGAACTTCTTACAATACAAGGGGTCGGCCCGGGACTTGTCCCACGCGGTGATCTCCTCCCACCCCATCGGCACCGGGACCTCCTGCAGCCGCTGGTGGTCTCTGTACATGACCCCGGTTTCCTCGTTGTAGTACATCACTCGCACGCGGTTGTCTTCGTCGGCGCCTATCTGCGCTGTCCAGGGCGGGGGGATCGAGCCGAAGAGGGCTTCGCCGTCCACTGGGGGAGGTCAGTACCTATGTAATCCTTGCGAGTAGTATTTTTTGGGTGTCTGTGTCCGGGATTTGGTATATAGACGCCATATAAGCAGCTAGCTTGATGAGGGGAGTTTCTGTCCGCGTCCTGAAGGATAGGGGCTGGAGGGGATAACTCGAAGATTACTCACTAATACCATGTACTGCAATCATCATAGTTAGCGAGAATTTCCCATAAAGGCGGGGAAAGAGAAAGGGGATTATATAGCTCGAGGACCTTAACCTAAGCTTATTCCCAGCAAAGTCTTGGAATATATAGGTACTCACCGTAACAATCACCAATGACCTCGTGCTCTCCACTTGCTGTCGGTCTCAAAAGCATAGGCATATTACACCCAAGAACCACAAAGATCTCATCACCTAAACACCTCCTTTCAAGTCAGCTTTCCATTCAACAACAACGACGACGACGACGACACCAGCAAAACAGCCAGCTCTCCAAGACTCACCCTGCCGCGGCTCTCCATTTATCATACCCACATACCCATTCTGCGTACTAAACAGATAACACCCATTAATCCGCCCAGTAGTCCATATCTTCCACCCATCCGACAACCCCTTCTCCTTCTCCTCCCTCTCAGCCTCTCTTCCTCCCTCCGGCGCAGCTATCATCGCCGCCAGACTATCCAGGCTAGGGTACCCAATACCATAAGACCGATCCTCGACTCTCCCCAGCGCCAGCGTCTCCAGCCACGCGTCGCGGTACGTCCCGCGGGACGGGTACGGGGCCGCCGCCCCCTTTAACCGATCGAGGCCCATACGCCGACACGTCCCGCGGAAGTCGGCGAAATTATCCGTGGCGATCTGAGCGCCGACGCACGACACGCTGGCGAAGTATACCCCCGAGACCTCGAGACGTCCGGGGTCGACGTATTTCGCGCGCGAGGCTGAGATCCCGCTGGCGCAGAACCCGACGTGGTGAGGCGCCGTGACGCGCAAGTAACGCGACCAATCCGGCAACCAAGTCGGCCACTCCGCCGGAATCGTAGTAGCAGTCGCGTACCTCCTCCCCGCATACGGCAGCAGCGAAACGCGCCTCTCATGCTTTACAAACGCCAAAAAGACGCTCCTGAACACCTCGAGCGGGGACATGTTATAGTCCGGGGTAACATACCTAGCGATTTCCGGCGGCGCCAGGCTCAGCAGGCCGTAGATCTTATCGCGCGCGTCGAGACACGGGCGCATGTGGTGGTTCTTGAGCGTTTCCGCAAACGGCATGTCGGCGAGGTGCTCGCACAGGAACTTGATCTGCTGCGTCTTGTGCCAGAGGGTCTCGGGGACGCCGACGTCCTTGGCGTGGATGCAGATGATGGCTCTGCGGAACAAGGCCCAGGAGATCTCGCTGTGCCCGCATTTCAGCACCGAGTTGGCGTTGCCGAGATGGATTTCCTGCACGATCCAGAGCCGCGCGAACCAGTCCCGCGAACACGTCTCGGAGATGGCGTCCCATGTGGCCGTGTCCCAGGGCAGAGCGGTCTTGCTCGAGAACCATTTGTCTTCCGTGCAGCCGGGCGCGGAGAGCATGGTACCGTCTTTGGTGTGCTCGATTTGTCGGCCGAGATACGCCAGCTTGGCAAACGCAAGATCGCTACTTGGGGTGCCGGGACCTAACCATGCTATAACCCTATGAGCGAGCGTGTAGATCAGGCCCATACGCTTAACCTGCTCGCTCCGCTCGTCGAGGTCATCTTGGTTGATGCAAAGAGCATCGATCCACACAACCCGGCCCTTATCCTCATACCGAAGGTGACGTATCGCTTCCTGGAGGTTCCCCTGAATAGGCAGACGCTGCGTCCTCAACGCTTTTAACCCTCTAACTTCCTCCCCCTCGCCCTGAACCACCGCCGCCTTCTCCCTGACCTTCGGTGATCCCCAAGTATAAGACAGCGCCTCGAACTTGACGCTCGACTTCCCGTCTTGGGGAAGTTCATACCTGTCGCGCGGGAAATTAGGATCCGGATGGTCCCAGGAAGAATACATGCCGTCGTAATTTCGAAAAACGATACGGCCTTCTAAGGTCTCGCGGGCGTTCCAGCTCTGAGGAATGGTTCCCCGTAGGGAGGCCAGCGACATCCGCTTTGGCTTATCATCCCGAGTAGGCGGGATGAGCGGGGCGTGAGTGATGTTGATCTGGATGGGGTCGTCGAATTTCCCAGGGAGTATAGTGACTAAGCGAATGTCTTGCGACGTTGGGTCGAGTGGTGTATACTCATACTTCATTCTAGTCAGTGGTATAATAGAGTTATGTTAACTGAATAGGTAGTTGTTACATGAAGCTATGAGCCTGACTTACTCACTCACTTATAAGCAGATGCTTATAAGTATAACTTAATGTCGACACATCCTAGGACTATACGCCTCGGACATGCATAGAAAGCCGGGGGTTTCATTGGCTCGGCCATGATCCTAACGCTTGCGAAGACTCACATCAAACACATTCTCTAACGAATACTGTGTATTGATTACTGATATGCCTGACTCCTCTGATCGAAGTAAGCTCATAACTGCCATTTGCTTAGATATATGTGTCGACAGTTACACCAATCATGACACAAAATCAAAGACAGCTTGTAATATATCAAAATAAATCATTTACAATTATGTATATTTCATGTTCTCTACATATCAAGCGTAGGGGTTGGATATCCCATTCTTCACCATTATAGAACACCGATTGTAGTTGTTTGTGCACTGCACTCGCCGCTACCCCCATATATGGACGTTGCCACCTCGTATCCCTCGTAGGTTACTCTCAGCGGCGGGTGCTGTAAACTATATCATTCAAGAATGTTGTAAAACCTCTATTTTGAGGGCTTCCAACCGAGGGTATAATGCATGTGTCGTGTTGACTTCGATTAATCTTGCGGATAGAACCGCCTGAAATTCGAATCAACTCCTAAGGAGAATATGGCCATCGGACGATAGTTCCGTATTATAATATGGCCTAAGGTGAGCTCACTTAAAGGGGCTCGTGGAGCGGGTATTGAAAGGGGTCGGTTAAGTCTGTATCAACTCGCTCCAAAAGAGTTTGACACAGCTTTCGCTTCAACGAGGCTGTTTACTCGTTTTCGTTTGCGGCACATAGTATTCGCAAAACTTGGAGCCGCTAGAAATATTATAATCCGTCAAATCGACGAGTCTGATGTGGTTCGCCAGTGATATCGAAATGACTCGAAAATGCCACTCAGCTTAGCTGACAGGTCGACCATCGTGAAGGATTTCTCCCTACGATAAGCGGAGGGAATTGTGTTGCAATAAGCCCACGGCAGTCCTGGTGGTCCATTTCCAATACCCAGAAGACGCCGATGCGCCCAATAATATCCAGTGCGCATGTGGTATCAACCAATTATCTGTCGTGCCCCTTCTTTACCCAAGACTCCCCTCTCTTTTGGCTTTGGACTATGGCCCCTCTTCTTTCGGCCGAAAAGCCCAAAGACGCCACCACCCCCAGACGACTTATCCTCAGCCGCGACATTAGCATCGGCCGGTAACGTCGCATCCCTACGCGCTAGATCCGACCAGCTGCCCGTATCTTCCAACGTGACCGATATGCCGCCGCTGGAGGATTTGACTTGTAGACCTGAAGACTGAGAAACGCTCTTGCCGTATGTGCGGTGATATGATGGAAGCGGCGCTGGGGGCCGAGGCGCGCTTTTGGCTGCGCGGCTACCGCTTGTCGTAATACTCTTATCCGATGGCGGTTTATTTTGTACAGGTGACGGTTGGTATAATTGTTGCGGAGCTCTATTGTTGGTTGGAGCTGGTTTGGCCTCGTCGGTACTAATGGCTCGAGGCTCTTCATTGGCTGGGCTCAGAGCAGGACTATTATCTCCGGTTCCATCCGCCGCCTGCTGTGCCGTAATTCTGATCCAATGGTTAGCGAATAGGGCAACTGGGTAGTAAAAGACACTCACTTCTTATAAGCTGCCACAGTGTAATCAAACGGCTGAAATTCCCGCTCGATGGTACGGTATAACTCTTCTTCCCGGATCTCCTTCTCAGTGGCATCATCCTTTAACCTCTCTCTGGGTTTTTGCCTCCGCGCCCTGGCCTCAAGCGGCGCTTCCTCTAATAACAATTCTTCGAGGTCGTAGGTAGCATCGAAGTTGGTCTTCTCTGACGATGGGATAAACACAGGCTCCAGTTCTTTTCTTTCTAAAGCCTCAAAGTCAATACACTGAAAGAAGGACTCGTTTATGAAGCTTTGCCAGGTATGACCGAGCCTCTTGTCGGGGTTCGGATTCAAAGCAGAACCGATGGCGTACAGGCACGGTAGTGAGACCGGAGGTTGAGTGACGGGGAATTTCGGGTTTGCTGCAAGGATGACATTCGTCAAGGTAGATTCCGAATTACCCTCAAATGGCCGCTATAATCGTAGTAAGCACATGACTGGATCGTCAAGTTTCGAAAAGACGGGTTAGTTATTCGTACCTTGTTGTAGATACATTCGTAAAACAGTACCCCCAGCGACCACCAATCGGCCCTCACGTCGTACCCTTTACCTGCATATACTTCGGGGGCGAGGTACGCAAGAGTTCCTGATTTGCTCGTGAGAACCTTTCCGGGTATAACGTCTGAGGCAACGTTCTAGATAACGACACGTTAGCTATTGCGAATGGCGGGGTAAAGGCAAGGGGCAAGGCAACTCACGAAATCAGTCAAGTGAACATGGCCGTCAGCATCTAGTAGCACGTTGTCCGGCTTCACATCTCGATGTATTATGCCTTGCCCGTGTATGTATCTGAGCGCACATCCCAATTCAGCTATCCAGAAACGCACTGCCTCTTCGGTGAAAGCCTTTCTCGAGATGTGAAAACGTAGGTCGCCTCCGCTCATTAAGTCAACCACAAGGTACCTATTATTGTATAAATATAAATCGAATTAGATAGGCCGTTTGGATGTTGAGGGCAATCATGTAATGGTTGATGCGTACATATACTCGATATCTTGGAAACTATAGCGCAAGTTACAGATAAAAGGATGGTTCACATGCTCGAGCATGCGTCGTTCTCGTATAATATTTCGGACGCTTTCAGACCGTACGACTACGGAGGCAAAGTAATATCAATATCCGTTGACTCTCTCTCATCGTTTAGATAGATATAAGGATTGGCCTTTTAGAAGTCGACGCACCCTCATCTTTACGAATGTACTTTAGGGCAAACGATAGGTTGGTATCTTTTCGTTCGACTATTCGCACTTTACCAAAGGCACCGCGACCGACAACTCGTAATAATCGGAAATGGTTTAGGTTCACTAATAAGCAATAAAAGATGGTACTCGGTTAGCTATTGACATCGACACGGCAAACGGTACTTCTGAGACAACGGGTAGAGTCTGGACCCCTTTTAAATATTAGAACAAGAAGAAAGAAAAAAACATACCTTCGCCGTTGAGATCAACGGGCTTGCCTTGGCTGTTGCCCATAGGGAAACTTGGGGGTATCAACACCCGGTTTCCGCAACTCTACTCGTTGTTCAGCCGCGGGGAGACGGTGAACAGATGACGATTTAAAGATTTAAACAATAGATGATTGGAAAAAACCAAGAAAGATAAACCAGTTATTAAGCGCAAGGAGATAAAAATAATGATAGGGAGAACGAGATGTCAGGAGGTCAGAAAGATCCACTCTTAGATCCCTACTAGGTTATGAATGTCTGAATGTATCCTCAACCTGGCTAAACTGGGCAAGTTATTGTTATTATTAGCTGTGTTTGGGAGGTAGGTATGTAAAGTAATATAACTAGTAGAGAAACAACCAGTCTAATAGAAGAAGCAATAATAAGCAGCGCTAGAACCCAGATGGAGGGGGGGAGTGAAAGTAATTGACAATGAACAACAATAAAGGTTTCAATGTTATGTATGTAATAATTGTAATAATAGGGAGAGAGGGAGGAGGGAGAAGATTGAACTAAGAGCAAAGAAAGAAGAAAGCACCAAATTGGTTTGGTTCGAATCCAATGACCTTACTTCCTTGCATGTAACTTCCTTGCATGTACTATGTATGTAGGTACTCCATGTAAGTATGTACCGTCGGCGATTGGCAATTGGTACACTACGGCACCGGGCAAAACGGGATAGCGTCTCACAAGTACTAGTACGGCACTGTGTCGTATCGCAGCATACCTAAGGTACCTACCATAGCGGCAATATACGGTGACTTAGAATGGTTCCTTGCGTAGATTATGATATTTCTCATTTTAACCATTATTATGGGCAATACCATATTTTACAAAGATTATGATTTTGTAACTAACTAGTTGAAAAAGTGCTGTTGCACTTCCCGGTTAGGCATCGCGCGGCCATGCATCCAGGTCAAAGATCTCAGACTGTAGAATTCGGCTTCATGACGCTATGGGGAGCGCCTGAAAGTCCGTTGGCTAGAGTACTAGTGAAATTGGTCATCGTGGATCTTAACTTCCTTATCTGAATATGAGCACCTTGTTACGGTCTGATAATGACGTTGTGGAAAGAAGAGAGTAAAGGAGTTGCCCAAACTACATACATAGTATCTATATACATGTGGGGTACACACGCGACATTGGAGGTATCCATATGAAGTATCTACTCCTTGTGGCTTCCTGCGTGGCTACAGGTACATAGTAGTCCATCTTTCCCCTGTTCCCCCCTATCCCATCTCTTATTTTCGCATCTACGATTCTCACCATCAGAAGCCAAGATCACATAATACTGTATGTTTAACCATTCACTAACTTATTTGAACTTCATCCCGTAAGCCTCAGAAGATTACATACTCCAAGAAAATAATATATATTATTTTCGTCTCTCATTGTCAGAATTTCTTAATTCTTACCTACCTACCATTCAAATCCCACCGCTGCGAACTTAACGTAGGTATACCACTCGGAATACAAACAACTGCGCGCTCTACCTATACATACCCACGATTACATAGTAGGTATCGCGAGGCGGAATCTATCTGAAACAGTCGCAAAGCTACCAAGACCAGTCTGTACCAAGACATGGAACTATTCCAGAATGTCATCTCCAAACCCCGTATCCACGCACGTCACTGGAACCCAACGTGCAGACAGGCAGAAACGGGCTAGCTCCGATCGGCCGTAAATGATCAACGGCAAATTTAACTGGGCAGCTGGGCAGTTGAGAAGCTTGGAAGTTGTCAACGATAACCCGGCTTGTCAAGGTGATAAGTGACGGTTTCGAATGTTTCGAATGTTTCGAATGCTTCGAATGCTTCGAATGCTCTTTGAGCATTCTGGCATTCTGGCATTACCGTGGCACTGGATTAAGCAACTGTTGAACGTCGTGCTCCGTGCTCGTGCTCGTGCTCATGCTCGTGCTCATGCGCCATGGATTGCACGGTTCTTCGGCTTTAGTTGCCTCGTGGCGGCAGGGCGGGCAAGACGTCAAAAATCAGCCGCCACGTGTAAGTCCTTCGGATTGCCACTCTGTCGGCCACGCCGTACCACGGAGTCCAAAGTAAAGGTCGGCAACGCTATATATAGCACGTGCCGTCATCTACTCTCCCGATTCAGTATCATTCTGATACTCGGTCTCACAGTCTCAGAGCCTCCATAACTGTCCCCCCATGGATGACGCAAAGTCGAACCAAAATGTTCAAGTAGGATCGTGGGGATTCATTCTAGAAGGATGAAAGAAGACCAGTGCGCCGCTCCATAGCGCTCCATAGCTTCGTGCACGCGATTTCTGAAACCAAATCCTGCGCGGACGCAGTCCGTCTCGTGTTCTAGAAACAAAGGAGCGCCATTCCCATCGCGATGAACTTTACGGTAGTCAGGTCCAAGCTTCTACCCTACATACATACAGGTAATTTAATCTCGTGACCAAAATAGACAGCCGACAGGTCATTATCATCGTTACTACGCCGCACCCGACACTGTAAAAAGTAATCTCGAGCGAGAGAATACCTAACTAGAGATTACTGCCATCCTTCGTGTGCTAGTGTAGCCCTGTTTCAGCCCCATCTTACGGCTGAAGCTCACCTACGGTCGAATGTTGGTCATACAAGTCATACAACCAACTTAACATCATAACGCGAGATTGCGTTTTCAAGCAGCTGAAAAACGTGCCATAAACTTCAGACAATGTCGTCTTGGCCCGTATATGTATCCAAAGATGCTCCATATGCTACACATGTACAGACAAAATATGTATATACAAACATGAGATAGATGACACGACTACCATTCCGGCGCAGTACCACAACCCCCACCGCTCGGCAGCACTTCCACTGCTTTCCTCATCGACAATTCTGCGTCGCCCGTCGCTGCCGGCCTCTTCCCCCGGCGTCCCTTGAACCCAATCCGGCGATCGAGCTCCCCGAACTGACCCGACCCTCCGTCTTCTTTCCGCACCATCCACTTTGTAGTTCCCAACGCCGCATCCAGCTCCTCAACTGGGGGCAGCTTTAGGTACACCATACCGTCGGAGCGCTCTTCCACGGCGAACGTAGCGATAGACATGGAAGAGTCGTTGCGGCATGCTCCGGAGTCCAGGTCGAAGTTGCGCTTGTGGAATGGACATGAGACCCACGGTGCTTTGGGGTCGTTGCACGGCTCTTTTTTAGTAGTGGTGGGATCGGATGAGGGAGACGATGGCGGTGAAGGCGGAGGCGATGGCGGGGAGATGTCCTGCCCGATGAGCCCGTCCGACAACGCAAAGGATCGCTTATGCGGACACATTTGCTGCGTTGCGTAATACTTCCCCTTAACACGCCAAAGCGCAAGCTGGGTGTCGCCGCGCTTGATATTCGCACTAATGCCGTTGGGCGTGGCATCGGCACCAGCAAAGTAGCTAGCCTTGATGACGGGCTGCCAGGCGGTAGATGACCAGCGGTCCTTCAGGCCGGCAAAGTCCTCGGCTGCCGCATCCTTGGGCCAGTACACAGGACGTGTCTGCCCGCGATCCTTCTCCGTCTCTACGGTTTCGACTGTATCGTTTGTATTTGCGAACTGCTTGAACTTGGAGGCGATTATCGGGTTCCGCACCGCCTCGGCCCACTCGTCGAAAAAAGAGTCTACCAGCTCTTGCATCTGGGCTTCAAGAGAGGCGCATATGCCAAGCTTGTCCTCTAGCACAACTTCCTTTAGGTAACGTAGGCCGCCTGGTAGATTCTCGAGCCATCGCGCCGTACGTTGTAGCTTATCTGCTGTGCGGATGTAAAACATCAAGTATCTATCCAAAATCGGGATGACTTCTGACGGCGGGACATCCTTGACGAGGAGTTCAGAGTGTTTGGGCTTCGCGCCGCCATTACCCGCGACGAAGATGTTGAAGCCTTTTTCTGTGGCTATAAGTCCGAAGCTGTCGAGTCGTTAGCATGGCAATCTGTCTGAGCCGCGATATTAGGTGAGATGCTTAACTCCTTGTTTTGAGCCTCGGCGCACTCGCGCACGCAACCGCTGACGCCCCCTTTTATCTTATGCGGACTTCGTATACTTTTATACCGCTCTTCTATACGTACCGCCATGCCCACACTATCTCCCATGCCAAACCTACACCACGTAGTTCCAACGCAGCTCTTAACGGTACGTAACGATTTAGCATAGGCGTGTCCACTTTCCATACCGCCCTCTATCAGTCTAGTCCATATGTCAAGCAGATCCTGCTTCTTAGCACCGAACATATCGATCCGCTGCCCACCGGTGATCTTGGTATATAGGTTATACTTCTTCGCAACCTCGCCGATGATGATCAGCTTCTCCGGTGTGATCTCGCCAGCAGAAACACGAGGGACCACCGAGAATGTGCCGTTCCGCTGGATGTTACCCAAGAATCTGTCGTTGGTGTCCTGCAGACCGTGTGTGGTCTTGTCCATGACGTGCTTGTTCCATAACGACGCAAAGATGCTTGCTACGGCGGGCTTGCAGGCTTCGCATCCGTCCGAGTTCTTGTCGTTTCCTGCTTCTCGCATCACATCGGGAAGAGTCTTTAGTCTCTTAACCATGATGATGTTATATAAATCGGCACGAGAGTAGTTGAAGTGCGCACATAGGTAGTTCGTTACCTCGGCGCCCATGTCGGTCATAGTCTTGGTGAAAATACTGGTGACGAGAGGCATGCAACCACCGCAACCCGTACCAGCTTTGGTACAAGCTTTAACATCCCCTATCGTTTTACACGTGCCGTCCTTGACGCTCTGGACTATGTCCCCTTTCGTGACATTGTGGCAAGAACAAACTTGAGTATCGTCATCAAGGTCGTCGGCGCCGTCGTCACCCTCTTTCTTCGCGCCGAGAATGAGCTCGGCTGGGGGAATGGTGAGTTCTTTCTGGTTCCTGACCATAGGTACTAATTTTATATAATCACTAGTGTCTCCAATCATCATCCCGCCGAGCAAGTATTTTCCGTCGGTAGTGAATAGGTATTTCTTATATACCTGGGCGAACGGATCTTTGTATATAAGAGCCTTGACCGGCGGCGGAGGAGGCCCACTGACGACTATCTTGACGGCGCTCTGGTCGTCCGTCTTTTTCCTAGCTGCCTTCGCTGGTAAGGCACTAGGGCCATCTCTGTCGGCGAAAAAGTCACCGAAACTGGCGACGTCGACTCCAAGGAGCTTCAATTTTGTGCTCAGGTCGGGTCGCTTAAAAGTCCTCGGCTGGTGAAGCTTGGCTTGCGTGAGGTTAAAAGATAGCACGTCGGCCATCTCGACACCAGGGGCGATTAGACCGAACGTCTGGTTCTTCCAGCTCGCGCACTCGCCGATGGCGTAGATATCTGGAACGCTCGTGCTTAAGTCGTCGTTGACGAGGATCCCACCACCCCGATCGGCACACTTGATACCGGCGCTTCTCGCTAAGCTATCTCGCGGTCGTACACCGATGGCGAAGCAAATGGTAGAACACTCCATTTGCTCGCCATCTTCGAATATAACTCCCGTGACATTGTTTTCCTCGTCTGTGTTGATCTTTCCTACTCTCTTACTTAGCAATATATCAAGTCCCAAGGCTGTAACCTTTTCGACAACCAAGTTACCAGCGTCGGCGTCCAGCTGCCGACTCAGAACCCATCGATTCCTCTCGATTAGTTTCACCTTGTCGTAGCAGTGCAAGTCCATCATGGCATTCGCCGCTTCGAGGCCGAGCAAGCCACCGCCGACGACGGCTCCGACTGTCCCTTTATGAGACTCTCCGAAGGTGATGAGCTTTTCTAGGTCTTCGACGGTCCGGTAGACGAAGACTCCATTGGCGTCATGGCCGGGAGTATGCCTTGGAAGAACGGCATCGGAACCGGTTGCTAGAACCAGGATATCGTATGAGACCACGTCGCCGTTGGCACAAGATACCGTCTTATTCGTAGAATCGATGCTGGTGACCAAGGTGTTCAGGTGATAACTTAATTTGTTGTCCGGAGCTTGCAGCGCATACTGAACTTTTATAAGTAACGTATATCTTAGGTAGGCATAGGATCCGTCTCAAAGCAGACGACTCACCCATTCCTTGGGGTTAAGATATAAGTTGTCGACTTTCCGGTGGCTAAAGAAGCTCGTGAGACCAACTCGATTATAGGCGAGGTGGGGTTCTTCGCCGATGACAATAATATCATATTCGCGAGTCCTAGCATCGAGCTTCAGGAGTTTTTCTCTATAGGTAGTTATGCTGATTAGAAACTTGGCACAATCCTGAGTTCTCAAGACAAGCAGTCGCTCACATGAATGCGATGCCGACCATTCCCAGGCCGACAACAACCAGGGTTTTCCTCTTATCGACGGCCATGTCGAAGTGGAAGTGGAAGTAGAAGTAGAGAAGATGGATTCGTCGACCACTACGTCACAGACCCCAATTCTGCTTACATATGCCGTGTTACGATATGTAAAAGGGGCGTCGCTCATACGATCAACGATGCTTAAAAATATAAAGGGGGGGAGGGGGGTATTACACGACGAAGGAGAGTATATAAGACAGTAGAGAGAACCCACAAAGTTACGGAGCAGAATAGAGTAAAGCAGGCGGGTCGTCCACCGACAAAATAGACGATGTGATCACATCCATAGTATACACGCTGCTCAGCGAGATATGCGCATCTCCGAACCTATCACTTGTATGTAGGTAAGAAAAAGCTGACTACAGCCAAGATCCCCTGGAATCCCATTGGATATTCCAATTATATCTATCGTACGGGAGCTTAACCATCATGGGTAGAATCATCCTGGATCCTGGATTTCAAGAATACGGCCCGCTATTCTCGTCCGGCTACTCTATGTATGACATATGTAATTGTAGACACGCCGTGCCCCCATCGAAGATATCACCATAATCCGGCAGCACGCTACTACACACCTAATCGTCGTATATATAATATACCTTAGGTATGTTAGTACATTACATACGCCATATAAATATGTATTAACCCTAGAGCCGAGCCAAGGGGGAGAAGGTGGATCGACGACTTGATAATAATAATAATAATAATAATAAAGGGGGGGAGACCTTTCGATAAGGTAACGCAATTGACCAATTAAACGGGCCCCGATGGCCGCGGAGAAAAGATGGCGGCGCTTGAATTCGTTAGTATTATTCACCACCGTTGACTTGCTTCGCCCGAGGAGTTCTGCATCTCCGGCGACGTTGGTTCGTTATACATACCTAGGACCTGGGTACCCTAAGGTATTTTATTTTTGCTGTCTTTTCGTCTTATATATGGTGTAGGTAGGTATCGGCCTATTTACGGACTACGTTCGGTGTTTAGGCTGCTCATCACTATATTATTATCAATATCGCCATTAGTTAGTTAGTTGATCGTGAGGCTTTTTGTGAAGGTGAATGATTCGGAGATGTCTTGAATTATCGGGTTCTCGCATTAGATCAAGACTTATAAATGAATAAGTACCTACATCCAAATATCGATATTTACAGATCTGCAATTTCTTTTTCTTTTTTTTTTCATCTCCCAACTCCCTACCTTCTTATATTATACTCATCCATCCCTTACATCCCCCTCCTCCCCCTCACATATATTCATACTTATTCATACGCTAATAAGCGCTCCCCAGCACCTGTCTCACCCCCTCCGCCCCGCGCAGCCACCCAACCCGATCCTTAACGTACTGCTCCACGCGCGGCTTCAGCTTCGTCTCGTGCAGCGCGAAGTCGTCCACGGTGCCGAGCCGCAGCGCGCTGTGGCCCGGAAGCCCCGCGCTGACGCGGTACATGAGGGAGCCGCAGGTGTTGCAGAAGTAGTTGGTTGTGCTGTTGGCGAGTTGTCAGTTAGCTCAAGTATCCGGCAAGGTATAGCGTGTAGAATAAAATAAATAAATAAACAAGTATAAAAAGACGTGCGTACATATGTCCCGAAGCAATAGTCCTATCCTGCCCGTACGTCTTCAGATTTTCCCGCCCCCGCAGATACTTCAACTGCGCATCCTCGACGACGAAGCCCGTCGTGAACATGGACGCCGTGATCTTCCGGCAGTCGAAGCAGTTGCACACGAACACGTCGACTAGCCCCGGGCCGTGGGTTGGCTTTTAGTATAGTAGCGGTGTTAGTTAGACGAGATACATAAGATGCACCATAGTCTAGGTATAGTTAAGACGACGTTGAAATACATGGGCCAAGGTGGGACTTACGAAAGACAGCTGCACGGCGCCGCAGTAGCACGTCGCCGTAGCTTCGTCCTCGGTCGACCAGCCGTCGTTGGCACCCCCGGCCAAGGGGAAGTGTGACGGGTTGGGTTGGGAGTTGTCGTTGGTGGTGGAGGTAGTCATGGCTGTATAAGCTTTATATATATATTCTTCCTAGCAGTTCGGTTTATAGTACTTTAACTAAATCTGAGTAATTGGTGTAAATCCCATATTGTTTACCCACGTAGGCATTATCCCAATTATATACTTGCTAAATATCTATATATCTATCTATATATCTATCTATATATATACCCCCATACAGTAAAGCAGCAATCATGACTCCCTCCCTCACAAGCACCTCCCTCAAGTCAACACAATATCCCATCCCGCTTCGTCTTCCACGTCTCTATTATTCAGCACAGTAATCGGGAATAAGGCACTCCGACGAGCCATCACGACACGGAGTTTATTTTATAGTCGATTAACACAGAAGAAAGTAGGACACGAATGCTTCCGAGAGTTTATGACTAAGGATATTGGATTGAAATTTCGGTGTTTACTGATATCGGTGTTTGTAGTAGACTTGTGATTAATAATAAATCGGGAGAATTCAAGCTATATTATTTACGCACTTGTAACTAACCGGACGGTTGTTCTCTATATGAGGTAGCCATATGAGAGGAATTAAGTTGAAGAACGTAAGAACCCATCACTGGTCTAATAGGCAGCTTATTATTAAAATTATCTAGGAAGTAGTTACCTATGTGCTCAAGATTAGACTGAACCTTCAAGTCAGCAATGTAGACGACACGCATCACTCTTCACAAGTCTGAATAGAACTGTATTACAAGCCCTACTAAGACTTAGGTCAAGAAATAGCAAGTAATTAGTACAAGACGATCAATTATTGTTCTTGTTACTAATGAATAATTTTTTCCTTTTTTCTCTCTCCAGACACACACCAAAGAGGTATATCTAACAAGCCCTGCAGACAGTTCAATTGACCACGGTTGATCAATTTCTTATTAAGGTACTACTATATCCATTGAACGTCTGGGTAACGAAGGGGGGCGTGAGAATAGTATAGGGAAGCGGGAACCACAAAACCGTGACATGCCTTAGTCACCCATCCGTGCCGTGCCGTGCCACCATTCCGTAGGTTGCCGCTTATGGATATGGGGTATATGACGGAACGCTTACTCCTCCTCCAACGGAGCCTCCTCCTCGAACTCCTCTTCCTCCTCGTCGACACCGGCATCCTGGTACTGCTGGTACTCGCTAACCAAGTCGTTCATATTGGACTCGGCCTCGGTGAACTCCATCTCGTCCATACCCTCACCAGTGTACCAATGCAAGAAAGCCTTTCGTCGGAACATAGCAGTGAACTGCTCGCCGACACGCTTGAACAGCTCCTGGATAGCGGTCGAGTTACCGACGAAGGTAGAAGACATCTTGAGGCCACGAGGAGGAATCGAGCAGAGAGCAGTCTGGACGTTGTTGGGGATCCACTCAACGAAGTAGGACGAGTTCTTGTTCTGAACATTGCGCATCTGGTCTTCAACTTCCTTCATCGAGACCTTGCCACGGCTAGAGGATGCAAGTTAGCAAACAAGCAATACATAAAAATTTGAAGGGGATATCATACAAGATGGCTGAGCACGTCAGGTAGCGACCGTTACGGAAATCGGAAGCAGCCATCATGTTCTTGGGGTCGAACATCTGCTGAGTCAACTCAGGGACGGTGACGGCACGGAAAGAGTGAGCACCACGGCTGGTCAGGGGAGCGAAGCCGACCATGAAGAAGTGGAGACGAGGGAAAGGAACCATGTTTACGGCAAGCTTGCGCAGGTCAGAGTTCAGCTGGCCAGGGAAACGCAAGCAAGTAGTAACGCCGGACATGACAGCAGAGACCAGGTGGTTCAGGTCACCGTACGAGGGGTTGGACAGCTTCAGCGTGCGCATGCAGATGTCGTACAGAGCCTCGTTGTCGATACAGAAGGTCTCATCGGAGTTCTCGACCAGCTGGTGGACGGAGAGGGTGGCGTTGTAAGGTTCGACAACGGTGTCAGAAACCTTAGGGGAGGGCATGACGGAGAAGGTGGCCATCATGCGGTCAGGGAACTCCTCGCGGATCTTGGAGATCAATAGGGTACCCATACCGGCACCAGTGCCACCACCGAGGGAGTGAGTGATCTGGAAACCCTGAAGGCAGTCACAGCCTTCAGCCTCACGACGAACGACATCGAGAACTTGGTCAACCAACTCGGCACCCTCAGTGTAATGACCCTTGGCCCAGTTGTTTCCGGCACCGGATTGACCGAAGACGAAGTTGTCGGGTCGGAAGAGCTGACCGAAGGGACCAGCACGGACGGCGTCCATGGTACCGGGCTCGAGATCGACGAGGACGGCACGAGGAACATACTTGTTGCCGGAAGCCTGCAGGCGTAGAGGCAATTAGCAATTCTCTCCATTTATTTATCCCTAGTGGCTCCTATAAATTCGTACCTCGTTGAAGTAGACGCTCATGCGCTCGAGCTGGAGCTCGGAAGTACCGTTGTAACTGTTGATTGATGATTAGTTGATATTCTTGGCGACAAGAATGGGCAACTCGAATACATACACGCCATTGCTGTCGAGACCGTGCTCGCTGGAGATGGTTTGCCAGAAAGCGGCACCAATTTGGTTACCCTATCATCTTCATATGAGCCCCGCTGTATTTTATATCCATGGTTTTTCGATGATCGCTTTTACTTACACATTGGCCAGTCTGAAGATGAACCTATTGACAAAACACGGTTAGCTTTAATTTTTCCGACACGCTGCTATACGATTTGATGTAGTTGCAATATGAAATGTAAATGTGGTAGCGTTGTGTATATGAGGGGTAGAACTAAGGGGGTTTTGGAGTTTTATTTTTTTCGAACGCGTTCAGGGGTTTCTCTCTAGTGATGGATGGTATACTGGGCTTCGGTTAGGGGTAAACAAGAATTTGACATGACTTACAATCTCACGCATTTTGACGGTAGTTGATTATGATGGTATCGAACACGACTGAAGGAAAGCTGGCAAGCAAGAAAGAAGTAAGAAAAGGATGCGTTCCTGAGAATAGTAGTCGTAGAAGTTTAAGGGAGGAAAACTGAGGAGCGGTGTGTGTGGTTTGAGAGAGAGAGAGTTGTGTTGTGCCTTGCGGTTTTGGGTGGAAGAAAGTTGAGGGCAGCTTTTTTTTGCTTGTAGATTTCCAAAACGGAAAGGGTCGCTCCAATCGTTCCAATCGCTCCAATAACCTGACAGCCTGACAAGGGGGTTGCCCCTCTTTTTCTCAATGCTGCCCCTGCTACCTAACTGCTTTCCCACTGCGCTTGCTGCTCCTTGCTGCACTTGCTTTAAGGGGAACATACACTAGCGCACAGACCATAATCTCGGTACAGAGGCGGAGAAAGTACAAGGTACATACACGCTAGTTAGTCTAATTGCTTCTAATTTACCAAACTTATCATGTATTGAGTACCGTAGCTGCGGGCGCTTGGCAACCATCTTTCTAGGCCTGCATCTCCTTATCATCATTTTAACAATAACAACAACAACAACAATAACACCACTTCAACCAACGCGATAGCATCAATACGGGGGCATACGTGATACAGCCAGTTGGTTATCCTGCTGCCTATGGTTTTTACGTAACATAACATCAGCTCGGATTTATATTTGTACGCAAGGCTACCTGTTATTTAACAAGTACATACCTACCATAGACATAAGCATCGCGGAGGCAACGATAATACGATAATAACCCGATTGTCTATTCTGTTGCCTAGATTCGCCTCGATTATTAATTAACACCTGATGAATTCGTACGTGAGATAGGTCTAGTAGGTAATCCATTTTCAACTTCAACACCCTTGCCACGATATTTGGCGGTGTAGACACCTATATAAGACGTGGCTGTTCCTACGATGAGTGGGTTAAACCCCATAGTGACAACACGATCCTATCATATCATATCATATCAAAAACAATCTGGAGTGATACATAAGCGGGACATATCTCGAACATAAAAGACCCAGAAAGACTGCAGCGGAATTCCTAACAAGGTCGACCAAAATCGATCGCCCGGTATTTCCTATTTTCTACTTGTTTTTGTCCAGCCAGCCTGCCATAACCCAAGCCGACCTGTCTACCTGTACAATGAATGCACTCCTGATGCCATATGCCTGTGCCAGACCCTAGTGCCATGCCAATGCCGTACCTTTTAAAAACTACGGGAAAAAAAAGAAACAAAAAAGAACTAATCAATTCGTTTTTCTTTCATCCATGCTGAAATCAAATACAAAGTGATTCGTCACACAGAGCTGTCCTCCGGCACCATCAACATCGCAAGGTTGAGGCGTCCAAAAACTCATGGCATGTCCTGGACAAACGAGAACGCATATATCATTGGAGGTTATTTCGGTTTCGGTACCCCCTTTTTCATCTACCCGGGGAAAGGCGATGCATAATGCGAGGGGGAGGCGACTTGTCAAATCCCGTCCAAGTTGTTGGCTGCGTTATTGGGATTAGGCGTCTGCCCACAGTCCCCATCTATGTATAGAATTAAGAGCCCTTGAAATATCCATCTCGTGCACTATGGCTGATTAAACCGTCGAATTGTGCGAGCATGGTTCGGGCATGCAGCAGTCGTAATTCGTATTCATAATACTCCGTGAGTCTATAGGTGCAATATATCGTCATTCGCAGACATACCAACGCCAATGCATTCGGAGTCGTGGTAGAAAAATATCGGCCAATATTAATAATCCTTCGAGGAATCCGCATCGAGGTGTATCTAGGTTCAAACCTAGGGAACATGAATCAAATAGAAGAACCCAAGTTCGTACTCGGGTCGACAATCGACATCAGGCCAACGGACATCTCGTTTGGCGTTTCCTCGACGTAATTAAGCGGAAATGCAAGGTCTCCTTTGTATGTAATCTTGCAATAAAAGAAAAACTCGTAACCGACCATACGCTATGCAAATCATACATGCGTCTTCACATATACAGAGTTCCCATTGTAATTAGACCACGAGGGCTCGAGAATGGGGAGGATCGGGGAGTTTGTCGGACGCGCGAACTCTTAGTGTGGCTCTTTAGCTAACCGTCATCATCTGCATACGCTGGTTTATTCCATTAGATGGAGATGTTCCAACTGAGCCGCTGCTAAGAATCGAGGTGCTGCTTTGGCTATGGGGTATTCGCCTTGTAGGGCTAGACGTCGGGTCGTCAAAAACTCGCGTAAATGCAGGGCTACCGTCTGACCTCGTGTGCTTTGGAGTTCGTGCAGGGCTCTGAGTAAGGTGGTCTGCTTTGCGAACCATGTCAGATAAACCATCTCTCAAATCGCTCGCACGCTTGACCAGCTCTTTCAGACTGTTCGTATCAAAATTCAATTTTC